AAATTTGTTTTTATAGCGCTCAACTTCCCAATTACATTTTGTGAATGACTATCAGTCATTTGGAATAATGGAAGAAGGAAAATGCTTATGGTCATAGTTTGCGTGCAGTCAAAAAGAACATTGAGCTTCATACTTAAAGCTTCTTTTCGAGTTCTGTTTTGGCCAAAGGGTGCACATTAGAGACAAAGCGGGCTGGGTCCTTGCCCCCCCCCCCCGCCCGCGAATATTTCATTTACACAATAGTACAGGGTACCCATTTTTCAGGCGACTTGAATCAAGGTTATAGGATTCGCTCGTACCCCCGCCCTGCAAACAGGACGTTGGGATACTCTGAGGTAGCAGACCAGTAAATAAACTTCCATAGACCCCATAATGGCAAATGCTCCCACTTCAGAAATTCGAGAAAAATACTCGCAACTCTCCAAGGTGTTCGAGACACACATCAAATTAAAGCCTATTTTTTTATTTTTAGGAGAAATTTCCATCTGAAGACGATCACCCCTGAAAATAGTCCTGAAGCCCATCGCCATATTGAAAAACGATGCCTACACTTCATTGCAAAATAGAGCGCTTTTAGGGTCCAAATTACACAGAACTGCAAGCTCCCAGTCCTGTGCACGGCTTCCACTCATATTTTTTACAAACCCTCAAGTTCATGGCCCACAGTATGCCCAAATACTGAAGATTTTGAGGGCATGCAAATCGTGATTTGGCCGGCGTAGGCAATTTCGGACCGATTTACTGGTCTGCACCCCTGATGAGCTTGACAGAATCTTGTGAAGGAAGTGGCCTATGACCTATGTATAAAGCATCTGGCTGCAGCTGTTCAAGACCGCAGTTACTAACAATGTGCGCAAATGCTATCCGAAAACGTCCTATAGAAATGCACACGTTCCATACCGGATGTGATTTCTGTTTCATTGCGGACCATGTAGACACAATTTTGAGCGTCGCTGTAATGCAATCCGACCGTTCGTGATTCGAAATGGAGCCTGAGCAAGTGACGGGAATTGTGAATTTACAACACAGGCAAGTTTTAAAGAATTTCCTTCATTATTACGCTTTTCAACGAAAAAAACCTCTCTAAACTGGAATAAAAGAGTAATGAATCAGTCTTAACGGCCGTTTCAAACCTTGCAGAGTCATGACCGTGATGACGCGCAGGTCAGAGGTCACGCAAAATCCAACCAATCAGAGCGTGAATTCACCAGAGTATCCCAGCGTCCTGTTTGCAGGGCGGGGGGTACGAGCCAAGGTTATCCTGTTCGTTAGTGTGACGTCATCTCCAGCACTTTCTGCACCGTTTGGAACCGGAAGTTAACGCAGTTCGAGCGTTTGCAGCCAATGGGCGCTAGTAATCAGTGGTGCGTGCGCGTGTATGACGTTTTTACTAACGAGCCGGATAGGATTGTAAAGCGCCGCGTAGCGGCGCTCTACAATCCTGTAACCGTTACCTACGCGCGCGCGCGTATACTCTCTCCGCATGTGTGAAAGTATAATAATTTATGCAAAGACCGCTTGCAGACGCATTCGATAATAGACGCGCGAAGGCGCGCGACGCCATATTGTGGGACAAGCGTATATCTATCCAAGCACATTTTCTCCCACAACATGGCGTTTGCACCTTCGCGCGTCAATTATCGATCGCGTCTGCAAGCGGTCTATTGCAGGATTTGGTTGATCGAGCACCGCCGTTGCCTAGCGGTTTATAAGGCATGCTGGCCATTGATCAGAGGTCCCGAGTTCGATTCCTTGCCCTGCCCCTTCAGACTTTGCTTTTTTTGTCAACAATTTAAAGTTTTATCTTAGAAACATTATTTTTCAGTCGGATACTACTTGTATAGCAGCAATTTTCTTTCTCTTTTCTGATCCGAGGCTCTGGAGGAATCTTTTTTTTAAATCCACTCAAGCCTGGTTATAAAAACCATGCTCCATTGGAAAGCGCACAGTACCCAAGATAGTTGTGTAAAAAAAATATCGCCCCCGCCCTCCCCTCCTCCAGACGAGGATCTGTATGTAAAACTCAGAAGGTTGTCTGGTTACATAAATTACCAGGCAGGATGCACAGGAGAAACTCTGTGTCACTTCCCTATACCCGACCTATTTACACAAAAGTGGGCTTCTGATGCAAAAAAAGCAGTATTTTTCCGCCCCCTTCCTGAGGATAAACTTAAATGTGTGCGCATAAACTTAAATGGAGTAGCTTAACCCTAAAGGGGCCGGGTTATTTTGACCATCTCTCAGCCGGGGGGGGGGGCGGAATCCGCCCCCCCCAAGATCTCGGCCATCGAGTGACGACAAATTTTGAAACCCAGCACAGGCATAGAGCATTTCTTCCTAAATATGCCCAAGAAATTTCATGACTATAGGTCAAAGGGTTTTGGAATTATGGCTAATTAATTATTCATATGTATGAATGGCAATTCTGCTCGGTGTACACGACGTATATGCGAAAATTCAGTTTTCACGGCGCGTAGCGCCGGAAAATTTTTCGCTACGGGCCAACCCGTGGTCCGATTTTTATGTTTTTGGTATCAAAAGATGCGCAAAGCTCGAGGCTAAAAAGTCATAACAGCTTGGGTCGCGAAAAAAATTTTTTAGAAGCTATCGCGGAAAATGTTGAGGGGGGGGGGCGGATTCCGCCCCCCGGCCCCTTTAGGGTTCAGATTGTGAGCTTTGTCGTGATGGATTTGAAGCAAAAAAGGACCCTCAGAATATAGCTTGTTGTTCATTTCCCCGAAAGATTGCTCTTTTGGGGGTTAATATTTCCAACTTGTTAAATTAAACTGTTTGAAGAGTTATCCCATTCAGTTCGTTGAGGCCTGCATTGTTTTCCTTCTCGACAAAAGTTACCGTCCAAAGTGCGCCCTCTATTCCCTTGCTTGCAGGAGTTTGTTGCTGGTGTACGTAAACATGTTGGGGACAGTTTGGCTTTAATACTTGAACTTATTAAGACGACTTTACCGAGGCAAAATGATGCGATGGACAAGCATGATAAAACATTGCGGTCGACAGAGGAGCTTATGGTATTAAAGGTATAGTCCATCATTTTGTTCGTTTGAAGCAACAAAAGTGCTCAAAATTAAAGAAGTGTATAACCTGATGATGTTTCAGCTCAGCTTCAGCTATATATTCCGAGAAAAACAGCATTCTAGGATCTCGATTTCAAATTAAAAGGGCTGAATTATGTTTTGAATTGGCATAACTTAAGCGTCCGATACACGTTCTCACTGAGCCGATTGCAGCTACGCCATGTCGCGCACCAATCCGACGAATTATAGCAACCGCGCGCTTCGCCGAATAACAAAACGAACTTCTAATTTAAACTTCCTACGGTGCGTCTTAAGAAGCACCGTTGGAAAGGCCTTTCGTTGATTTCTTCAAAATGGCGGCTTGCCAGAAAGAATAATTTCACAGAGAGTTTAGTCCCCTTACTATTTTTCAACCAAGTATGTTTTTCAACAATAATTACGGCAGTCACTTTTTGGATAGCTGCAAATGATGGACTCTGGCTTTAACATTCTTGTGTAATCTCTGACAAATCTGACTATTTGGCAAACGGTTGCAGTAGCGGTGTAACGGTCTCAGAATATCCGGTGTACTGACTTTTCCGATGGGGAACTTTTGCTTCAACACGCATGCGCGAAATTGCGCAATAGTGTAAATTATCGGCAACTTTCAGGTGTTTATTTTAGTTTGAGTTCTTTGTTAGGTCATTTTCTAGGTCTTTTACTGATACCAGTTCTCTGACTTTTGTCCCGAAATCATCAGCAAACAGCCAAACCGGACGATCATGGGCACTATATTAGACAGTAGGTGGCGCTTTCAGAGCTGCACAACTGCCGACGTTTGCGCGAAATTGCAAAAAGGGAAGTCGTCAAAAAGGCCACTTTTTACAAAAATGGGGGTAACCGCTGGTGAAGAAAATGGCACTCGAGTACGAAAGGGCACTCTTTAAAATATATTTGGGGAGGGGAATATATCCCCTTTACCCCCCCCCCCCCCCCTACTGGCTACGCAATTGCTATCGAGGAAATGGGTTGTACCTTATGATTTTTTTATCTTATGGCTTCAGATGATCATACAATTTTCAATCAATAAATGGACACTGACATTTTTTCATTGCTTCCATGTATTTTTGAGTATCTGCTTAAATAAGCTAACAAATCTAAACTACACATTTGCAAACATCAGAATTAGTAAGCTAGGTATTAACTGTGTAAATAATAGTCGAGCCCGAGTCCGAGTCGAAATCTCGAGTCACTTGAGTCGAGTCCGAGTCCGAGTCTCGAGTTAGTTGGTTCGAGTCCGAGTCACACGACATTTTATGCAAATCCAAGTCCGAGTCCGGTTTACATTAACGAAATAGATGTGCATGTACTTGGACACAATTACAAGTGACCGATACGTAAGTGATGTGCTGTCGCGGGAAATAGGGAAGGGCTCAGTAATTGTCATAATTTGCAACAACAAATTGAAAGTGCAGTTACATTTCGTATGTTTAAGGTTCTTTGGCATACTTAAACATTTTTCACTTGAAACAAAAGATTAAACCCAAAACACACGAATCATATTTTTTTTTGGCAAATGAAGTCGAGTCAAGTCAAGGAACTAGCGACTCAAGTCCTACAAAACTGCTATGACTTCTAATAGTTACACAATATTTTACGTAATTGAACAATCCATACAGTGGCGTATCAAGCAGGGGGGGGGGGCAGAGGGGCACTTTGCCCCCCCCCCCCCCCGGCAGATGTTTTTTTGACATTTTTTTTGTCAGCAATGGTTTAAATAAATGTTTATAGAGTACGTCTGACATCAATCCCACCAAAGAAAACCCGCTCAACAACCATTATAATACGCCGTGAAAATGTCCATATAATAACATATAGTATGCATAGTAATGGTCAGTTTTGTAGAACGCCCCCATTTGGAAGATGGGTACCAGCCCAGCCCCCCCCCCCGAATACCCCCCCCCCCCCCCCAATCCATAATATCTTATTAAAAGGATAACGAACATGTAGAACAGTTATCGTGATTATAAAGCTGTAACTGCGTATATAACTTCTAATTACTGCCTAATATTTCACATAAATGTATTATACAATTATTCATAATAGTTCATAACACTGATTAATATTTTTAATATCTAATTCATGATCGATACGTGAGATATGTTTATCCGAGTATACGTACACGTTTATCGTAAGCAGAAAAGATTCCTTTGATAGGATCCGATCCATGATAAGATTCAACACTCAAGAATAATAAACGGATCATAGCTAACAAGTTATATCAGATGTATCTAAATATCATGGCCTATCTATCTAAATCAAATCCTAAATCGTACCAATTTAAAGTAATAGAACATTTACAAAAAAATACGTGTACAAAATATACACGTATATTATTAATTAAACGTGTAAGCACAATTGTCTCATGGCAATAAAGTAGCATTATACAGAATTCGTATCATGGTTACATTTCATAAATCGTTTACTGCGTCCAACAGCGGTGCCATCTATAAGCAATGCATGTTTATACAGCTTAAACAGTGCATAAAATTTCCAAGCAACGTGCTTTAATTTTATAGACATTAATGTAATATGTGAGCTATCTGGGCTACTGTTTTTATCAAACGACAGTAAAAAAAAGAAGATAATAAATGCACTAAATGTTGTTTTCAGGTATTTCAGCACATACTTTAATATTCGAAACATTGAATGTATGTAGTGTGCAACAGTTGTGTCAATTACACATAGCTTTTAAACTAGGTCAAACGCAAGGCCCCCCCCAAAAAAAAAAATATATTAATCGCACCTCCAAGGTATATCGAAAGGCATTATTCTCTTTAAGACGTTTCGCCTTCAGTATTGTACCGTCTTTCTAGTTATCGTCAAACTCTGGTTTGATCACGTGATTCACGTCGACATAAGGTATCAAGTACATCTGGAAAATTAACCAAATGTGGATTTCTATGTTTAATTCAAACTACAAATAATGACAAAAACCTCTTAGAATGGATTTCAAATGTGATATTTGAATAATATATTTCTTGAGACAATTTAAACACACTTTTGTGAATGACCTTAATAACCTCGTAAAATTGTTATGAAAAAGGTTTCCATTTAAATGAAAGTTTGTGATAAACAAAAATGAGCGGAAACTTGAAAATGAAAAACACGGTTCGCACTTACGGTCTCATCTGATGGGTCGTTCATTTTCTCTAGCGCCGCAGTGATTTCTGCAAAACTAGGGCGTTGGCTTGGGTGTGCTTGCCAACACTTCATCATGAGATCGTAGCTAAAAAAAAGTAAAAACGCAATCAAGCCAATGCACTGAAGGTTTTGTGGAGATGCTGTGGCAAGAGTGTAATATTTCTTGCCACTTTGAAGCACACTTCTTTTTACTTTAATTATTTTAAAGATTACTCCGTGTAAAGCCAGCACAGTTTTTTTTCAAAACTTCGATTACCGACACGTCCAGTTTGCACAGCATTGATGTCAGTAAAGCTAAAACTAATACATTCTTTGTCCACGCCAAAACTTGCCTTGGTGTTATTTTTGTTCCGCTGCAGTGTGAGATTTACGTGATCTGAAATTGTGATTTTAAACACATGAACCCCTCCTGTAGTCCTGCTTTGAAAAAGTTATTTGGACTAATTGCTTACCAAACACTCTGTTTTAAATAGGGGGCAGTATATTTGAAGAAAAAAATGCTTATAGTTACATTTCATCGGCGCAGTTTTCCGGCTTGGGCATTCGGTAGCCTTCCTGCAATCGTTTGGCCAACAACTTGCTCTGAATTCCTGGATAGGGCGTCGCTCCTGCAATAACCAATTAAAATAACAATTCATCCTTCAAATAATAACATCTTTAATTGTCCATACAACATACCAGTATTAGAACCTCAAAGTTGCCGTGAATTCGAATGAGACTGTGGTGAGTATAGACATATTTTATAGAATTGAAAATGTGACTTAATTGGAAATATATGGTCACATTAAAAATGAAGATTTCCACACTGTACCACGTTTTTTATACCAACTACTTCCAAATAATAACCTATCGCAAAATTATCACACAGCCAAGTTATATATATTGCTTCCAAAACACATTCCCTCCTGCTGGAATATAACGATCTGAAATACAGGGTGGAGAAAAAAAAACCCAAATGCTGCCCTTATTTTTTTTTTTTTTTTTTGCATGTAGCGTTTTCCCGGTCTAGGATATGAAAGTCCAATTAATAAGCTTTAAATCGCTCAATGGTTCTATTTTATTTTTTTCACTAGTCAGTCGGGCTACTGACACAGACTCTTAACTAGCCCGCGAGGAACTCGATCATTCGTTTAAGCATGAAACTTTATGAAATAAGTCTGTGACGGTCACTGGGTAAAAACTTAAACTAAAACAGGAGAATCAAATGTCTTTTGAGACGGATAATTGTTTTGAATAAACTGAAGGATTTTTTTACCCATTAAAAGGTGATCCAAACGAGCCTTAATAAATCAAGAATCCATCGGATGTACGTAGGTTAACCTCCGCGTCGTTATCATTTTCGTTCTCACGCAAGTACGCGATGTGAAAACGGACATGATCCAACAAGGCAAGCTTGGAACGAAAATATAGGTCGTAAGTAAAATTCTTTTTTACCCATTTCCAACTGATTTCTCATCTATTTTTTTTTTGGCAATTTTTTCAGTCTTTTTAATAAACAGATCTTATAATTTAACCCTAAAACAGTTGATAAAATAATACACAAATCGATACAGGTTACCACTCGAGTGTCGAGTGGTAAGACATCCGCTCTAGAAATCAGGAGGTCGTGGGTTCAAGTCCCACCCGAATAATTTTTCCATCTTTCACTCGGGAGGTAACACACTGAGTATACAGTATTTAAATGAAGGGCAAAACCTAATTTGAATTATTGACCTTTGTTAATAATCAAATGTCATTTGTTTACTTTCATCTCGATATAGTTAGAAAATATCAGATGACAATTTCATTTGGTTAAAGACCTGTTGACTTTATGCCTTGTCAACTACCCAAACGGTATAATTCAAGTAATTATTGTCGTGAGCTTTATTCATAATATTTTAGTCAATCTGTCATCTCCTTTTATCTTCTTTTCATCGCATACTCATGGCAACTTAATTCATTAACTTTAATCTTTCTTATCTTTCACCTCTGTTCTTGGCTACTTGTTATAAATTTAAACCTTAAGAACTCCTATGCCCCCGGGTGATGCTGATAATAATAGCTTTTTTGAGTGGAATGTGGGGCGGCAGCGGTGAAAATTTGAATTTGCCAAGCAGAAAATGGCTTCAGTGATTTTCCATTGCACTTATGATTTGCATTTTCGCTAAATGGGATTCAGCTTTCTGCTTTATTCCCTGTGGTTCTTTTGTAAGTGACATGTACAGCTCACAACTCCTAAATAGAATGAACACAGAGTGATCCATACATTTCATTAAGTGTTATTTAGTTTATTTTTATTGGGCTTTCGTATCCTAGATCTGGAGAGCGGTACATGCAGTATTTCATAAAAAGGGCACCATCACCTGATATAAAGTGAGTTACTTACCGAATGTTGCTATCTCCCACAGCACGATCCCAAATGACCACCTGGAAAAAGATCGACACAACAAATCAGGCATGAAAAACGACTCATAATTCTAACGTGGAAGGGAAATTAACAAAACGCCCTGGGATTTCTAATGATCTTAAAGTGGTAATTGCTTTGATGATTGTACTTACACATCACTCTTAGACTTGTACATCCGACGGGTCAAAGACTCGATGGCCAACCAGCGGAAAGGAACGCGGTTCTTAGACAGCATAGTTACAAATAAAATTTGGGGGGAAAAAGAAGGTGGTAAATTAACACGATGCACTTATTCGAAAAATGTATAAATTCATAGAAATAAACAGACACTGAGACTCAGATGTCGTCACAAATTATACATAAAGTGTTTGCATGATAAGGTAATACTATCAACTCCACTTGTGTAGTATTTATTGTTACGTTTGGTGCTTTTCGAGCGCTATTGGAAACTGTGTTTAAAGAATGAATTTCACAACAAGATCAATGTACACATTACCACTGTTTCAATTCTGCACCTGTGCACTTCATTAATATTCTACTGACAGCAAGCGACAACTTTACCTTCGATTTCTGAAAGTAGATGTCTTCTCCCCGTGATAGTCCGAAATCAGAAATCTTGGCAGTCAAGTCCTCCCCGAGAAGTATGTTCCTCGCAGCCAAGTCACGGTGAATTATCTATGTTAGAAAAACATTATCTTGAAGATAATAATCAGTCATTTGCCATTTACAATATGAACCCTCACATGGCTGGGGCCCACTTATACTTCTTGGTGGAAAAGGGAAGATAAAGTAATGTATCCTGCTCAAGAACACTACGTTGGGATTTCCATTCATGCAACACCAAACATTTGTGTGGGACACGTAGCCACTCGGTTCATAAAGCCTATGACATTTTCAACCTGCAAGAATATACTTAAAGAATTTGGTATGAACCCCCAAACAAATAATCTAAATAGTGGCATATTTAGATTCAGTTGCAAGTCCATATACCCCAGTGTCAGAGAGGTGATCCATTCCTCTGGCTATATCTATGCCGAATGTCAGTAAGTTGGAGGAAGTCAGAGGTGATACACCATCATCTGACTTCATTGTCACCTGCTGCTGGGGGCGAGTACTCCTCAGGTAGTCACGCAGGTTGCCGTTGGGAAGATATTCAAGAGCAATGTACAACACGGCTGGAATAAAAAATGAAATCACTGGCCAGACTTTAAACATTTGAGGACGCGTACATTTCCCTGCGTGCAAGAAATGTGCGGTGAGTTAGGCCTGGATTACTATTTGAATTGTTGCAAATTCTTTAATTCTGAAACCACAGTTGCATGAACAGTTCAACGTTGGCGTGTAGTAAATATCGTTCTTAATAAGTGGTTTGCCAATAGGCTCCAATCATTCCTATGATAGGAGTATAGTCCAAAAACTTCCTTTATCCTTTGGAAAAGAAGGCCCGAAGGATTTCCCCTCCTGAACTTCAATAATTTATTATGAAATGTACTCACAGTTTTATCATCCAGAGAATGATTGATTATAATGGTACCTTTGTGTATACACGCGCCAATCAGACCAACTACGTTCGGGTGTGGCTTGATTTTAGACATTGTCTTGAACTCGACCAGGAAGTCTTCGGAAGCAGTCGTTGTTGCACCTGTGAGGAGAAAACGAATAGAAATTTGCATTTCAATGAAACATGTTCAACAAATCAAAAATGATGAGATCAAGATAATTAACGATTTCAATCACATAGGTTGAAGGTGTTGTCGGCCTGAGATCAAAAGCGAGTATATTTTTGTTTTACCTTTGACAGTTTTGATGGCTACTTTGGACATTTCTCTGATTTCGAGACTGCCTGCTCTCACTTCCCCAAATATTCCCTTGCCAAGGACCTTATCCTCAATCGTGAGATTTTGCCATTGGATTTCCAGTCCCGTAGCCCATGATGGTAGGCCAATGTCTTCGTTGATGTCCCTTTCAATGTCTTCTATGATTGGTGACTCAATACCATGCGTGCTCGGATGTCTGACATTAGAAAGCTCCTGTTATGCCCGGGATAAACAGAAAACAATTAAATACCACATAACAAGTGAAGCGAGACATTCGTGTTAACATTCCACACCAAAGAATATGAGTTAATTCGACTGCCTATCTTTCGAAAGTTAGTTTTCTTTTAGTTTTTTTATAAAGAGCTCTCTATATCTTTTCCCTTTTCCAAAATATCTACATTTGCCCTTTTTTAGAATGTTGATGGCTACTTTGGAGATTTTTCTAATTTGTTTTGGGTTTTTTTTCACTAAAACAAAGACTTACGATAAGTTGATCGTCAAGCTTCGGAGCACTGTCGCTGTTTCGTTTCCTCCACACCACGCAGCCGATGATGATGACAATCACAGCAATAGCTAACAATACCCCGAGAATGATGGCTGCTACGTTTACATGTCCATTGTTCGGCGCATCGGTTGCACCGGCTTGGAACAGATTAACATAATTTGTGATTATTATAAGTTGCGCCACTAAGTAGATAATCATCGGAGACGCCACACAATTGAATCACGGGCAAACATAAAACTGATCGAACGAGAGGAACGAATTTAATGAGGGCGCTATAACCAACTGGCGACGCATAAACACTACGCAGGCTATTACGGACACAATAGCTTTCAACACGTACTGTAATACGGATCGAAAAAACCCACATTGGCCCCTTTATTCCAAGAGTAATAAAACAGGAGTGGATTTGAGGATTTTAAGTTTTCATTGTACATATCTTTCTTTAAATGCATTTCTTTCTTAAAGACTTTCTTTTCTCGTTCCTGGTCTCCCTCAATTCTCCTCTACTGACTGTTTCATTGTGTTAGTCGCAATGTCAAATTGTGCTTTTGTAATTTTGATATATTTTTTAACTGTGTGTAGCCTACAGACTATTATTAAAAACAAGTTATTGTAGATCACCCTACCACCTATTTGAGTGAAGGCAGTGACCGTGTCGCTCCATGGACCAGCACCTGCAGAGGTTTTGGCCCGAACCTGAAATTAATAGAACCATGCAATTCGTAATTGTTATATTTGTTTTCATTACGATGGCTTCTGTAATTCAAGGTAACTGAAAGTACTTTCAGGGCTTTTCTTTGTTTATATGTGTTGCATATATTTGTGTTACATACCTGGACGCGGTACCTTGTAGATATTTCCAGACCATCGACGCAATACACGAGCGGCGACACACCAACGTCATTTCTCAGAGTTTGTGTCCCGGCGTCAACCGACTTCCAGTAAGTAATGTCATAGTTGGTGATGATACCATTCGGTGAGTTGGGTGGTGACCACGTGATGGTGATTGAAACGTCATCAATGTTCTGAATGTTGACATTTGGGGGCGCCGATGGCTCTGTGAAAAGCGTAAGTTTTTTTTAGAAAGCACTGTATCATTCTTGCCTGATCGTGACTTAGCAACTGAACTTCTTTATTTCCTTTTTTTTTTTTAGCAAAGCCTACCTGCTTCCAATGTGGTTACATTAATAGGTTCACTGTACATTGTAGTTTCTGCACAGGTGATGGCTGCAACTTGAAAGCTATACACCGTGTACGGCATCAAACCATCGATGGTAACTGTTTGCTTTATTGCATTGAACAGTGGCGGCACGTGAGGTCCAGATTTAACGTCTGTCAGTTTGTAGACGAACCCGGTCATCGTGCCAAAGTTTGGACATAGTGGACCTTGCCAAGAAAAAGCGAGGCTTCGCTGCAAGATGGAGGTTGGTGTGACCTCCACTGGACGAACTGAAACAAATAAAACGAAAAAAAATCTTGATGATTCGGCATGGTCTTTGTCAAAAATACCTATCATTTAGTTTATTCTGTTGCATGTGATATCGTACTTGAACATTGACAGTTTGTTCCGAGGTATGACGAGGCGCAAACACCATTGCTACATTCTCCAGTATCCTTACTGCAGGTGTCCCCTGGTGCACAGTGGCATGTCTGCTTACAGTCAGCTCCAAACGTTCCTTCAGGACAATCTGACAAGGAGAAAAGGTTGAAGCACTCTGAAAAGTAATGCACATTTTGTGTCTTCTTGTGTCGATTTTTATAAGACCGAACATACTAGAGTGTGTTGGGTCTTAACGAGACAAACATTATGTACATGTACATGTATGCATATACACAACGCCGTGTAATGATTAGGATTATACATAAATATTTCTATTCAGGTTCAATCCACATTTAGCACCATAAATAACAAAAAATCTCTATTTTGTTCACCTTGCGTGCAGTCTGGTCCTGCGAATCCTGCAGCACACGAGCATCCGTAAGGATCACGAAGACAAAACAAACGACCCCGGCAATCATCGGAGCATCTGTAAATAGCATTTTGACCGAAAACATTTCGGCCGAAAACTGACAAAAAAATAACGTCACAGTAGTAGTTGGTTGTTCATCATTTCACTGCATTTTACAAAGCATGTTTATACCGTGAAACATGCGTATGTTAAAAGCTTTGCTTCTTTGTTTCTGGCACGTTAAATTATATTCATAGATTAGCCAGGATACAAAATATTAGTCTCTGATATTAAGGAAAGGAATTATTTTAATAGTACTTGTTTATGAACAATACCTTGGCAATAATCTCCACTGAATCCTGGAGCGCAGATACACGTTCCTGTCTTGTCATCACATATACCTCCATTGTAGCATCGACGACAGGTGTTAAGGCATGACGGTGGACGCCACATACCCTCAGAACAACCTTGGTAAATTCAAATAAAACTTCCAGAGATTAAACTTGTACAAAATCATTTCAAAAAGCTTCTCATCATTGCAAAGGCTTACTTGTTATGTTTTACCTCGTACAATAAGTCTCATAATGCCATGCAGTTGTCGATTCTCCTGGTCAGACGCAAAGCAGCTGTAGACTCCTCCATCATTCACAGCAACATCATCAATAGACACAATGAGCTGGTCATTCCAAGAGGTGAGGATGTCTCTTCCATTATGCCGCCATCTATAGTTTTTGTTTGGTGCATTCACATGTTGCATCTCCAGTCGAACTGAGTCTCCGACATTTGCTATCTGAGTTCGCTTAACTGGACGTATATGGACTACACTTCCTGTAAAGACAAGGGCGAAAATCGACAGTGGATTGTAAATCTCAGTCTTGGAATGAGAAGCAACGATAATTTCCTAAGAATCTGTTGCATTTAAGATGTCTGCTTAAAGAGCAACCAGACTTACCATCTTTAGGCAGAATGATGGTCTGTATCCTCGTGTTTGTCATGTCAGCTCTAGTCGCCTCGCAGTAGAAGACACCCGTTCTGTCGATCCCACCCTCTTCGGGTAGGTTGAGCTGTCTAACCCGACATCCCAGCAGTGGATGTTGTAGCTGATTGGACCCTGACGGAAGGTCGTTACTCCCTCCTGTTGTCACTTGTCGACCGAATGAGACATCATCGGAGATACCGTAGAGACCTTTGTAAGCTGCAATGGTTGCATGGTCGTCTCCAGTTTGGCCGAGTAAAGCAGGATTAGTGACGAGAGTAAAATCCACCTCCCCGTCTATTTGAAACACAAGGTATTTGCAATATTTTGCGCTGTAATACCGTTAACGGTCTCCTACAGTTCCGATAGATTATGTATACGCATTATTTTGATACCTTCAAAATGTACTTTGTACCAATTTCTTTATCGAAATCACATTTTCTTTTATGTTAACTTTTGAAACGATCGCGCGGTCTATGATATCACGTAAACCGAGACAAATATCAGGTCCTCATCAACTTTTGATGCTGTAGACTGAATACTTCAAAAGATGTGAAAACATGAATGGCGTATGGCGAAAGAAAACTAAAAGGTAGCCGATAATCAACAGATGCTATTCAATGTCTACACTCACCTCCTCCTTCAGTATACAAGTACTCTCCAACCATGACTTCACGCATGTGAAGGATTCTATCGGTACCACGGAGATCCACGCTGACGTAACGGGCGGTGACCACTGGGTTCGCTATTATCTCAATGGGTCGCGTTGTATCGATGGCTTGCTCTTCAGTGATTGTGCCTATCACTCTGTTTGATACATGATCTGGATTCAACCCTGCTCGTACTATAGCACCTATTATACGGTAACCTGCAAGTTTGGAAGCAAATGAATTTAACATTGTTCAATTAGAGATACAAAAAAATGTCTCAACAAGCTCTTCCTTTTTTATATTCAACATGAGGCAAATATCTTATAGTGGGCCTATACCCAAATTTGAAGGGAAAAAATATGTATGCACAATCGTTTAAGCTTAAATAGTGGCCTTCAACTTAATGTGATCCACATGATATGAACACGGGCGGGAGATGACTGACGTACTGTTCAAAAAATGAAACTGTTTTCTAGAGAAAAAACAGATTTGGAGTTGGGGTGGTTAAGGCAATAACACGGACTGAATAATCGTCGGGGGACTTTATTGGAGGAAGCATTTTTTGTTTGTTTCAGCGTTGAACACATCGAACCCCTACTTCCATACGAATTTATGTCATCGGTGGGGTATTCAAAGGAATATTATAATAATGAAATACTATGACTGTTTGCTTTTGTTAATGTTTCTGTTGAAAAGCCCGATCACATACACACGAAGGCATACATGTTTACGTTACATCCATAGTGTGGACATTCGTTCTTTTTTTTTTTTCCGTGTAGTTAGGAAAAAACTGTCAAAAACTTATTTTACTCACAATGTGAAACTCTTTCAACCCAATTTTTTTCTAGAATTCCCTTGGGTGTTTCTCTTCATTTTGCAACAAATAAACCTGACCCAAATGCCTCTAAATCTTTTTTCCAGGGAGGGAAACCCAGTGTGGACGTGGGCAAGTCCTCACAACGTATCTGCAAACAGGTTTATGTGGACATCTTTAATTCGGAAGTCCACACAGGGAATGTAATGCTTGTAAAACATTACCACAGTTTCTTCGTTCAGGAATGTAACAGAAATTGTCTTGTCTGTTTAAGATGGTGATACTTCTCAAGCAGTAGACAGTTTCCAAGTCCAATCTCCACCACGGATCTGTCATTTCTTCCGCTGTGCTAAAAGCTGTGGATGTATCAGATAAGACCCAAATGTTAAATGTGTTCATAATTTGCATGTCGCACTGGTGTAGTGTCGCCCTATCGATTTTTCAAGTCACGTCATGTCATAGTTTTTATTCTTCTCAACTATAGGCTAGTTGAACACAATTTGTGATTCGTTAGAGCGTTGAAGCACATGTAACTAATCGAAGCTCCATTCTGATTCAACTTGCTAACAAAAATTTATAGAACACTGTAATCAATAAATCTGAAATTTAACCCAAAAAATTCACATATCTGCCCTGTAATTCATTTTTACAGCAGTTTTGATGTTGAAATTTCAGTTTTCAAACTGCTTTTTCTGAAAGAATCTGTTAATATAGAACATTTTGTTGTAACTAGCACTGCAGATTAACGGGTTCTGTAAATGTTCATGTTTATTTCATTTTGAACAGATCATTTTGATGTAGACCATTGTAGTCTGCTAATACAATGTAATTGTGGTCGCAGGAGCGGCGGAACGCTTTTCAAACGGGGGGGGGGGGGCATAATATAACTATAGTTATGTAGAGAGACCATTATTTATTTTTTCGCGAGAGGGGGCAACTGTTGTTTTTGATGGCCAATCTTCCATCTCGACAGAGGCACAATTTCATGAGAGGGGTATTTATACTTTCGTGGGGTATATTTCCATGTCGAGAAGGTGCACAATCCTGTAATTGCGAGAGGGGAACTTGTACTTCTGAGCGGCAGTTTTGCATTATCAGAGAGGAGACACTTTTTTGTAGCGCGATGCTTTCATACGAGGGCGTGTGAGGGGCAGTTTTGTTTTCATCTCGAGGGGGCACATTATAGCTGCGAGAGGTGCACTTTTGCTGGTCAGCCCCCCCCCCCCCCTTCCCCCCGTTCTGCCGCCTCTGTGCTGTCGTGATGCATTTTGGGACTCATTATGCGTAAATAAGAAGCTATAAAATGGTCTTTAAAATAATCCTAACATTGGTTAGGGCGTAGCCAATTCCCAACCCTCACTTTTGGCCCCACCCCACAACCTTTAGCTGTGATTTATGTGCACGTCGAATTCATGCATGCGAAGCTAGTATCGAATATAACAAAAGTTGTATCATAATCTGATTAATGTGCTGTCACAATCGCAGTGCCTGTATATCAGTCGAGGTGTTAACCATAGGTCAATCTGTTGAATACCCCTTCCCCGTCACTCTTTGTCTCAACTCCACTGCCATCAGACAGAATGTATCGATTCCTCCTCATCCTACCCTTGTCTTCCATCGGATCCTTTGATCCGTCCTTTGTAAATCCCCTGTTTTACATTATATTCTCAGAACATGCATCATCTGTTTCATTGCGTTATCTGTTGCAATACTGTTAAAACTACAGGAAATCTGAGCAAGGATAGCAGTAACCGTTAATGATCGAGCCTGAAAGCCTGACGGTATATTTACATTAGCTGGTTGGAAAGCCAATTAACAGAGTTGAAAATGCAAGTGATGTTTCCTGTTGAAATACCAACTTACAGATGAAACTGAACAGATTTAATGTAAGATAATTTTCTGTTTTTTCCCCCAACTATTCTCTAAAATCAGTTTACAACACTTTGAGTAAATCTAAAAGTGTAGGGCGACGCTTCTGCCATAACTTTTGATGTAAAGTTACAGAATTATTTTGTACAGTGTTGCTTTGGTTACTTAGTGCTCCATACCTACAACAATCATCAATTACATGTATCGAAACATACTTTTCTTCCTTCTTTTAAATTTAAATGTGCTCTTAAATTACTTACCAGTTTGCATGTATGTGTTGAGATCGCCATCCACAGCTAACCCTGCCACTTCAGAGTCGGCGGTTGAGCTCTGTGTAGCCGGTTTTCCCACAACGTTTAGTGATATCACTGTGATTTCAGATACAGCATTATTGTTTAGCAAGTTATTGTGACCAGTTTTCAAGGGGCACTCCGTCCTTGAAACCACCCAATTGGGCTACAAAACGAATTTAAAACGAAATGATCATAACTAAAAAGAGCATTTACAAGTAGAATATAAACGCCCACGCAACCATCCTTCAAAAAAATGACCGGTTTTTGTGTTGCGAGAGAATTTAGGGTTTAATAGTAGCCGTTTAGGATTGTCACTATGTCCTAATTATTCAGTCACTTGTATGCTTAAGAAAATCTTATTGAAGTAGGGGTGTGTAAGAAGAATCACCAAAATACATTTTTCAAAAAAAATAGAATATAAAAAAAATATACTAAAATATAGGAACAAATATATTACACGATAGGTATTAAAGATTTATGCAAATTAAGCATATTTCCACTAAAAATTCAGCTTGGTAACCATCATTTTATTTTCGGATTCAGCAACCCACAATTAAGTAAATAACTATATTACCAACTTCTACTCAAAATGCCTCTTCTTGTGACTTTTTGAAATATCGCCTAGTCTAGAAGTAGTGTAAAATCATTTTAAAACACTTTTGTAAAATCATTTTACACCCCCTGATGCAAAACTAAAAAACAGCAAAGTGTCGATGCTACTGCCTCAACTTTTGATGGAAAATTCCAGAATTATTTTAACAATGTATATTAAATGGTCTGACAGATTACTGGGGGCAACGTCAAAGAAGCAGACTTATATTTACGGCTGAAAATACGTATGCATTAGGTTGGTTTCCTTTTAACCAAACAGGGAACAATCTTTAACATACAAATTTCGGCGAATTCAGGACGATTTACTCCTTTTATTTCTTTCTGTAATGTAATAACTGAAGGTACCCCTAATATATAAATAAAAAATAAGAAACGTAACATTTTAAAACAAAAAACGGTTACTGTTATGTAATAACAGGTAGGACCGTCATGTAATGTGAAAGTATGCATTTACTTGATCATATTGTTTAAACCTGCGACCCTGCTACCCAGCAACCTTGCGACCGGGTTGGTCCCCGATATGCAATCACCGTTTATGAATGTGACCTCTTTTTTTGGTGTTTGGACTTCGAGACTTTCCTCAATGACCACACACAGCATGAAACATAGATCAAACGTCACCCTTGATCCACCGGCAATATAACTTACGTTTTAAGTTTGCCTCCCTTGCAAATTGTGCATTTTTTTTTCAAAGAAAGAGAGAGAAAGATAAAGGGAGTGTGTGGACGTGGGAGAAACGAAAACAACAAAGTAAACAGAAAACTTCAGCAACAATAGGCAAGCTTTAATAAGTTAAGAAAAAGTACCGATTTTGTTCCCAGACCCCAAGCCAGGATCTTATGCTAATACGCATGCTTAACTGTTGAGATGGAATCTAAAACAAACTTCTGTCCTAAAAACAAAGGATTTATTTCCCCCTTTTCAATAAGAAAAAAAATCTAGAAATCACATAAAGCATTTAATTTAATTGACTTTGTGAATCGTTGATTCTACGAGAAAAATACGCACTGCCTTTCTGTGTCCTTTGAAGTTGGAAATCCTGCATCGGAACAACTCGCGATATGTGCGTGAATAATGGGTAGAAAACATGTATTACAACTACTGATGCAATGGAAGTACATCATTTGTTTTCATCAATCTCATTTCAAGTGAGGTTCAAATGCAACATTCTACTTTTTCGGACTTTTTTTTTAGAAAACCGCTACATTACGCACTTTACCTTTGCTAAGAGACACAGCAATCAGAAACAGCAACACACTGGCACGGTACGGGCGAGTTAGATAGGCCGCCATTGTCGTAATCACTGCACGAGGAAGTATAAAGTGGACAAAATCAATAAAGACATACTGTGGCGTGTACAAATAATTATGCACTTATCAGTTTCGTGTTGTTGAACCGATTTTTCCCCAATAAAGCAACGTTGTGTGTCATAGGTTCAACCTTCTGTGGACGTCACATATGTTTCACATGGGTCATTCCATGTCAGACCAACGCACTTTTTTACCTCATGTCTTCCGATTTTGATAAAAAATTGCTTTGCTTGTAGGTCCTGATGAGCAATGATTGCACACCAATTTTTAGCCCGATCCGACCTACCATATGGTCAGGGCAGAAACCACAAAAAACTGACATTTTAAGAGTCAAATACCACCCTTTTGGTGGAAATATGTCAAAACCATGTCAATTTTCATCGAAAATATGCGAATTCGGTATCAAAATAATAAGAATTGCAAGCTCAAATCAACTCTTTTGTCAAAATTAAATTTTTTGAAAGTAGGTCACGTGACCTTTAATATGTTATCGTGACCTTTGACCCAATTTATGTACAAATGTATCATTCCAAAAATCAACGAAATTCAAATGACTTGATACAGCATGTCTTCCTCTATCAGAATCCACTAAAATCAATTGGGGTCTTCAAAGTTTACAACTTTATGACTATTTTTGTACAGTTGGTAGGTTACAAATTGGTCAATTTATAGACTTTATATTAGAAATCTATCCACACAACTTACTGTTCTGTTTCTAAAGGTACTTAAATAAATCTTGGTTTGGGAATTTCTCATGTTTAGGGCTGATGAGGTCAAACCAGACTCATAATATAAATTATCAGCAGTGGCGCACCAAGGATTTTGCTTTTTGGTGTGTGGGGGCCTCATAATTTGTTTGTTTTCAAATTTCTGTAGAAGATTGAACAAAAAATACCCAAAAATCAAACAAACAAATTGACAACCTTGGAGGGGGTAGATTACAACCCCTCGAGCCCCCCCCCCCCGCCCCCGTTGCCACTGATAATTAGTTATCCCACGAGTGCGCTTTGAATTGAGCCCCCCCCCCCCCACCCCACCCCGGGGTGCCACTGATAATTAGTTATACCACGAGCGCGCTTGGAATATGAAACAATGCAATGCTGCTGTGACCCATTTGCGACCCGACGCACTACATTATTCCGTGTTCCACGAGCACTAGTGGGCTAACGAATTTATCTTCAAGCAAACTTGACGTCGAATGCTTGAGAGTCGATTGTCATCAGCAGTTACTGTTTAGGGTACGCAACAGCTCTATGCTTTCTACCCGGACCCAGTACAGCGGACACACATCCAGGTGAAATTTATCTTGAAGGAAAAAATTGCCAAGTCTGTGAGACTCATTAAATTTTAAGAAGGGCAGTGATGAATGAGTAGAAAGGTAACTTTGATTTCGATATTGAGTATTATCTTCAAGCAACCTTGAATTCTAGACCCTGATTAGTCCATCTATAGCAATCACAGTGTGATTTGATATAATACTGCACAAGCTACATTGCACCCCATATATCGAATGTACACGTACATGTATGTATCGTGTTCTTTTTATTTGCTGCTGAACGGTCCGATACATCCCTCACCACATACAATGTACGCATTCGACGTCAAGTTTGCTTGAAGATAAATTCGTTATGGCTCGTGGAACACGAAATAATGTAGTGCGTCGGGTGGCATATGGGTCACAGCAGCATTGCATTATTTCATATTCTAAGCGCGCTAGTGGGATAACTAATTATCAGTGGCACCGGAGGGGGCTCGAGGGGCTGGAACCCACCCCCTCCAAGGTTATCAATTTGATTGTTTGATTTTTTTCATTCTTCTACAGAAATTTGACAACAAAAAGCTATGAGGCCCCCCCCCCCCAAAAAAAGCAAAATCCTGGGTGCACCACAACTGATAATTTATATTATGAGTCTGGTTAGACCTCATCAGCCCTAAACATTAGAAATTCCCAACCCAATATTAATTTAAATACCTTTAGAAACAGAATAGTAAGTTGTGTGGGTGAATTTCTAATGTAAAGTCTATAAATTGACTTTACATTATCTTTTATAATGTAAAGTCCGAGACTTTACATTATAAACTTTATGAATGACGTCACCCTAAGGTTGCTGAACTTTTTGTTTTGACGCTGTGGTAAAAAACACTTGGACATGCGTGCTAAAAAAACTAGTTTACGCTTCGTGATGTGCACTATTGAATAGGAGCACAAAGCGTGGATGTGTTTTTCAAACTAAAATGGTCGTTTTTGGCCGAGCACTGTCAATGACAAATTTCATCCCTGTAGAAAGCAGAAGATGTCTTCTTTCATGTTCTGATCACCCCAGATTTGTACGTTGCCCAGTTTTAAAGATATGCCTGTTTTGGTCTCTCAACAACGCACGCGCATATATACTGAGCGTTTACACGCAGTGTTGCGATGAGCAAATGTCCAAAACTTTTCCTTATGCATACCACGAATCCTTTTAAAAAAAGGATTCATTTCCCACTTTGCAATAAGAAAAAAGATCTGGAAATCACATGAAGCATTTCATCTAATTGACTTTGTGAATCGTTGATTCTACGAGAAAAATACTGTGGCGAAACGAGCTATACACCCTTTGTGGCGGGAATAACTAGGTGACCCGACAGTCTGACCTGATCGAAGGATGGAATTGGACCTGGCCTTAACCCACAAAAATATTTATAAACCTCGCGCAAGGATGAGCTGTTACCCTGACGCAAGGGGGGGGGATATAGTTAACGAACGGCGGACTAAGCCTAGGGGCAGTTCGTTTGGCGGAAATATACCACCGATCTGCGATTAAGTACTTGACTTTATTGACAAAAGAGGGAACTAACTTATTCAGATATATCCAACAGAGAGCGGGACTACATAAGCTTCACAGTGACCAGTTAGTCCAAGACGTTAATCAGTTAGTTTATTCCTTTAGCACACTTCAAATATAATGTCAACGCGTCACCATTCAATAATTTATACAACGATGAATCTCACAGTTCTGATGAATCCAGGTAAACCTCGGTGTTCGAATTAACACTGATAAACCTCGTTCTTAAAAAAGCACTAGTAAACCTCGCTCTTAGAATAAGCACTAGTAAACCTCACTGTGATAATCTAGTAAACCTCGCTGTGATAATAAGCACTAGTAAACCTCGCCGTGATAATGAACACTAGTAAACCTTGCTGTGATAATGAACACTAGTAAACCTCGCTGTTAGCTGAGGGGTCAACTGCACCCCTTGTCATTAGCTTATACAATTATAATCTTCGTTCGGCTCTTGGGTCAACTGCACCCTTTAGCTTATACAATTATAATCGTCTGGTTCAACAGGGGTCAACTGCACTCCCTTATGATTAACTTGCACAATTATAACTCACAGCTTAGCGGGGTAATTCACTTAAGGTAAACCTCACTTGGGTATACCTCACCTATACTTCTCGGGGTTCCTAGTTTATAAAGTGGTCGTCTGCACCACCGACTTAAATACGGGCTAGTGTTCTTTCACTTAGCACAAAATAACCCTAATGAGGTCTACAATAACAGAATAGATTTATACAATACAACACGGTCCTTGCTACTTGCTTGCCCAGCGAATTACACATGCGGGGTACTTAGTAACGTTTCTATGACCCACCGGACGATAACAGTAGCCCTCTGAACGTTAACCCAGTAAATTTACCTTCGGGAAACTCAGGATTCACAGACTTTACAGGGCCGCAATCAACCGTATCTACGCCAAAATTGCACAGGACCACGGCATGCACTTCCCTCCACAAAGTCACAATTAAGCGGGTTCCCAGGCAGGAAAAGCGAGCTCTCAGTTGTCCAAGTCTGCATCAACCGCAGCCACGCCAATTGGCATAGATCAACGGCAGACAGACCTTCCGAACAATCTTAGCTAGACTATTTCCTCAATGGGCAAACAAGCCTACGGACTCACAGGGCAGCTATACTGCAGCCACGCCAAATGGCACAAACAACGGAAGACAATCCTTAAGTCTGAACTAAGCCTAACTGTTCCCCAACCTTCAGATTTACCCAGGGTCCGACTATTATCCTAACTCAGGCCCTATATTAAATAATCCCGACTTCTTAACAACAACCACCCCAAATCTTATTAGATAAGGCCTGAAAATGCACAGGGGGATGTAAACAACGAAGTCCAGGTTTACTGACCGATCACACCAGGCGCGCTGGGGCTTTCTCCCGCTCCGGTACGGTCCAACCACGGGAACTCAGTAAAACGCTGACAGCTCACGAGATTGCTCGATAATCGCTTGTTGCACAACGCGGTCTCTCCCAGGAGTTTACTCATTGAAGTCTCTCAGAGCAGTTTTCTCATTGAAGTCTCTACCACGAGTGCCGAACCCACGCCAGGCCACGAGGCAATCACCCCATCCCAGACCATGCCGGACGCACGCTGCTGATTGGTCGCTGCGCGATATCACGCGCTTGTTCACGCGGTACATGCCTGCATAATTCATAGCCAGACATGCCCATCAGCCTAGTGTACATGCAGGACGCGCATGCTGATTGGTTGCCCCACAGTATCACGCGCTCTAACGCGCGGGCTGACGTGATGCTTTTGAGGCTACACTTGATATCAGTCTACACATACCCCTGTTTCGTTACAATACCGCACTGCCCTTCCGTGTCCTTTACAGTTTGAAATCCTGCATCGGAACAACTTGCGATATGTGCGTGAATAATGGGTAGAAAAACTTGTATTTCAACTAATGATTCAATGGAAGTACATCATTTGTTTTAATCAATCTCATTTCAAATGAGGTTCCAATGCAATATTCTACTTTTTCGGACTTTTTTTTTAGAAAACCGCTACATTACGCACTTTACCTTTGCTAAGAGACACAGCAATCAGAAACAGCAACACACTGGCACGGTACGGGCGAGTTAGATAGGCCGCCATTGTCGTAATCACTGCACGAGGAAGTATAAAGTGAACAAAATCAATAAATGCATACTGTGGCGTGTACAAATAATTATGCACTTATCAGTTTCGTGTTGTTGAACCGATTTTTTCACAGTAAAGAAGCGTAGTGTGTCATAAGTTCAACTTTCTGTGGACGTCACATATGGGTCATTGCATGTCAGACCAACGCAATTATTTACCTCATGTCTTCCGATTTTGATAAAAAAATGCTTTGCTTGTAGGTCCTGATGAGCAATGAATGCACACCAATTTTTAGCCCGATCCGACCTACCATATGGTCAGGGCAGAAACCACAAAAAACTGACATTTTTAGAGTCAAATACCACCCTTTTGGTAGAAATATGTCAAAACCATGTTAATTTTCATCGAAAATATGCGAATTCGGTATCAAATTTATGTACAAATGTATCATTCCGAAAATCAACGAAATTCAAATGACTTGATACAGCATGTCTTCCTCTATCAGAATCCACTAAAATCAATTGGGGTCTTCAAAGTTTACAACTTTATGACTATGTTTGTACAGTTGGTAGGTTACAAATTAGTCAATTTATAGACTTTACATTAGAAATCCACCCACACAACTTACTGTTCTGTTTCTAAAGGTACTTAAATAATCTTGGTTTGGGAATTTTTCATGTTTAGGGCTGATGAGGTCTAACCAGACTCATAATATAAATATCAGCAGTGGCGCACCGAGGATTTGGCTTTTTGGTGTGTGTGGGGGGGGGCCTCATAGTTTGTTTGTTTTCAAATTTCTGTAGAAGATTGAGCAAAAAAAATTTTCCCAAAAATCAAACAAACAAATTGACAACCTTGGAGGGGGGTGGTTACAGCCCCTCGAGCCCCCCCCCCCCGGTGCCACTGATAATTAGTTATCCCACGAGTGCGCTTTGAATTGAGGCCCCCCCCCCCCCACCCACCCATCCCGGGGTGCCACTGATAATTAGTTATCCCACGAGCGCGCTTGGAATATGAAACAATGCAATGCTGCTGTGACCCATATGCCACCCGACGCACTACATTATTCCGTGTTCCACGAGCATAAGTGGGCTAACGAGTTTATCTTTAAGCAAACTTGACGTCGAATGCTTGAGAGTCGATTGTCATCAGCAGTTACTGTTTAGGGTACGCAACAGCTCTATGCTTTCTACCCGGACCCAGTACAGTGGACACATCCAGGTGAAATTTATCTCAAAGGAAAAAATTGCCAAGTCTTTGAGACTCATTAAATTTCAAGAAGCGCAGTGATGAATGAGTAGAAAGGTAACTTGGATTGCGATATTGAGTATTATCTTCAAGCAACCTTGAATCCTAGACCCTGATTAGTCCATCTGTAGCAACAACAGTGTGATTTGATATAATATTGCACAGCTATACTGCACCCCATATATCGAATGTACATGTACATGTATGTATTGTGTTCTTTTTATTTGCTGCTGAACGGTCCGATACATCCCTCACCACATACAATGTACGCATTCGACGTCAAGTTTGCTTGAAGATAAATTCGTTATGGCTCGTGGAACACGAAATAATGTAGTGCGTCGGGTGGCATATGGGTCACAGCAGCATTGCATTGTTTCATATTCCATTGTTTCATATTCGTAGGATAACTAATTATCAGTGGCACGGGGGGGGGGGGTTCGAGGGGCTGGAGCCCACGTCCCTCCAAGGTTGTCAATTTGTTTGTTTGATTTTTTACAATATTCTACAAAAATTTGAAAACAAAAAAGCTATGAGGGCCCCCCCCCCAAAAAAAAGGAAAATCCTGGGTGCGCCACTACTGATAATTTATATTATGAGTCTGGTTAGACCTCATCAGTCCTAAACATGAGAAATTCCCAACCCAAGATTAATTTCAGTATCTTTAGAAACAGAATAGTAAGTTGTGTGGGTGGATTTCTAATTTAAAGTCTATAAATTGACTCATTTGTAACCCACCAACTGTACAAAAATAGTCATAAAGTTGTAAATTGTGAAGACCCCAATTGATTTTTAGTAGATTCTGATAGAGGAAGACATGCTGTATCAAGTCATTTTCATTTCGTTGATTTTCGGAATGATACATCATTAGGCCAAAAAAAATACACGGTCTCTGGTCAGTGCACGCGTCGATTTTAATCATGCGTGGCAACCTGTGTTTTTTTCTCCAAATTAACACGGAAGCTACAACAGCGCCCTCTGTTGCCGCGCCTCCTCAAATGTTTGTTCCAAGGAGCACCAAGGAATGGGGAAATTGCACCAAGGCAAATGATAAAGAGCACCAAGGCAAATTATGGAGGACAACAATGTATAATGAGACACAAAAAAAGCAAAATAGTACCCACCTTGTCTGTACAATACAAGCTTGAAAAAAAAGCCACAAAAAAAACCCCAAAACCGCCTCGCCGCATCAATTCCGGAACTTCGGTCTGACCAGAGACCGACTATTTTTTTTTTTGGCCTTCCATAAATTGGGTCAAAGGTCACGATAACATATTAAAGGTCACGTGACCTCCTTTTCACACACAAAAATGAATTTTGACAAAAGAGTTGATTTGAGCATGCAATTCTTATTATTTTAATACCAAATTCGCATATATTCGATGAAAATTAACATGGTTTTGACATATTTCTACCAAAAGGGTGGTATTTACTCTAAAAATGCCCGGTTTTTTGTGGTTTCTACCCTGACCACATGGTAGGTCGGATCGGGCTAAAAATTGGTGTGCATTCATCGCTCGTCAGGACCGACAAGCACAGCAATTTTTATCAAAATCGGAAGACATGAGGTAAAAAAGAGCGTTGGTCTGACTGGAATGACCCACATGCAGAAACATGCAGAAAAACGCTGCATGCCAGCTTATGTACTTTTGGTTTGCTTCAACTGAAAATCCTTTCTGTACCGCAGATCTTAACCTAATCCTTTTGTTAAGGGAAGTTGTGCATGGCCTATAGGTTCACGACAAATGATCAGAGGATCAGGGGTTCGAATTTAGCCCCGGCCATTACGTGGTGTCCTTGCCTCTCTACACCTAGGACCATCAGGGGGACCGGCATTACTGGCGATGGACGGACTTCCCATGCAGGGGAATATGAGTGGTTTCGGGCCAAGGAAACTGAAGCTAAACGCTGGCCTAATGGGCCATATTAGCTCCTGATATACTTTACTACTACTTAGGCCCTACTATTCAGGAACTGGGTTGTGCCTTATCGTTGTCATCTAATGGCTATGGATTAACTTAATATTTTAAATCAATAAATGGACACTGACATGTTTCATTCTTTCTATGCATTGTAGCGTATCTGCTGGAACAAGCTAACAAATCTAAAATACATTGATCACAAACCTCAGCAATTAGAAAGCTCACCAACTGTGTTTATAATTTGTAATAATTACCTAATATTTCACATCATTGAAGTTGATATATATTTAAATTAATCTCTTTACAGTTCATAATGTTGATAAATATTTCTAATTTATGATTCGTATACGTCTCCTAAGCCACATTTTTTCGTTGACGTCCCTTTCAATGTCCTTTACGCTCGACGCCTTGGCCCAGGCTGGTATAAGCCAATGTCTTCGTGGATGAACTGCAAATAAACTGAACAATTTCTATTGTCGATTTGATGTTCATGATTTCACTCAGGAAAAAGATCTCTTGCAAGACTCTTTCAAAATAATGCCGATCATGATACTATTTAATAATAGATGAGATTGATGTAAGAAATAACGCTTCAGGACCAAACGGTTTAGGTACCAGAATTCTGGAAAATATCATCATTCTCTGGTATAACACAGGGAGTGTGCTATGACTATGAACGTATGCGGCACGAACGGTGTGAAACGCTTGTATCGTTGGTACCCACGCTATTTTTACCATGTTTTAACACATGAGTGGGATCAGCGAACTAGTAGACGATCAGCTGTTTCGAGCACGCGACATGCATGTGAGTCGACGTTCAATTGTCATGATTGTTGTGTTTACTGCTGTTTGTCTTCGTGATTTTTTACATAAAAATCCAAAGAATCAAAGACAGAGGTATAACAAATCAATTGTTGTCTACTGTGATTTGAGATATGGCGTTTTGAACACCCTCGGGGAGCATAGCACCCGGTCCCTCGGCTTCGCCTCGGGTGCTATGCGCCCCAGGCTTCGGGTGTTCAAAACGTCATATCCCACATCACAGCAGTCAACAATAATATTGTTAAATGTGTTGCATGGCTTTTTCTGAAATTTCTTCTCAAAGATGCAGGCTCTTATTTAGACAATTTTCAATTTGCATACCGCAGCAATACAGGGGGTCGATGATGGGGTACTAGTTTATCTTCATAAACTGTACAGTCACCGTTGGACAAATCAAAATTCTATAGATCTATTAAAGATTTTTCTAGTGCCTTTAAAACGATTCAACCTCACATTCTAATAAAAAAAAACGCAAGCAAATAAATGTGTCTCCAAAAACTGTACAGTTGATTCATAATTGTTTGCTGAATAAGCCACAGTGAGTAAAAATGGAGACTTTAATTCTAAGGTCAGGATGATAAACACAGGTCCCCCTCAAGGATGTGTTATCTCACCGCTGTTATTTTATACAAGTGACTGTCTCTGTTCCAGCCCAATGTGTAGTTTAATGAAATACGCAGATGACACAGGCATTACATGCTACTTAAAAGATGACCCACGCAATTATATATCGGAGATTTGTTGGAGATAGCACAGTTTGTGGATTGGTGTGACCGTCATGTTCTTTACTATTAATGTGACGAAAACTAAGGAGATGATCGTAGATTTCCGGCGCAACACTGGACCTCACAAACCTGTTTATACTAACGACAACGAAATAGAAAGGGTTAAAGCGTACAACAACCTTGGTGCTATTTATTGACGACAAACTTAACTGGAACAAAACACCCAGGTAGTTATGGTAAGGCCATGCAACAGATGTTTTTCCTTCGTAAGTTCAAACAGTTCAATGTCGATTTTACGTCTATTTTATCAATCTATGATGAGCATTGCTGCTTGTGACATATTCGGCATGTATGGTTCACTTTTAGACAAAAACAGGGACAGGTAGGTTTGATTGCGTCCGTAAAACTGCCCTGCGCTCCGTAGGTCTCACCTTGTCAACGTATGACAAAATCTTCTCGGAACGTGCAAGTACATTACATTTATTCAATCAAACCCACCCACTTTTTGATTGTTTTGTTTGTAGGGGGCCAAAGGGGGCCATGCCCCCCCCCCAAAAAAAACCGAACCCAATGTTGTTGTTTTTGTTAGTGACCTCGCAATAAAGGCAGGCAATGAGTACACCACCACGCACCACCTTTTCCTCAAAAAACATTGGTTAAAGTAGTCAGAATTGCCCAAATCGCACCACTGAGCATGTAGAATCAAAAAAAAAAAAACGGGGGCCTTAAGCGGGCCCCGAACCCCACGCCGTAATTTTTTTAGACCTAGACCAAACTTTTTTGGCCCCCCCCCAAAAAAAAATTGTGTTCTGGATCTGCCCTTGTGTTGGTCCAGTGTGTTTATAATTTTGGAATCAAAATAATCATCTGTTGACACTGTTGCTACAAACAAGAATACTCCCTGCTTACATGCAGTGGATCACGGATGATAATTCTTTCTTCTGTGTGGTCACACTGCCATTCCCGTAGCACTGAAAACAACTGCAAGACTGTCGCTGGAGACGCTGGTTACCGGCCATTAGGCCAGTCAGGAGGTTAAAGATGGCATATCTCAGCGATACCAGTGATAAATAAATACAACTTTGAATACAATCATGTACTTTTATTTAATACGAAAACTTATTTCTCAATTTTAGCCTGATTCCTAAAAAGATACCTGGCTCTCTTAAGGATATAAGCAGAAAATCTGCAAAAGTACGCAAGTACACAATCCGTCGTGAAAGGGGAGAGTTTAAATTAATATAAATTAGATATTCCCAAATCTCGGGTTGGGCATTCTGTTGATAAATCCGACATAGACACAAAGCACTATGTTCTTTATAACGCAAGCAGCCGGAAGCCAAATCCAATGATTTCATCAAATATAGGCTATAAATTTCACACTTAATTTAGGTATCTATTATTTCATTTGATTAATTTTCATATCGTATTTTCCAGGAGCCACACTTCTGGACTCTGACGAAATTGGCACAGATATGTGTATGGTTATGCTGAATAAATGCAGCATTTTTTGCGCAGAAGTATTTGCTCAAATGTCATTCAAGTTATTTCACTTGTTTTTTTTTAAGTCATTACAATGAGATAATATTCTATAACGGACTGCACTAATTGTTAAATTTAAGGCAATGTATTTTTGAGTAGGAAGAAAAGTATAACATGGAAGAAACAAGATAATGTTTAAAATTCTGAAACTCCTGAGTGAGTACCGATGCAATTGTTTCAATACAATTGATATACGTTTCATTATATTTACAGCTAGCGATGCAACTGGTATTGGAAGGCGATGGTTTTGGTAACGGTAGTATGGTACACGAGGCTAGGTTTCTGAAAGTAATATCAATCATATGGCACAGTATGTGCAGAGACGACCTGGTTTAAAAGCCAGACTGAATAAAACAAGGTGCCAGTTTTGTGGATTCTCTTCAGGGGTTTAATTCATATAAAAAAAAAAACAGATTTAAAACAACCGGTTGTGGATCGGCGTTGGAATAGCCAGATTTGCCAACACGGGGCACTATACTTGACTTGTGCAGCTTACATGGATGGAAGCAGCCTGGACATTTTCATAGACAATGTCGCTCTCCATATGCGTCCTCACTGCATCATACAGGAATGTATACTCCTCCTGAAAGAAAACAAACTCAGCATATTTGTAACATGTCTCTAAATATCCGCTGATCCTGTAGCCCAGAGTCTTTTGTTTCCAAGTTTGAGCCAAATACTGAGTAAAAATAAGGAATTCTTAAAAAGAAGACCGAAGACCCAATTATCAGTAAAATGTTTCTGCAATGATTAATTAACATAAATAAAATCTGAAGCTAGCAGAATCAAAACTCGGAGGTAATTTGTTAAAGAAAAATCATTAAATAGACAAAAAACTAATAACAACCATTATTTACGCCCAAGAGTGACAAAGATAGATCGAGAAACAAACCAAAAATGGAGAATCAAACGAATACTCGGACAGAAATAAAAACATACCAGTGACTGAACCATGCCGGGCCGAGCTTCTCTGAGCTTCCTCACGGCATGAAAGACGTCTACAACGTTCTCGTCTTTCAGTTTCTCCAAGATGTTAAGAAGCGCACAGAATGTGCCACTAGCGCCCTCACCGTCACTGAAAGAAAAGGAAGGGTAGTTTGCCAATACACCAATTGGGCTGTTCAATAGGGCATAATCGATCACTGTTCAACAGGGCATAATCGATCATTGTTCAATCCTGGCACCCTCAGTATATTGTGGTTATGTACAAACGGGCCACCTTATGGGCCTTTTTGAAGCGCCCTCCCCGTCACTGAAAGAATTGGAAGGGTAGTTTGCCAACTGACCAATAGGGCAAATCGTCACTGTTCACCAGTGTTGGAGCAAAGGCTTTGACCCTCAAGGCCAAGGCCAAGGCCAAGGCTTTGACCCCCAAGGCCAAGGCCAAGGCCAAGGCTTTGACCCTCAAGCCTCGAGGCCAAGGCTAAGGCTTAACCCTCAAGGCCAAGGCCAAGGCCAAGGCCCTGTTTTATGAAATGACCACTGATATAGAACTAATTACATGTATAGTCAAATGAGTGACACATCATCACGCAAGGGCGGATCCAGAACACAATTGGGGGGGGGGGCAAAGAAATTTTGGTCCCCCCCAAAAAAGTAGGTCAAAAAATTACGGCTTGGGCTTCAGGGCCCACTTAAGGGCCCCGAAAAAATTTTTGGATTCGAGATGCTCTGTGGTGCGATTTTAGGCAATTTCTGACCATTTTAACCGATGTTTTTTGAGGAAAAGATGGTGGTGTACTCATTGCCGGCCTTTATTATGACGTCACATAAAAAAAATTGGTTTTTTTTTTTTTTAGGGGGGGGGGCATGGCCCCTTTTGGCCCCCTGTATCCACCCTTATCATCACGAATTGCTCGTTACGAAGAACAACATTTCTTTAATTGCAATCAACATGCTCGCATAGGCCTACACCGTTTTATGACTGCACTGTATCTATTAAAGTATAAGTTCAGGTCTTCAATATGGTTTAACTAAACAAATTAATGATTTACTTCTATATTGACACACAATTCTCCCAAGTGTAACAAAAGGGGGATCCAAGAAACTGATTTGGGAAATTTTTATTTGCTGGCCCAACATGGTCAGAAATATCAGCATTATCTAAAACAGATACATGCAAATCTTTAGCACTTATCAGGGAGACATATACAACCAATCAGATCTATTCCATAGTTATATGCAATTAAAGTGATCATCTCATTAGCCCCATAAGTGTACGGAATATTTTTGCAGCAAATCAACTACAATGGTAACAAAATGTGATGCTACAAAAGTGGAAGTGTGCCCAACACAGAAATCTATAGGGTGCTTCCCTCCTCCATGGTAATACGATTAAAATGGTAACAGCAAAATTTCGAACAGATTTATCTGGAAAATGCAAAAATCTATGGGCCTTGAAGAGCCTTGACTCAAAATTGCAAGGCCCTGAACCCTCAAGGCCAAGGCCAAGGCCAAGGCTTTTGCCCTCAAGCCTCGAGGCCAAGGCCAAGGCCCTAAAATCCAGCCTTAAGGCAGCCTTAAGGCCAAGGCCCAGCATCAAGGCACTACATCACTGCTGTTCACTCATGGCACCCTCAGTTTTGTGGATGCACTTTACAAACGGGTCACCCTATTGGCCCTTTTGAGATATGGGGACACAACTGGGGGCTGTTTGGTTTGTCTAGACTTTGATGATTGCGAAAGGGTTTTCCCAAACCATATATCACGAAATAACTGGCGCTATAGGCCTATGCCTTTGTCTTTACCAAGAGGTGAGGGGGTTCCATGAATGCATGGTTCTGTTTTAGGATTAGACTTTAGACTAATATGGGTACTTTTTCACAGTACACTCACAGAGAAACCCCCCCCCCCCTATCAGTGGCGAAAATATTTTACATTTCCGCTTTATGCAATAGCTGGCACAATAGGCTATATCAGCTTCGGTCCAAAAATTGGGCCACTGGTATCAAAATGATCGAAAGGAGCTATGCACATAGCGATTTTTGCCAAGGGATGCAAATCTTAGTTGACAAACGTGTGAATGCTTTGCAGTGTGAGCGGTGGCAGTTTGGGATGTTATCACTTTTAGTTGGTTCTTTTTTTCAAAATGGCCGCCAATATGCTTGTTACCGGATTAATTATATGTACAAAAGAGCATGTTTTGGCCACCATGTTTTTTAAAGCTTTTTTAGCATCCAAAAGCTGCCACCGGTACAATGCTATCACATATTTTCCAACTACAAGGGTGGATATCTTGACAAAAATCAAAATGGGCATTTCCCCCCTCATTTGGTACCGACCAAACACCCGGCTGATGGCCTACAATGGTTTCGTCATGGACGGGGGGCTTTGTGAATGTACAGTGATAGCTGTGCTCAGAATGGTCTGTAGTCAGGCCCAACAGATAAAGTACAAAGTTAGTTTTAACTCAAAATGCAGAGGATAGTTAGGTAAAAGAGACTTCAGTTTGAAACTATTGGTCCATTGTTTAGGCCTTCATTTTTGTTTCAATATTCAGTTGATACAATAGAAATGAGCGCGGTTAAACGAATACTCCATCCATCCTTACATGCAGTGGATGACAATTCTTGTTTCTGTGTGGTCGCACTGCCATTCCCGTAGCGCTGCAACCAACTGCAAGACGGTCACTGGAGACGCTGGTACCCTGCCACTAGGCCAGTCAGGCAGTTGAAGATGGCATAACATTCGGGATACCTGCGATAAATATTTCAAAAACATATATTTTAGGCTATATTGAGACAAAATTAACAATGTATGCGAAAGGCGAAATAAAAATACCATAAAACTTGGTGTGGACGTTCTTTTAATGAGTGTGTCAAATCATTGGCGCATTTGCGTAAAAAATTGGGGTTTTTAAGGCAAGCAGCTTAATTTTGAGTCCAAAGGTTTCTTCAAAGAGATACATTTCACACTTAGCAGAAAAAAATCACTTTCCGTCCAACTACTATACCTTGGTTTTAGCATTGGTGAGGGTCAGATAGCGCACCGTAATGTTGTTTGGCATTTTCTCGGTCGACTCCAGGCTTACATCTAGCGGAGGACATGTCAGGGATCCCGCATCGGTCCAATACTTGCCGAAGGTCTATGGACAGAAAAATTAATAAAAACGTTGATGACAAAATAAGACAAGATACTGCGTAATAAAACAAGACATGACGAGGTACATGTATTGAGTTCGACTACAAAACAGTCAAATATGATTAAGGTTTTCAGGGTTAGCTAGGTGAATGGAAAATCAATCAAAATAACCGTCTATCCAGTATGGAATATCGTCTAGACATTTTGTGTGAATAAGCATGTATAAGAAAGCTAAAACAACCATACTGGAGCCTTTTTGAGATATGGAGGACAAAACAGGAGGGCGAAATTTGGTTTGGGTAAACTCTTCATCAGCAAGAGTCTGAAATTATGACTTGAACAGTTTTTTTAAAAAGAGCTGGGTTAAGAATCTCTCGGGTCCAGGGAGACAATTCAGTCTTCGCTTCCAATCTCAACCCCAAGGAAGAAATACCCTATTATAACCAACAACACACCGAAGTCTTTGATAACTTATCCCCGGAGTGATCCCTTGTACTTACCGGATCCTTGTCGTCCAAGTTGTTTAGCATAACGATGCATGAGCAGTTGTAATCATAGACCATTCGCCACAAGTCACCGACGGTCCCTGGTAGGGGCATCTGGGTCGCTATGTACGCACCCTTAGCGCTGTGACTCTGCAGATAACAATACGTGTATCTGTTTATAATATTGCTAAATGCCTCTGGTTGTGTCAGGCACATCACCGACGGAATTAGGGGCCAGGGGCGGCCCCTTGGGTCTGACGTCTGGGTTCGAGTTCCAAGGGAGTAATTTTTTCCCACTTTTACTAGAGAATTCCGAGTATACAGTGTTTACACGTCGGTGAATTCCATTTTATAAATACGATTCTAACACGTTTTGTCCTGGGAGTTTTAGCCAGATGGAAAAATATTTAATTCCCATTATTCCGAGCAATGTCAAAATTCCAACTCCACACAGATTCGCTTCAATCGTAATATAATTTTGTGCCGCTAAAAGAACTATGGATCCCCTCTTTTCTCAAAGATACAAACAACTTCCTGCTTGGTTGTGATACCTACTCGGCACACACAGCCACTCTGCAGCAATACCCATGTCCTGTCTCAAAGAGGACCGCTTAGAAAACAATTACGCAATTAAACTTACGCCAATAATCCATGAGGTGGACTTTGTGTGGGGCTTAAAGAATCTTTTTTAGTAAGTGGTTGGGGCTTAATGCATTTGTCTGTTAGTATAAGTGGTTTGGGATTAATGGATCGGTCTATATTAGTAAGTGGGTGGGGCTTAATGGATTGGTCTAATATATAAGTAAGTGGGTGGGGCTTAATGGATTGGTCTAATATATAAGTAAGTGGTTGAGGCCTGATGGATTGGTCTAATATATTATTAAGTGGGTGGGGCTTAATGAATCGGTCTATAAGTAGGTTGGGATAAATGGATCGGTCTGTTAGTAAGTGGGTTGGGATAAATGGATCGGTCTATATTAGTAAGTGGTTGAGGCCTAATGGATTGGTCGAATATATTAGTAAGTGGGTGGGGCTTAATGAATCGGTCTGTAAGTAGGTTGGATATGGATCGGTCTGTTAGTAAGTGGGTTGGGATTAATGGATCGGTCTATATTAGTTAGTGGTTGAGGCTTAATGGATGGGTCTATTACATTAGTAAGTGGGTGGGGATCAATAGATCGGTCTTTATATTAGTAAGTGGGTGGGGATTTATGGATCGGTCTTTAGTAAGTGGGGTGGGGTTAATGGATTGGTCTTTTATATCAGTAAGTGGTCGGAGCTTAATGGATCGGTCTATTATATTATTAAGTGGGTGTGGCTTAATGGATCAGTCTATAAGTTAGAGTGCTTAAAAACGTCGGAATGAATCTACCATTGCTGACAACATGAATTTCACTGCTCTTTCGCGCAGAGACTGATTCCATCTTAATTTATCATTTAATTAACATCTAGCTACCGTCAAGATCTTTGTTTTAGCGAGTAAACATAGAACATGACTTACACTCAGAAAACATGCATTGATGTAGTCAGTGCTTCCATCTCCTCCTTCGGTCATCAGACGAGGTCTAAAACGGTCCACTGCATTAGAACCATATCAATATAATCACAAATATAACCCGCATCCGTTGTGATGAAAAACATGTGTACACTGTGATATGACATTCGTCTTTTTGTGTTTCCACACAACGATCTCTTGTTTCATCGTGTTATTATACACATCTTATTAAACGTCCAAGATGCAAATCTTTTTGACACCCGAATTCATCAAGGCCGCCAGCTTGGAGGGGATGATGTATGTCTTCAAAAACGTCCAGCGAAGCAACGAAGAGGGGAGCCTTCAAACAGAATCAAGTTCTGGTGGACGTCCTCAGTAGAGAAGAGGTAAACATGGTCCTGCACCAGAATCGGTTTAAACGAGCTCCGTTGTCGATGATGCTGGGACTTCTCAACACACTTGCCGCTAAGGAGGTGTTGGAAGGCAGGAACGAAGGAGAAGTCCGGCAGAGTGTATAGGGCAAGAACCGTAGACAAGTAGTGCTTCAGCCGCAGCACCTTCCCCGAGCTCCAGTTCTGTCACTTGGAAATCTGGCCCAAGTTCCGCGTTCATCGTGGACTCTCCACCATCAGCTGCCGAGCTGTCGGCCCTGGTAGATAACATTTACGTTGACGGGGTGGAAGACGTCCATACCACTCTTCCCCACTCTCGAAGACATGGTCCTTGGAAGTGATGACGTCCTCTCGGGAGGCAACGATGTTATGCAGGGTGACGGCCTTTCAGATGGCGAGGAGATGGACATCGAGCAATCACAAAGGGAGTTGAAGCGTCATTATCAGGAGGATTCTGCAGAAAATTCAGGAAAGCGGTGGCGTGGAAGAGCTTCGGAAGAGGAAGTGGATGAAAAGATAGAACCTAGAAGATACTATTGTCTTACGAGACTCGGTAACAAACATATTAAAAAATACCAGGCAGTTCGTACGATTTTAAATTTAGACACCTTGATCAAAATAATTTCGAAGAAGCCGTCCAACGTTTAGGTGTAATATTCGGTAACATTCTTGAAAGGCAGGGACAGGGGGTTAAATCCCAGTATCCTTACCGTTTATGCCTCTTGACACCATTAACCATGATATTCATATTCACTTTGTGCATATTACTGCAATGCTATTGGGGGGAATCAAACAACGATTGTATAGTGAAGATGTAGAAAGTGCGGAGGATTTTGTAAGACGAAAAAGATCCATCGTTATTAAGATAGACGATAAGGGAACCAATCCGTGTTGTGCTGAGGCAGTTTTAACAGGCATTGCTTCGCTCACATCGAAGCGCCCGTTAGAAGTATACAATATGAAGCGCGGCAGTGCAGTTCAGCGTATCAAGGCAAGGCTTCCAAACTACAACGGGACACGGGGGTGTCAGAAGGTCCATGTGGTATTCCAGAATCACAAACATCCGATGCTTCGCCTGAATTCAGAATCATTGTCATTTCGCGCGACCACATGAATAGAATGATTTTTCAAGGGCCTTCTGGGAAGAAGCAATTTAATTGCTTCTTCCAGATCTTTTTATCATCAGTGCTATATGCGATCCATTATTGATCAACCTACGACATTTTCAACTGATGGACAAGTTGAAAACCGTACTAAAATATATACTTTTTTTATTTTGAGGGCACTCAAGACAGTGGCGTGCACAAGGCAAACCTTTGCGTTGCTCAAATGATTTGTGAAGTGTGTGCCGGGCAGCCATATGGGTATGGCAGCCATATGGGTATGATTGTAGACATATCAAAAGAAGCAAATGATTTTTAGGGAGGATGTGACAAGGAATTTTGTAACTGGCTGTTCCAGTCACCAAACACCCGAAACTCTGTTGAAATTGCTCATAACAAATAGTCATACGATGGGATGTCCCTTCTTCGTTTTCTGTACGAACAAGCTTGTGTATCTGATGTTGCGTATTCCGGGGCAAATATAATATCCAAAGACCCCGTTATAAACGAAAAGCAATTGACTCCCTCAATTTTCTCCCCATGGCCCTAAGTAAGTTACCAAGAACCTTTGGACTGGCCGAAATCAAGAAAGGTTTTTCCCACATCTGTTTAATACCGTACATAATCAGACTTATGTTGGTTTTCTCCTGAGAAAAAGTACTATGCTCCAGATGGTATGAATGAGGAGAGACGAACTGAATTTAACCAATTGTTAAATACAAATTTGAAATGGGAAATACACATTTGACGGATTTGTCCTGACACCCAGACCTTTTATTATTTCAGGGATGCTTTTGGCATGGTTGTCCATATACTGATAGAACCACCGTGATAAAAGATGCAAACAGAAAAACAAATAAGTAGGAATAACGTTGACGGGTTGCGTCTTGGAAATCTTAAATTTAGACTGTCCAGGATACAGCTGTCGAGCTAAGTTCATGATCTGAGATCGATCTTTCGGGTTTTTTTAAGAGCACGAGATAGTGACAATTCAAGGTGATGGTTCTACTATCTCTGGACTGATGATATAAGTTCTACACGATGTAAATAACCGACAGGTTTCGATGGTGTGAGCCTTTGGTAAAAAGTTTGGTCACTTCTGATTTTCATAAGATCGTCCAGAATAATTAAACTTCTGTCTCGCGGGTCAATGAGATCTGACCAATCCCCTGGCAGACTCTCCACAAACTGAACAGCAGGTATATCGCGAGACAGTTCCTCGTAAGCCGGCTGATATTGACCATAACGTCAATACATCTTTGTAGGGCACTGAACAAATACATCTTCTCTATGCTTAATCAAATTACACACCCAATTAGTTTTACCCGACCCGGTTGGACCCGCCTCACAGAATATCGAGGGATGATGCAACCTCTTTGGCATTTGAAAGACTAATACGCTTAAATGTAATAGGGCATTACTCTTATAATGGGACATAATTGACCATGCTTTTGTCAACATTTAAAAAAAAAGGATTCATGCAATTTTGCAATTATATCATTTCTATTTTTACGCACGAAAGAATTTTCTTATGACATCATTTCTATATTTACACAAGAAAGGATTTATTTTAATACATACAGTAATCTTAGTTCACAGTACCAAATCAACTTATTTCACGTACAAATTTATCACGCTTTATTTCGTGGATGTAATAATCGACCAGACCTCGGATTCGTTCAATGCCTGCTATTGCTTTATAGTTAGGTGTATACACTTTGCGAATGGATACATTTTTCCACCTGCATTCAGAAATAATGTTATGTCTACAAGTACAGTTTTAACAAAAAAAAACACTTACAAATTCGTTCTGATCGAGTGATAAAATATGGTCATCTTTACAATAAAAGTCTTGAGACATATTCGGTCTGTACACAGTAATAACAGCTAGGTTGGATTGTACCTTCCAGTAGATAAGTTGTTGTAACAACAGACGTGTCGTCACTTTGTGACTGATAATCCTCAACAAAACATACATTTGGTATCAAAACAAATATCAACAGTGCTAAATTCAATAAGATACTGATAAAAAAAGACATATGTAAACGAATTTAGGAAATGCATTTCGAATGCAATCTTTACAATTACCCATAATGACATGATCTGTTCACGACTTTCCTCTTTAATGTTTAATTATGAAACGAACAACATTCGAAAAGGTTGACATTAAAAAGGGGGCAATTTAATAATTCAAATAATTTTAGGGTAATGCAATACAAAATTATAAATATACATTTATACAATTATAACTTTTTGGAGCTGTAAGAAGGTGTGAGAAACATGTGTTGTGTATTCTGAAGTTTCAATTGAGAAACCGATACGGACTAAGAAAAACGAACAATACGATCCTGACGTACTCGACGGGCGTAACCATAGGGGGACTGTGACAAAAAAATTCTAAAACAACTCGTTTGTGGTTAAACAATCGGAAGTCTCTTTTCATATAATAGACTTGGTTATATTTGCTTGGTTAAAGTGTCACGCGTTATTTTGTACGGATCCGTTATGCTGATTTTGGCATCTTTATCAACTCTGACGATCTTTGAAACTGTGTCAAAATGTAACTCTTAAGCATTTCTATAATTCCATGTATATCCCCTGACTTTGCAACATGTTTTCCCTGTTTCTAACCGATATGCATAATTTTTGGTCCCCGACTAAAAACATTCAATGAAATTTCCGTCCTTAGGGTTTGTTTTATCTGTCAGTTCTCCCAATAAGTCGCCCAGAGGAGGTTTATACTCGCCCGGTCTTTCTTCAAATGCTGTCTGTGTCAAAGTACAGTACGGATTCGGGGTATATCTGTTCCATTATGCTTTACAGTTTCAGGCGAGCATGAGCTGTGGTGAAAGCGGCTATAACCACATTGGTTCGAGGATTCGGGTCTACAAACGCTTTTTCTTGCCAACGCTCGTACTTGACCTCAGCTACTTTATCATCGATAACGTTTACGTGAGTCACAACATCTTCATCAGAAACCAACAAGTTAAACATCCCAGAAGCTATTTTAGCATTAATTTGGTCAATGCTCTTAGTCCAGGGTTTTGCTGAATCTTGTTTTGGTCGAGTATGACACGCTCCTGGCTATTATTACTCGTCAAGATACCGTTGTATATCTTCCCTCATTTTTGCACCAATGCGGTAGGCCAGAACTTTCTTGTTTGATTTTTGAGAAAGTGTTCACATAAGAACCGAATAAATCCCCTTCCGTTCAGGATCGCATTATTTTCTATTATCGAAATTCCACACGGTGTCGATACTAAGAACTTTATACCCTAACTCAATGGCCTTCTCGATTTCGAGCGAAACCCAAGTACCGCACAATGCTCTTTCCTCGTCATTGAGATGACATGGTGTCTGCTTGGTCTGCTCGGCACTTGTACGGCACAGGGGGAACATTCATTTATTATTAGCTCCGTATGACAGGAGCTGATGGTACAAGTTTGACGGCGGTAAGACTTTACATTTGATTAATCCAAAATATTCAGATACATCGCCAAAGTTTTCAGATATTATCCTGTTCGTTAGTACAAACGTCAAACACGCGCACGCACCCATGCCCATTGGATAAACACTCAAGTTGCGTTAGCTTCCGGTTCCAATGGTTCCGATGCTAGTTAATGGCCAGTGGGCGTGGTATAGACTGAACTGGCGTCACACTAACGAAACGTATACGGGGATGCCCTATATTTATTAATATATGGATATAATGCTGTGGAATCTGCATATCTTTCTTTTTCATCCCCTAATTGTGTCTCTTAAAATAGACGAGTTGCATTGGTGCGTCCACTGTAGAATGCGTCTCGCGGATTTAGTGATGGACAATTTGTCAGGCCATCCGACAATAACGTCTGGTCTTTTAAATGTCATGTTTTTCCAAACGCTATTCCACTCACATTCCCACATCTCGACATAATTGCATTCGGGCACTTGTGTTTGGATAAATCTTTTTTTCTCTCTAGTGTGCACATGTACACCTCATTCATTGTCTGTTTGCATCTTTTATTCACGGTGGTTCAATCAGTATAACACTTTGGACAACATGCCAAAAGCACCCCTGAAATTCATTTTAAAAAAGTCTTGGTGTCAAGACAAAATCCGTCAAATTTGTATTTTTTGACCTGCTTTTCTCCTCCATTTTGCGCGTGCTGAATGTGAATCCCTTCAATTTTATTAACATAACGCATCCACTTAAGTGCTGTTTTGGGATAGATTGTCTTTATTTTCCTAACCATTCGGAGGTAAAACCGCTATGGTTTCCGGGGACAAAAAAAAAAGTCTAAAAGTCAAATTACAAGCTGACGCGATAGTTATATGCAATTCTTGAAAGGATCCACACCATCGTCATCGGGCCCCAAGGAAGTTACTTGTTTGAACAACAACCGAAATTGTTGACAGCAGCGACTTAGAATATCTATGTCGCTTATACAGTATGCTAGGAGCTCATCTTTGAGCACGAAGGGTCGTCCCGACTCCTCATCATACCATTGGTTAAATTCAGTTCGTCCCTCCTCATTCATACCATCTGGATCATCGTATTTTTCTGAGGGAGAGAACAAACATAAGTCTGATTATGCAAGGTATAAAACAGGTGTGGGAAAAAGCCTTTCGACATTTCGGCCAGTCCAAAAGTTCTTGGTAACTTACTTAGGGCCATGGGGAGAAAATTGAGGGAGTCAATTACTTTTCGTTTGCACGGGGTAGATTGATGGACATTATTTTTGCCCAAGAATACACAACATCAGGTACAAAAGCATTTTCGTACAAAAAAGAAAGAAGAAATGATTCTGGAATACCACATGGACTTTCTGACACCCCTGCGTCCCTATGTAATTTGGTGTTCTGAGTACCCTAGCTGAATTGCCCTGCCGCGCTTCATATTGTATACTTCTGACGGGCGCTTCGAGGTAAACGAGCCAACGCCTGTTACAATTGCCCTAGCAAAACACGTATTGGTACCCTTGTCGTCTATCTTAACGATGGACCTTTCTACATCTTTACTACAATCGTTGTTTGATTTTCCCCGAATAGGCATTGCAATATGCACAAAGTGAACCTGTATGACTGTAAAACCTCACTAAGTCTTGTCATTAGTCGGTCCACCATTAACTCGTCAAGAGGCATAAACGGCAAGGATACCGGGTACTCCAAATCCAGTACATCAATAATGAATTGAATTTTATCGTGGGATTGAACCCAGCCTTTCAAGAATGTTGCCGAATATTACACCTAAACGTGGTACGGCCTCTTCGAAAGTCTTTTGATCAAGGTGTTTGAATCTTACTTGATAATTGTACGAACATGCCTGGTATTTTTTAATATGTTTCTCACCCAGTCTTGTAAGACGATAGTATCTTTTTGGATGTTCCACTTCATACTCCTCTTCGCCCGAGGCTTTTCCACGCCACCGCTTTCCCAAACTTTCTTCAGAATCCTCCTGATGATGACGCTTCAACTCCCTTTGTGATTGGTCGAAGTCCATCTCCTCGCCATCTAAAAGGCCGTCACCCTGCATAACATTGTTGCCTCCCGAGAGGACGTCATCACCCCCGAGGACCATGTCTTCGAGAGTGGGCAGAGTGGGATCGACGTATTCCACCCCGTCAACGTCGATGTTGTCTACCAGTACCGACAGCCCGGAAGCTGATGGTGGAGAGTCCACGATGAACGCGGAACTTGCGCCAGATTTCCGAGTGACAGAACCGGAGCTTGGGGAAGGTGCTGCGGCTATGAAGCACCACTTGTCCCCGGTTCTCACCGCCTCTGCCGACCATCTCCTTCGTTCCTGCCTTCAGACGCATCCTTCGCGGCAAGCGTGTGGAGACGTCCCAGTATTATCGACAACGGAGTTCCTTTAAACCGAATCTGGTCCAGGACCATGTTTACATTTTCTCTACTGAGGACGTTCACCAGATCTTGATTCAGTTCGAGGTAAGGTATAGGCTCCCCTCTTCTTCGCTTCGCTGGGATTTTTGAAGACATACATCATCACCTCTCAGCTGGCGGCCTTGGTGAATTCGGGTGTCAAAAAGATGTGCATCTTGGACGTTTAATAATATGTATATAGTAACACGTTGAAACAAGAGATCGTTGCGTAGAAACACAAGAAGACGAATGTCAAATCACAGTGTAAAGATACACGAAAAGTGTGTGGTAAATTTAGGTTTGTTGCTAGTACAGTTTTTATAGTCCCTGGCTTACGCAATTGTTTTATATTCTCTTAACTAAAATGATAATTAGTAGGGATCGTGTACATTTTTTTTTCAACCTGATAACTTATGTCCAATCACGATCCTTATAGATCACCTCCCTATTGTCTTCACCAATCACATTGTAGGATTTTGACGGCAAAACAACCAAATTGTATTCTTTAACTTTCACCCAATCTACGCTCCAGTACCCAATTTTACGGCGCTGCTAAGCAAACAAATTTGCTTAGCACACAAAAAACCTGGCTTATAAAAGCAGTTTACCAGCCAAAGCTCCACTTGATTTTCATGCTATAGCAAACAACAGCTGAATACTAATCACGAGCAATATACACATGGGCGTCGCGAGGGGGGGGCAAGGGGGGGCACTTGCCCCCCCCCCCCCCCCTGGAAAAGCAAAAAAAAAAAAAAAAAAAAAAGGAAGAAAAAGGAAGAAAAAAAAAAGAAAAGAAAAAGAGGCGCGAAGACAAAGTGGTGTAAATTTAATGAGTTGGGGGGGGGGCAAAATGTCCCTGCCCCCCTCTAAAACTGATAAATCGAGAATGTGTTGAGAAATACAAGCATTTTTTGGCAAAAAAAAATTTTGCCCCCCTCTAGAAAAAATCCTGGCGACGCCCATGAATATACATCACATGGAGTTTTAGCTGGTAAATTGCTTTTATAAGCCAGGGTTTTTTTTGGCTAAGCAAGTGTTTGTGCTAAGCAGCGCCGTGAAATTGGCCCCAGAACTCTACGTTATATTCTAATCCTCCCACCAATCACATTGTAAGATTTTGACGGCAACACAACACCCTTATCTCCAACCGCAAGTTTACCTAATTCTCTTGTTACACAACTCTCTCATCTACTCCTTATCTACTCCACCCTCAAAAGCACACCCTAATCCTCCTAATCCCTTCTATTTTTACGCCTTATCAGCTTCTTAGGACCCCGTTCCCACTTGATCCACCAATTGGGGGATCTGATCCACCTTTTGCCAAATTGCCGGATCAGATCCCCCAATTGGTGGATCAGATCCGGCAATTGTGTGTAGTGGGAACGCTAACCGTTATAAGGTGGATCAGGATCAGATCCACCTTTTCTGATCCACCTCTGGACCAGGATACAGATCCCCCAATTGGTGGATCAGATCCGGCAATTGCCGGATCACGATCAGATGGGAACGCAAAAGGTGGATCTGATCCGGCAATTTGACCTGTTAACATCCGCCCGGTGCACGAGTGGCGCGAAAATGTTGCGGTCTCATGAACGAAGAAACACGTTTTCAGGCGTGTAGCTCATGTGAAGATTTCCAGCGTATACAACATGCACAATAAACAACCGCTGAACTACGGGCTAGCACCGCGCATGCAAAAGCGCACGTGGTATCCACAAACTACACTACAGGCCTTATTTTTGTTGCGTGTTCGTCCATTACTTAACCTTTTTCATTCCTGAAATTTTACTTATTTCTCCATCCATAAATGACTCTGAGTCCGCACTCACCAAAAGACTTCACTTTGGCACAGAATCATGGAAAAGCTTACGAGTATGCGGATGAGAATAGTGCCGATAACGCGGTACGTACGGAGGTGACAAATCTGAAGTATTGATTATAGAAAATTGGAAAATGATGTCGTAGTACATCATGTGACCGTTTCTAACCAATGAGAAGCTTCAGAACCAGGGAATCCCTTATCGATGCATTGGTTTCTGCCGTGATGTCACACAATGAGCGGCTCTGTTGGATTTCACCTGTTAATTTATGCACGCACGGATCCTCTACGGATCCGTGATTTATGTTGGTGAATTCGCGTAATTTTTTGTCTGTGAATTCTGATAGTGCTGTTTGAAAACTGACCCACCCTGGCCTAGCATGCAACCATGCAACAATGGCACTCCCACAGAGCGCGCGTAATTCGGAACTCAGTGACCTTTCGGACCCAACATTTCCGTACGAAAAGGTGGATCAAGCATAAGTGGGAACGCGACTTGCGGTTTCGTTGCGGTAAGATAACGATCACACCAAAATGCTGGATCTTGATCCACCTTTTTCCAATTCAAGTGGGAACGCGGTGAAATTCATCACCCTGTATCTTATCTATTACGTAATGTTTGTTTTCTACTAGGGTGTTAATTAAAGAAGTTGTGACTTACCTTTTCTTTTAAATGAACGTTCTTGTCACCTGAATACGTCAGGTTGTAATTTTTAATTCATACCTGGTAACTTGTCTGGGAATCTATTCTTTCCAACGTTCTTCGGATCCCGACCTCCTAGACATTGGTCTGAACTCACAATACTGGACAGACGAGTGAGTTTCTAAACAACAAACGAGAGAAATGTCCAAGAAAGGTTATATCTGACACAGAAACACTGAAAATATCACAAACTGAAAGTTATACTGTAAATTATTATAAAAGCAGTGGCTTATCCAGCTAGTAAGGCATTTTATACGGTTTTTAAAAGGGTTCAGACGTCAATACAGAAAAGTCTTATTTTGCCTCGCCCAGCATACAGGAAGTGGCGTATACTCCACTTCACTGATCTGGTCATTATTTCGCAAAACTGGCTTATTAAAATAGTTATTATTTAGCAATAAACTAATAAACCGTTTAGTCATATGGGTTTATCATCCATAAACGATCCGTCAAGTCTCGGTGGTGCGGCAAAACTATCATATTCGTCAATTTGTGGTGCACATCAAAATTTGTAGACGCTATGCAATATATTTTTTAATTGCGTTCCCATGAAGTATGAACCGGCCTTTAGAGAGAATTTTATATGACAGATTTCTCACCTCAAACTGTTCTTGAAGCCCAGTCGTCCGATTTGAATTGGTCTTCTTTAGGCCAGCTAGTTCGCTGCGAAAGGCATCTGCTTGTATGGACGTGCCGCCATATTTGAATTCTTCTAACAAAGCATCAAATACGAACTCATACTGTGCCTGAATATGTACAAAATGTATAGCAGGGAATGCGATTAGAACGAATGCCAGGTTTGTGAATCAGTTACTTTCTCTCGCTTTCAAGTTCTTTAACCTGCCTTCAAAATGTGTGCATCAGCTGGCTTTGGTTTTTCAAGCATGATTATCATGAACTCCCTCTGTTGACTTAAGTCGGTTATTTTCTCCTACCTCTAAATATGACACTATCTTTCATTTCTTCATGCTTCTATTTAAACGTAACAACATAAACATTACTCCAGATTTGATTTAACATCATATTATGAAATTATATATTGAAGAGCAGTTTTACTACATAAGTGATATGTCGGGCTGATATTTCACAATGGAAGACTTTTGAGACACTTGGTGTCAGAGAACAGTCCTTTTCAATTGCTTACGTCATGATAAATCTAATGTGCGCATGTCCAACAATTGAATAGAACCGTGAGTGTTTTCTGCCACCAAACGGTTCAAAACTTTCCAATTAAGTATTTATAGCCGTGTGCTTTGTAGAAGTAGTTGAGTGCATGCAAAACAATACCAATTCCTTTTTAACTAATTCCAAATTATTTGCAAAAAGAAACATTTTCATTTTTATTTTGAAAATGCTGATGAAACATTCCCAGGAGGAGATCTGAAAATAGGGAATTATGTGCAAATGTACAGTGTGATTTATTGAACATGAATTTTCTTTCGATTTTTTTTTACGTACGGCTGTTTGAATCATTTTCATTCTTCTGTCTCTCATTCTACGAGCGAAGTTCCAGATGTCAACTTTGCCCTCTATCCTGGCTTGATCCAGCATGGCGTCGAGTACGATGTAGGCTCCAGTACGGCCAACTCCAGCACTACAGGGTTAAGCACACGAAAAGAAACTACAGTCCCAAAATTACCAAATAATATCATTTGGTATCAATATTCACAATGAACACTATGCATGCAAAAGTGAGCCTTGTACCAATGTAGAAGACAAACAATATTCTTAAATAAAAAGTAATCGTTATTTTTATCATGACAGCAGAACATCGACTTGTCTTTTCGAGGGAACAATGTTTTATAATCAAGACTACAGCTGAAATGTCCCACTCAGTCGTTTTCAAAACCCTTTGAATTTTGTCAATGTGACGAGATTTATAGATTATTCATGGCTTTTTAGTGCACCTGGCCACTGGAAATGTTTAGATGTTCGATCTAAACAAATGTTTATTTGTTACGTACCATGCACTTGCACTCTTTTGAACTGTTTTGTACACAGTTGTATATAGTCAACAAAACTAGTCATACACTGCCTAGCGTGTGTTCAGTGTACCTTACTCCAACAATGGTAAGCAACGTTTCTCAACAAACTTGTTATAAAATATTTTCATGCACCAAGAATGTCTCAAAATGATTAGTGAGCAGGACACTTGAATCAGTTGTTGTTCTATTCCACTGGCCACCAACCTGCAATGTACAACCATTGGTCCGGTGTCTTTGGAGCTGTACGCCTTGACCATTTTGACGAAGCTGATGACCTTACTTGGGTCGTAAGGTACACCCATATCCGGCCACGACGTGAAGTGGTACTGACGCACATTTCTGGTAGACTGACCCTAAGTTCGTTTAGATAAATATAAACTCATCAGCACTGCTTTCACACTGTAAGAGCTTTACCTAATGGGTGGTGAAGAAGTATTTCAAAATACACTGAACGTCTTGAAAATGTGAACCGCATACTAATAAGATAAACCTAGCTAAAGTCGATAGAAAGGAGTTACAGGTTGTACTGGTATCACATAGAACATAGCAATAATAGTACACAAACTGCATGCACAGCTCTGTTTTTCGGTAACAACAAGCAATAAAATCCTATGTTAGACCAGTTTGAGGTAAAAGAAAATCACACCCTCAATAATGATACACCTCAATAATGGTGGGTTGAAAATGTGGAAATAATTTAGTTCTAAATTCGGGAACAAAAACAATGATTGCCTACGAAACATTCATATATCTATATTATGGCCTTATGTTTAGTTTAATAACAGGCCCAATTTGCCACTCTGGCTAAATTCCTTAGTCAACAGAGAACTTGTCATTTACTAACCAAAAGTGTCAAAGAGTCAGCTGTATTACCGTTTACATACGAATCTAAAATATCCGTCCGCACCCACCTTTACCCAGCCTGAATAAAACAGTCACAACTTGTCTAAAACAGAACAGGCAACATAATTATGTCCCCGCCAAAATAATATTCGGAATTACTTTAAACTACGTAAACCCTATACCGGCTTCTTTGTTAGGTCGAAGTCTGATTCTGAATTTCTAGAGGAAATACCTGCTATTATTGTGATTTAGTTGTCATTACCTCAAGGACCTGTAAAACCTTCTTCAAACCCTTTGTCTCATCCCGCATAAGCCGATGTAAAAACACATACGTCAATGGTTTCCCCAGATAGGTATAAATGGACGAGATACGATCTGTAATGCTTCTTGATACCTCTTTTTGTAGTTTAAAATCGCGTATGGTGTAGTCTACATGTCTCTCCTCTGCCTGTAGTCTAACCGTCAGCTGCCCGTAGGTTGCTGTGTCATCTGGCCAGTATTGAGCACACTTACTCTGAAGAAAATACGGATTTGGGAAATGTATTTCATCCATCTTCATATTGTGTGTGGTGCCAATTAAGGCATTATTTGATTTCCAGTTTTGTGAGCTTGTATTGTTACCTTTTCAGGCAACCCTTTTATAGCTACTGTATTCTAGGCTTTATATGTCGAAAAAAAAAGATAATTTCGGTATTTAAGGCACATTGAAGCTTCTTGGCATACATCAAAATAGCTGCCGGGGATTTCCAACTTATTTGCGTAAATCTGCATATAGGCTTCAGGACGAAAATGTTACTGAAAGTAGGTAGTAGAATGATACAAATCAGTCTTGTAAAAACACTCTACACTAGCAGATAGGCGCACACGATTTAGTGATCCGTAAAGAGTCGCTGGTAAAGTTTTGAACGAATATAACAAATAGGAGGATTCCTTTGCTTAAACACTTGACTACAGTTTAAATGATACTTAAGGCGACCCAAACTATCTCTGACGAGGCTCAGAAGTGTTACCTTGACGCCTTCCAGTAGGTTGGTCAACATAACGATCTTAGACGTGTTTTTCTGCCAAACCATGCGCCACATGTCAGTCACAGAGGCCTTGTTTGGACCTTAAGCAAAATATATATATTAACAAATTTCAAGCATAACATAATAGATTAAGGTACTTCCGAAACAAGCAAAACTAACCAAACGTGGAGCGAATCTTCTTTAACATATATTATTTGCACTACATGCATTCCATTTTTAACTTTGAAATGATTGAAATTCAATGGCACTTTCAGTACACTTTAAGAGAGAAAAAACATCATACCTTGACTTGCAATGTACCTGTTTGCTTCATTGAAACCCTAAAAAATTAAAAGAAAATGATATTAATTTCACTGACACAGAAAAGATCACCCATCGCGCCAACTGCGTAAATCCATACACCATCGTGGTTGAACAGTCAAATCGGAGTCAGGTATTAAAGAACAATGAAATTGCAAACAAAAATTATGTTCATGAAAATCTGCAAAAACATCCATCTGAACAAAAGGGTGAAAAAAAATTTCTGCAGACAATTAAAATGGAAACAAATTATAATAAACCAGGCTCGGCCTCAAATACAATATATCAGTTTACGTAATACAAGCTATTACAGGCAGGTATTACACTCCCATTTTGAGGGGAAAATGATCTCCACTGGTCCTGGCAACATGCCCGCAAATGTGTTAGCGGGTAGTTAAAATTGAACAATTATTCAGCTATGTTCCTTGATTTATGAAAGTGTCTCATTGGTCATTGGTTCTTACGTCAATGTAACTTGCGTTCACGTAATCCGAGTACGGGTCATCTGGTAGTTCTTCAAGTACGACACGATAATCGTCGTCTAAAAAGTGAATGATATGAACGTTACACAGATTCAATTATAATACCAACGTCTTGTTACTATACATCACTAGGAAAAAGCTTGCAACTTAATTTAGTTTTAATTTTCTCGAAAATTGGCAATTTCAAGGAGTCCGTTCTCAAAAAAGGGTCATTGAAGATTTTCTTTTAATCATTAACGCGGTCAATTTTTTTGCATGTTATAGTATTTATATACTTACAACGATAATACTGCTGAAGTAAATGCTTATTTGAAGTAAAATTAATTTTTCATTTACATAAATTCATATCGCTGAAGTAGTAGTATTTACTCACAAGGAATAATGTTGGCGTAGCGGTTCTTTGCTCTGTTCTGCTCGTGTCTTGCTACGGAACTGGGGTTGAGAGTCCCATCCGGCAAACTCTACAAGAACAAGGCAAACTGAAACATGACTGATCAACATACTCACAAGGAGGAATGTGACACCCTCAGTAGTAAATATGATTCACTGAGTAAGCATGTATTTAAACACCATATTTTATAGACCATCTTTAAGTATTGCTAATTATTTTTCTTTCGTTTCAATGACACGGTTTAGCTGTACTTGCTAATTACCTTATAATCTCTGAGAAATCCATTTGCGTCCCCATGCAAGTCATGCTTCTTCTTCCAAACATAGTCCTCAAAGTCAGCCAGGGCCACGGGCTGGTGAGACGCTTGCCTCTTCCGCTGGGTAGGCTTAGGTTTGGCCGCGACGACAAGCGACTGTGAAGGAACGCTAGGTATAGATGCGGCCTCTTCCGAATTACAGATCTCCTCTGCCGCATTAAACGTGCCGAGATTGATGTCTTTTAGATCTTCAAAATGAATGAATCAATCGGTAAAGCGGTTTTTGCAGTGTTTTGTGAAGGAGACGTGCTACAGAAATGACATTGGACAAACATTCAGAAAAAAAAACCGAAGTATACACATAGGTTTGACAAGTCTGCTTAAGTCAAACGAAACCCGAATATCGTGTATTATTACGCTCAGAAAGCTTCTAAAACCCTGCTTTTCAAAGAAAATGCCAACCGGTCCTTGGACGTCTTATAAAGCTAATAACACACGAAAATGTATAGGCCTACCATTACTCGAATCCAAGTTGATACCATCCGAGCTCAATGTCTGTTTTCTTGCTCGTCGTCTACATTTTAAAAAAAAAAACAGTTGCAAAATAATCGTTTCATATATCAACATTAAAAATGTATTTGCCGTCATGAATGGAACTACTTTCCATTTTCTTGAGTGGGAGGTTGCATCAGCGGCTGAAGACACTGTTCTTTTGTTATCCATGTTTTTTCCTTTAAAATATTGTTTCACATGTCTCAATGTAAAACGAAGTTTGCAGAGGCCTACATGCGGGGTATTCTTTCAGGGAAAGGAAAACGACATCAGTTCAAAACGAGTAACAGCAAAACGCCCCTTCCATTTAATATTCTCTTTTTGAAGATGACAAAATTCGTAGCCAATCGTTTTTAGAGACATTCACCATTTTGACCATGAACCAAAAAGCTATACATACGCCACTTAGAACTTATACTATCATATTTCTTCCTCGGTGTCAAAAGACAAGGTTTTTTTAACAGATTACGATGTATAGTTTTATGACTAAACTTCAGGCTCCTACCTTATAAAGATTACTCCAACGGCTAATCCCACTAAGATGATGAGCAGGAAGGGAACTACCAACGCAGCCACAGGGAAACCGCCTTGACTATCGTTGTTTCCGAAATTACTTCCAGCCACTGTAAGGGAATGATACGTTTTGACGATTTAAAAGTACAGCATTGGTAACAGATATTTTGTCTTTGCTCTCCAACAAATTTGATTCCTCACGACAATTTCTATTTGTATGTTTTATTTCTACGAAAATAAACCTTCTCTTTTTTCTATATTGGGCGTCCACAGCCCTCTGAAAAAAAGTGCTTATATTTTTGGTTAACTTTGGGTACAAACAGATTCGCCTAAAGAGTAGACTGGTTCCTAGTCCCAATATTATCGATATGGACGGGGCGGAAACCAGTTAACCTGCGAGAACTGAAATATTTGCGGGCCTCTCAAATAACGTATTTGTAAAGTAATTATTACGTAATTTAACATATCCGGGGTTTTTTTCATCTTGGGTCTCATTCGAAAGTGAAAAGCTTGTATTGCTAAAGAAACATAGTAATTCCAGAAAAATGAATTCCAGTTGAGTGACTCCCAAATAGTACCAACAGTACATCTGTAATTCAAAAACGAATACAGCAGAAGGAAAATATTTATAATTTGCGATATTATACCAATGTACAATGTATGCTATTTCAATCATCAAAAAAATGCCTCTTTGACCGACGAAGGGAAACAGAAAATGCGATCAAACGATGTGCTACCTTTGACTCTTAGCGGTTCTTCCCGGAAAACAACAGTCTCCTGTGTTTATGAAAAGAAAGAATTAATAATTATATCGAAATCATATCAAAATACGTTTTGCATTGCTTGTCTGTTGTAAAGTACAGACTTGATATAAACAGACATTCAGCGCTGGCATGGAATGTTTCAGGCACTGTCTGACACAAAATGTTTGGAGTTATTTCAGATATAATTATGGACTCATTCAAATCATAATTTCTTAATTTCAAATCCAATGTTTTTACTAAATTTATTCACCCCTTTACGAAATGAATGAAACTAACTGTTTTAACAAAACTATTTCAAAATACACCTATTTTGTAGATACTAATACAAATGTATGTTAATTCAAAAATAACGAGAATTACACTCTAAAAACAACTAAGTCAAATTATTGACTGGTTTTCCTAGTTATTGGAAATTGACTAGGAATTTAGTCAAACATGCAAAATTTCATACCATGACTAGAAAAAGTAATTGGGTTCGACTCCAATTTCAGTTATTTGCATAACTATTTCTTCAAAGCCAGGAATACTGACTGGAAAAATCTAGTCAGATTGACTGATTTTCAGTTGCACCCAGCTGACCCTGAATGGCTAGTCAAATTTAACTGGTTTATAGTCAAATCTGACTAATGCTTTTTTAGAGTGTAGTTTTCCCTCTCTTTATGGACGCGTGTTTGCGACTTAAACTTAAAATCCGTGTAGATCCGTATACGCATTATTCGTAAACGTCGCTTAAGAAAACAACTTCCATATCGTCATAAAGCGCAGACTTACCGTGTCAGAAGTGCTACTGACTGACCCAAGGTATATATCATACGCGGTCTCAGCTTGCAAGGGTAGATTGCGATATCCGCCGTAGGTCCCGTTATCTCCCACGGTGAAGGTATCCGGTAAGTCCTCTTTGCTGAATTCTGCAGTCACGTACCTGTTGTCTAGTGACACTGCACTACTCGGTCCGTAATGGCGAAGACCCGCTCGCACTGGTACGTCACTTGCTTGCCCGACCGGCTGAACGCTGATCTGAAAATCACTGCATAATACCATCCATAAGATTTCTTTAGAATTGTTTAAATGATACATGTATGACTGTGGAAATAAAAAAATAAAAAAAAACAAGATGTTGTTGCAAAATCAGAACAGATGTCGAACATCGAATGAGAGTGACGCAAAAACAATACGTTCTCTGGGTCAGGTTTCCATAACATATTACTTAGTCATTTTTGACGTTCATTTCAATGTTTTAGAGGTTCAATGTGAAGAGGAAGGCATTTTTATTTCTCGCTCCATTATCTTAACAAAGATGGCGGTAGCGCAACCATGTGGCAGAATACCCCTTACAGAAATCAATGCTTACGTGATGTACGTTGACACAGCGGGCGGTGATAACGTAATGGTGACCGTGGATGAAGTCGTTAACGATGATTCCACGGAGGGTTCTGCTGGTGGCTTAATATCTGGTATCACACAAGAACAATGAATTATACTTAAAATTCTAAGCACTCTAATTCTCAACTATATTCTTTCTATAATGCGGCAATATATTGAAATCATATTTTTTCAATACTTGCCAATACTGCGATCCACTCAAGAGTCAGCAGACAGCTCCATCATTTCATTCACTCAAACATTTTAGTAAATAAAGTAAGAAATCAAATGCCCCAAAGAAAAGGAAAGATTTTAAAACTTTTTTTAAGAGGAAGGTAAGTTTCCCTTGCTTAAATAACGGCGTAAGCAGAAATCGTTTCCTCACGGCAGCCGTATAAGCTCTTAGCTTGATAAAGTTTCCGCACGTTAAAAGGAACAAGGTAATATTTGTGTTATGTGTCACTATCAATAGTTGCTGCATTTAACCTGTTTCTACTGCTGTGTTTATATCTAGGACTCCATAAGGACCAGGTGTATCCACGTCCAGTCTTGCCACTCCAGCAAGTCGGAATTCGTATTTTGTCGACGGCTCCAAACCGGTCACAGTATGAAGCATTGCAGATTCCGAGATGTCGACTGGAGTGAATGATGCACTTGGCTTAAATGTCTTATTGTATGGTTTCTCCAACACCCGGTAGTCCAACTGCTCAAACCAATAAACAAAAAGAAACGATGGGTCGTCATGAAGTACGATATGTATGGAACAACGAATCACTTTGTGGCATAACACCATCAGTGTGGTTAAATAGGAATCTTGGGCGTGAAAAGTGTTATGATAAAAAGGATGGAAGTAAAGTTCAATACATGGTACACTGGCATTTCACAGTTTGCATTACTTGCCAATGATCCACTTTAGGAATATGATCAATGATAGCTCTCGAAAGCTAAGGCAAATAAAAAGATTCAAAAAGAAACCAAGCACTGCCATTTTTGCAATAGTGATTTTTTGGGGGATACATTTCAAAAGACTATGTTGTCAATCAAGAATAAATTATTTGCCATGACTTACCGAATATCCTACAATGTCTGCATTTCTCTCACCGCACGGTATCTCACCCCATGCGAGTCGAATGCTGGTTTTCGTCTGATTCGTGGATGTAAAATCAGCAGGGGCTTTGGTTGGTTCTAAATTAGAAAAAAAATGAGCAAATATTAGCATATATGGTTCCATTTCTTTTTCTTTAACTTAAGTATACACTGTATAGCTAAATCGGAGGAACATTTATATTGGAACAACAATACAAAAAGGAGTAGAAAATGTCGAGCATAGGGGAAGGTTGAATAGCCTGAACACAAACTTGTTATATAAATGATATGCATTAATTTTATCGTACTGTTAGTAAAGTTGAATATTCCTTCCCGATCAACTTATCAAGTATAAAATGATATGCAGAGCTATCACAAGTCTTTTAGAAACGCACCAGCTAATGTAGTTAAAATGTGGAAAAAGACACAGTTCATCCTGTTTTCCTTGACTTCACATGTGCTATTACTTGTGATTTGCCTAGATTACAACTCGGATATGTTTGCCTATTTATACCGGTTTTTAGAGATTAACCAATTTGGTCAGGCGACAATTCGGCAAACATTGCAGACAAATGATGCGGTTGAATGGCTCATTAAGGCCCGAGAATGTTTGGTAAGTATCTGTTGTGTCAAAAATATCACAAAGGTCATACAGGAAGCACTTGCCTTTAGAAGATGTAATGCTTTGGATTGATTTCTCGTCGCTTTCACCTGCCTCGTTGCTAGTTCTCACATACACCTTGTACGTCGAGTGTGCTTCCAGTCCACCGATGATGAGGCCTGTGTCTCCGCCTAAGCCATAGGGTACACGCCTCGGTGAGCTAAGCGTCTCGCACTGGTCTCTCGTTATCAACTCATATTCTACAATGAACTCAATACTGCAGGGGTTGCGGCTGGTATCTGGCGCGTCCCAACTAACTTGCAATTCGTCTGGTGCTGGTCCGGCACTGGTGTTAAGATTCTCTACTGGGCCGTGCGCTGTAGGGAAGCAATACGGGTACACCGTGTTAAACCACTGAGTTATCCACAATATAGATGGCACGTGTGATTGAATTAATTTTGGACGGCATGAATGTGCATTGTGGATGCGCTAGGTCATGCAACATATTGTTCACATGGTCCAGTAACGTCATCGAGTATTAATCTAGGCCTAAATGTAATCATTTTGTAGAACCAAACAAAATGCTTTCAACACTCCGGCAAGAAAGGAAGGATTGTATTGGATACAAAGATTTCAGACTTAATTGATGTGGGTTAGACGTACGATCCTTTTTTTGTCAAGTTTAGTGAGAAAATAAGTTAAGCTCAGTTTAGACTGGGGTTACCTTAACTAGAATTGAGTAGGAATATTAGAAAAATACTTTTGGTACACGAGAGTCTGTGTTAGGAAATGCCTCCCGTTAATATTGCTTTTCCCTCATAAGAAGGTCACTCCTAAGTATTGTTACTGAGAGAACGTCTGGAAAGCAATACTAAACTTAATAAAAGTAATTAGCAAATATCAGGATGTGAGTCCCATACGTTACCTCGTGTGGATGTGGTCACTGATGTGCGGTTACTGTACGGTCCAGGACCATACGTTGTTAGAGCTGCGACCTGCAAAGTGTAGTCAGTGCAGGGCAGAATGGCGTCATCAATACGCACAGACATTTCATAAGACGAGCCACTCATGAAATCAAATGCAGTGGATAAGTTGAACATGTATAAACTAACAACCCCACCTCTGCTGCCACAGGATACTTCATCCCATTGGAAACTCACACTTTCATCGGTTGAATTGAAGAATTCGACATTACTTGGAGGGGCTTGTGGTGCTGTATATAATAATAGGGGAAAACAATAATAATAAAGTATGGTTTTATACTAGGCTCATCCTGTTTTTTTCGTGACTTGACATTTGCCCTGACTTGTGATTTGCCTAGATTACAACTCGAATATGTTTGCCTATTTATACTGGTTTTTAGAGATTAACAAAATTGGTCAGGCGACAATTCAGCAAGCATTGCAGACAAAATTGATGCGGCTGAATGGCTCATTAATGGCCGAGTATGTGTTTGGTAAGTCTTCTTTTGTGTCAAAGATATCAGAAGGGTCGTACAGGAAATCACTTGCCTTTAGAAGATGTAATGCTTTGGATTGATTTCTCGTCGCTTTCACCTGCCTCGTTGCTAGTTCTCACATACACCTTGTACGTCGAGTGTGCTTCCAGTCCGGCGATGATGAGGCCTGTGTCTCCGCCTAAGCCATAGGGTACACGCCTCGGTGAGCTAAGCGTCTCGCACTGGTCTCTCGTTATCAACTCATATTCTACAATGAACTCAATACTGCAGGGGTTGCGACTGGTATCTGGCGCGTCCCAACTAACTTGCAATTCGTCGGGTGCTGGTCCGGCACTGGTGTTAAGATTCTCTACTGGGCCGTGCGCTGTAGGGAAGCAATACGGGTACACCGTGTTAAACCACTGAGTTATCCACAATATAGATGGCACTTGTGATTGAATTAATTTTGGACGACAAGCACGCGCACTCTACATTATGCATTATGTCGCCCAACATATTGTTCACGTGGTCGACTGACGTCATCGGCACCTCCCCTTTGTGGCATGCATGTCAGTTCATATTTATTTAGAGACTATTTCAAATTATTCATGAAGGCCTAAATGTAATCAATCCAGGAGGGTTTTTAATTTTAGCATATAACTGAACAAAACACCTACAACAACGTTTAGAAACATAACATTAGGTCTTCTCCAAAAAGAGATAACATCAATATACTGACATAATACGGAAAAATAATCATAACGGGTACGGGTATGCTTAATCTTTAAGACCAGAAACCTGATTGAGGTACGTTAAACGTTAACAGTGGTATTTTTTTTCCATTCAGTCAGCAAGTAATCGGCTGAGTTTCAAATGGTCATGTTTAAGGCTGAGGTTGCCTGAGCTAGCTGGATTTTAAGCGTAAAATTAAGCTGTTGGCTATTTCTTTCCCATACTTCTGGTTTGGTGCACGGGAGTCTGTGTAAAGAAGCTCCTCTAGAGTTTGCTTCTTAAAGAGGACAGAGGCCTGGGTATTGTAAATCAAGATAAAAGTCTGTTAAGCAATAGGGGCCTACACTTAGTTCAATAAAAACATACATGTACATGTATATTACCGTTTGGGCCAAAGTTACCTCGTGAGGACGTGGTCACTGATGTGCGGTTACTGTACGGTCCAGGACCATACGTTGTTAGAGCTGCGACCTGCAAAGTGTAGTCAGTGCAGGGCAGAATGGCGTCATCAATACGCACAGACATTTCATAAGACGAGCGACGCGGCTGGACATCATTTGTAGTGGATAAGTCGAATATGTAAAGAGTGACAAGGCCACCTCTGCTGCCGCACGGCACTTCATCCCACTGGAAGCTGACACTGTCATCGGTGGAATTGAAGAATTCGACATTATCTGGAGGGGCGTGTGGTCCTGTAATGATAAAAGTTCAAAATCAATAGCGTGTTTGCTTTCATTTATTGAGGCTTAAATTCACGACTGGAATACTTAATCGTTACTATTAAACGCAAACTGTTTGCCTTTGGAAGATCTTTCAAAACGATTCCCTTGATGGACAATTTACGTTGATGTGAGGCCCGTGTACTTAGAAATGGAGGAGATAAGATATTTAACAATTGTTGACTGGTGTGATGTGGGATATGACGTTTTGAACACCCGAGGCGAAGCCGAGGGTGCTATGCGCCCTGAGGGTGTTCAAAACGTCATATCCCATATCACACCAGTCAACAATTGTTTTGTTATACCTATGTCTTGGATTGTTTGGATTTTAATGTAAAAAAATCACGAAAACAAACAGCAGTAAACACAACAATCATGACAATCTAACGGCAACTCACATGCATGCGTGCTCGAAACAGCGGATAGTCTGCAAGTTCGCTGCATTTTACGTGTGAAACCCGTACGTACCGTACGCACAAAGTCATAGCACACTGCCTGTGGGATATCACGTCAATGTGCTATGACTTTGTATTAACTAAACACGTGATCGTTATAGGCCAATACAAATACAGTATTCAAGACAGAGGTATACCAATCAGGCTTATCGTCCACGTCCGAAGTACCTGGCTACGCCCAACAATGAAACACTTGTTTTAGGATATTCGGGCCGCTTGAATATAGGCGCATATAGCCAAGTCATTCAAATGGGCCTGAACAGCCAACGCTGCTGCCCACTTAATTCACCAGCTATCTACATGTGAAATATTGTTGACTAGTCAAACCTCAAGGAAACAGGTTCAAAATTTGACTGAAGCAGAGATTTTGGTTAAGCAGGGTTTTCATTGTTATACTACTGAGAGCAATGGATTCTATGTTTAACTTATAGGCTACAGTTGTTTTGAGTTATCAGAGTTCGACTTATCAAGATTTCACTGTACAATTAGGTTTTGACTGGTTCTAGAAGGTCAGCCTAGTGTCCACTCTGTCGCTATTGACGGTCACTTGTGAGTAAGACTTGCTTCAGCCTCACCTTGTCCAAAAGTATTAGTGACTCAGAGAAAGAGGGCCAGCTTAGAGTGTATCCTCCTAACTGAGCTGTCACTTGTGAATCTTAGACATCACCTTACTTGGCCCAAAAGGAGTGGAACAGCTTTAGTACTAGGATTGCTTTTTCGATTGATGAAATGAAATGAAATGTTCCAGTAAATGGCACTTACGTCCTTCAGCCGTGGTGAACTCGTCAAAGGTGACGCCTTCAAACTGACCAAGGCCAGCCTCGTTCTTGGCCCGCACACGGATCTTGTACGTGGAGTACGGCAGATACTGGGGATCATCATCGTTTGGTACTTGCCATGTGTAGGAAGAGGACTGTGTATCGACAGTCGCTACGTCAATGTAGTTACCAGAGGCCGGTTGGCATTGATCCTGATTCACCAGCTCATGTTGAATGCTATAGTTACTCACAGGGCACATATTGGACGCGGCAGACCATGCCAGCTGCCTTGTGGTGGTACTTGACACTGTAATGTTAAAGTTCTTCACCGCAATGGGAACTGATGGATAAGAAAAGAGGAAACACATTGTAGTATCCTATTATAAAAAGTCAATGTGTTGTAAAGATCCATGATCTCTTCATTTAATTACAAAGCTTGTAGCTATGCCAAGATCGGATAAGAATGTGTATCACTGATCGAGACTCTAGATTGTACAGTTGGTTTTACAAGTCTTCAATTTTATTGCCATTATTTATTTTATTTATTTCTGGTAATGAAACCAAGGATCCCTCAAAAGTGCATTAGGCACTGTAGCCCGAAAGCCTGAAGAAACCGGTAGAGAGAAGACAATGAGAAGAAATTACAGTTTTAAAGGTGGGAGGAAAAGCCCAGAGGAATTTCTGAGGAAAACCCACGGAATCAGGTAGGGAATGAAAACCCAATCCACATATTAGCCCGGGCGGTATTCGAACCCGGGTCACAGCGGTGGAAGGCGAGGAAAGTACCGCTACGCCAACCTGACTACGCCAACCTGATTAACAAAATCCCTTAATTATACTTCGTGAGTAATCTCCATTCTCATGTTTAGAATAGTGCCAATTGTTTTTCAAGGTGTTTCCGATCCAGTTTCATGTAAATGCGATTTTCCTATGAACATGTTCATAGGTTAATAAACAGGTTTATGCATGCAACCTGTATGCAGAAGCTTGTTACGAGTAGCTAAACTTTGAGGTTCATGGGTACCACAGCAACCGTGCGTCCGCCTCAGGAAATAGAATGTACACTGTAAATATACCAAATTAATAGAGAAAGGGTATCCACGTATTCACTTGCAGTTCGTTGGAATGGTCTTTTTCTGAAGAAAATGATTTATAAATCCATTTTATTGGCCCAACAAATAATAAAGCAATTAATCGATTTGGTTAAGAACTGCCCATTGGCTTACCTGGACACGTGACACAAGCATCGACTCCAATTTCACCCGGTTGACAAGAATCTGAAGAGAATGAAAAAAGTGCCACCTTCATCAGCTATCTCGAATGGAATATCATCGCGACACCAAGGGAGGGAGCTGCCAAAACACTGCGCTACAGCAATTCTATTTTTCTTTTTTCTTTTTTATAGGGGAAATTTTGATTTGGGTTGTTTTTTTATCTAAGAAACAACGTCGATCACGGACATTGTCAGAGTTGGGATTAATTCTCAGATTCCTTCCAAAGAAATAACCAATTACTTACTTTGGCAGTTTTCTCCTCTGTAGCCCTCTTCACACGGCACACCAGACGGGCATGTCCCAGTACCTTTGTCACACACTGCGGCACCATCGCAGTGACATTGGTGGCTACAACCAGCACCAAAGTACCCGTCCACACAAGCTACCATTTAAAAAATCACACAAATTAGAGGGCCTAGCTTTTCAATCGTTTAGAAAGATATTTGCGGGGGAAAAATTAAATATAGGAACCAAGCTGCAAATAGCAGATGCATATGCAAAGACATGAGTCTTCACTTCTGCCCTTCCCGCTCTAAAGTAAGTTGCTTATTGTTTCTTCGAACTTTTTTCGAAGATTATGAGAATGTATTATAAATATTTGAATTGCACCACAAATAAACAGAGGTCGCCAAAAGTCAATCACAAAATCAGTTCGCCAAGTATAACAAGCTATTCAAATTAACTTTGACATTCCTTTGCTGTTTATCGCCTTTATCTCGTTGTGTTGTGATTGACTCGATTTATACAACACTACAATTTATTGGAAACACTTCTGAAATTTTGTCCAAAGTAGCCCCAAAAAGGTGGGTTTTTTTCAGTAACCAATTTAGACGTCAAATTTGTATGCTGTGTAAAGTATGGGAGAAAAACATTTGATGTACATACGTGATCGACAGTCCAAGCCAGTGAAACCAGCAGCACATGTACATCCGAAGGGATCTTGGAGACACATCAGGTTTCCTCGACAACCATCTATGTTACGCTGAGAGCACGTGATACCGCAATCATGCCCGAACCGGTTCTTTCCAAACACTAATACATGTAGTATCACAGTAACACAATGAGTTGCATTATTTTGTTAAGAGCAATTCTTATGTGAACCTAATTGGGAATGAAGGGGAAAACTAAGACCCGTCAATGGGTTTCGGCTTCTGCATTTCGTAGAGCGAACATGTTATACTGTTTTCTTTTAGCTACGGACTATATATTGTTCCATGCTGCCTCCATTACACCACATGTTCTAAAACACACACGCAAAACATAAATTTTGTCTGAAGATTGCGATTCACACGAGAAAGCTTTAACTGATGGAAATCCTATTAAGAAAGAAAGAAATCGTCAACTTACATATTTCACAGAAGTCGCCAGTAAACCCAGGCGCACAAAGGCATTTGCCACTTCTATCGTCACACATACCACCATTGTGACACACTGGACAGTTGCCATCGCATGACGACCCCCATTTATTGACAGGACATTCTACATGAAGAAAAAAATAGTGAGATTGAAAATTATAGAACAATAAAAATATAGTATGTACAAAAATCGATACTACTCTTAAAATGTATATATCGGAACCACGGTTGCATCTTCGTTTGCCAAAGCATCTTCATACATTTTGTCGTCTTTAAAAAATAGCCATTCCGCCGAACTGTATGAAAGTATGAGAAATATCTTTTTGGTTAAAATTTTGTAAAATGCACTTTGTTCACATGTTGTTTCTGTTGAACAAAGAAATTGACCGGAGTGAGGTTTGAACCTGCGACCTCCGGATCTACCAACTGAGCTATCCAGTCCTATTTTGATGGTTCCCTATTTGTCAATGTCTTTGCTCAAGGGGCGCTAGTCGCAAGCCATAAACCCAGGGATCACATCCAAAGTCACGATAGTGCATTATCAAGGGTTGCATTTTTTTTTAAACCTATATAACATGGACCATTTAAAGCGCTCATTAGAATACCTCTAACAATTAGTTTCATCAAGGCGTGCTTCTGAGCAGCCCAATTTCCATCTTGGTAGCATTCATAGATACCAGCATTGATAGCATCGGCATCATTGATGGTGACCGCTGATTGGCCATTCCACTCAGTGACGTCATGACCATTGTGCTTCCATCGTAGATCACTCACTGCCACGCTAGCACTGAAGGTCACTGTCAGTGTCACATTTTCACCAACACTGGTTGTCACAGTCGGTGATTGTGGTTGAATGTCACCTGAATTGACAAAAAAAACACCAATTTAGTACCATTAACAAAATAAATAGCTACTTATTTTCATTTATCCTTGGCAAGATTCTTCTCTGCTCGATCCATCTACTACACTGACACGTCTCGCTGGTCACCAAGCATCATGCTCCTAGCTCAGTCTCCAGAGTTGCAGCCGTTTCTCACCACCAAGCTTCACTGCTTTCAAAGTTTCACAAAACAAAATCACAATATTAAAAAGAGTAGGCCCCTCCCCCCTATTGGCCCCTTACCATTAGCAGGCAATATGATTGTAGTAATATTGGTGCTCGGTTGGTCGAATATACAATTGTAGACACCAATCCTGGTGTCTCCAGCAGCCGATGGCATGGTGTACTTGCCAGCGTACAGATTGATATCAGGTCTCTCATCAGTTGAGTAACTTCCGGTAGGTAGGGTCTCTCCACCGCCCGTGTCTAGTACTCGCTCAAAGGAGACTCCGGCATTGATGTCACTTCCACTCTTGTATCCACCGATGATGTGATTACTCGCCAGAACAGGGCTGACGTTGTAACAAGTGAAATCGGGTAGAGCACCTGTAGTTAAAAGCCACAAAATGTGGGGGTTTTTAAAGCCACTTCAGGCTCGACCTAAACTTGCCGCTTGGTGGTAGCAGATATGTCACAAAACATGCCGGTCGGCGGTGGCGAATGCAATCAAGTACAGTGAATGAACATAATGCACATGCGTGAAACATATCACGTGAACAACTAAATATGTCACCTGATTCGGAATAAGTTGTCCGCATAACTTATATTCCACGAAAGTCAGCGTGATAATTGCCCCGGCGTGTGCGTCGAGTCGCTGATCTTAATGATGAATCCGGTTCATTTCCTGGAGGGAATTTTACATTTTTATTTTCCCCAAAAGTACATTTTGTTCCCTAAATTGTGTTTAATCAACTAACGAAATTCTGCCTTTTCTTCTCATTGGCCTCGAAGAACTTATTTTTTAAAGGGAGTTTAGCCTAAGTCCAAGAAGATTTTCCCAAGCCATCGTAAGTGCATGCCCCTCTCGCTGTCGTAAATGTGCCCCCTCGAAATGAAAACAAAAGTGCCCCTCAAACGCAAACATGAAAGCATTATGATCGTGCTTTATGTCTCCTCTCGAAGTGCCCCTCCAAACACAATATACCTATCTCGCAAAAATAAAATTATACCCCTCTCAAGATGGGAAACAATAGTGCTCCTCGCTCGCAATTACTTATCGAGATGGAAAACTGCCCCTCGAAAGCACAATTTATAGTGCTCCGCTAGCGCTCGCACCATTAAAACTGTACCCCTCGCAAGAGTAAATCTGGTTTATAAAAATATAATATTGCTAGGCTCCTCACACGAATAAAATGGTCACTGATCTGGCCATCAAAAGAATGAGTGCCCCTTTAACGATAAAAAATGGTCCTTTTGCATAGGCCTATAACTAGTCAATTTCAAGGGCGGACCCAGAAAGATTGTACTGCCGTGGGTGTGCCGGAGGCAGAAGGGCTCTCTCGACTAAAAAAATACCTTATTTGAAAAAATACAGCTATATGGAGACTATTTCAGAAACGTTTTTGGCCTATGCACTGTAACTTTTTTTAAGTAAGGAATTTAAGATTTTTAAAAATTTTCACGCAAACATGAAAGAAAATAGTTTCGCAATTTTCTCCTCTTTCACACCGACGGAAGGTGCCTTTTTTTCTGAGCAAGTGCCCCTTTTTGGTGATGCCCTCCCAGTTTGAAAAGCGTTCCGCCGAACTGGTGTCGGAGACCAATCTTCCTGCAGCATTGATCTTATTTCTGCGTTTTCACCGAATCTTCGCAACCTTCGACCAAGACACTTTTAAAAAGCTTCATATCAATTGGACAATCGGCGATTTGAAAAATAATTGGCAGGCCTACTTGACAGATGACAGCAAAGAGTAGGCCTAGATAATTGTATCCGCGTATACGTTCATTGCACAGTAGTCCTAAAGTTTACATGCGAACGGGACTCTTACCAAAGGTGAATGAAACACTGAGGAAGACGCCAAGTGATATCAACTGTGCATATGCGGGACGTCCATGGAGTCCAGTCCGCGTTAAGTGGTCGTAGCACGGCATCGCCATCTCAGTGGGGATTCCAAAGACTGCCGTTGTCTGAATCCAAGAACAAATGTAAAGCAATTAAGCCAGCATTGTTTTACATTATATAGCCACCCCATCCATGATACGTAAATGTGCCTAATGTAAGATATTCGCCTGCACACATTACAGCTGAAAGCAGTACCCACCTACTCCAAGCCTGCAAGTTGTTTTCGTCTCTTCGTCTCTTGCTCCACAAAGGAACAACAGCTTGTGAAAACCAAAACCATAATACTCAGTACAGCTAGCAGTAAACTGAAACTTCCCTAATAAGATAAGCAATCGGATTAATCCCTCCATGAAATCAGCTTCTAAAGGGCAAAGTACAGCACAATGCACTTGTTTGGTCCTGAGCATTATCACATTTCTCGGTGGTTTCCCTTTATGGTAAACTATTGTATTAACACACATCCTTTTGCAAATGTGAATTATACTTTTTTGTTTTCAAATGTTGCTGTTATCAAAACATATGTTATCGTTTTTCTTTAATGTAGGCCTATATTTTATTTATTCCTGGTTTTGTATTTTCTTCCTTGAATTTTCCCAACCTTCATGAACATCATTGTTTCATTTGAACGAAGGCTGTTGTGGCTTGTTAATCCTTCAAGTCTGACGATTCTTTGATTTTCCGTCGGCAGATACCACTAGTGACGTTTTGTAATCTTGTGCTCACACAGATAATGAACCTCTGCCGGTAGGTTCCGCAAGAAATATGGTGGCTTTTGCAAATAGACTTATATACATGTATTGGAGTATCGTTTTAAAGCCAACACGAAGCTATCGTTTTGGAGCCAACACGAAGCTATACATATATACAGGGTGAGTTAAAAAAAAAAAAAAAAAAAAAAGCGGAACCCAAACCTCAAAAAATATATTTCATATTTTAACAAATATGTCGCACCAACAAATAATAATGACTGGAAAAGCCAGGTTCATATTCTTTGAACGGATTGAGCAATTTCAATCTAAAAGTAGTTTATGAAATTGCCTTTCCAATCATTGTTATTTTGGGTGCTACATATTCTTTTTTATAATGAAATATATTTGTTGAGGTTTGGGTTCCGCTTTTTTTACTCACCCTGTACTTGTAGTGATGGTCATATTTGATGTGCTCTATTGGCGGTAAATAGGCCAATTTGAGGGGGGTTTAAATACATGAACATGTACCAGGCCGAACAAAATTGGCATTTCGTACTAAATTAATGAGAATGCCAATTTTAGAAAAAAAAACAGAAACCACAACTTACCAGAAACCATACAATGTTTACTGATTCTTAATACATGTACCTACCTGTTTGTACATCATTTCCAATCAATCGGGGTATCAACAAACATCACAACGAAATGTTATGTCTATCTTGCTGACGTCATGTTTGCTATGGCTGTACACACAGCGGCTCATGTAATGCCAAGCTAGCTAAGGTGATATGATATGAGACCTCCATGTTTTACAGCGTCATAAATTCCTATTATCACAATGTGCATACATTGCGCAGCGATATTCTTCCCACCGTATAGGCGTCGACAGGATTTCTTCTAAAGGGGGGCAAAGTTTTCACCAGAAAGCAGCGAAGGGAGAAATCACCGGCTGTGGACAGCGGCGAAGCCAGGGTTCTCATCCTAGAGGGGCGTGTTGGGGGGCCCGGGGGGAGCTTGAGACTACAAGGGGGGGGGAGTCCAAAAATTTCATCCGTGGTGAAAGGTAGACATGTTTTTTTTCACCGGACACCCGCCCTCCGTAAAATCAAATAGGGGGGGGGGGGGGACTGGACATCATCTTTTCATGGGGGCGCTCAAAACGTACTACATGTATATATTAGACAATAACTACCGCTATTAGCTTTCCAAGGTACTTTACTCGAGGAAAAAAAGGGTTTGGGTGAAAAAATACGCACACAATCGCGGAAAATAGGGACGTTATGTTCTTTCAGGCATAGGTAATCATGGTAACTCAGGTGCCTGTTCTTTTCTCAGGATTCCAAATCTTCAGTGGGGCGAGGCCCCCCCCCCCGTAGCTACGCCGCTGGCTGAGGAAAAATCGAAAGGGAGGGGGTGATGGACATCACTCGATGCTTTGTTCAAGACCGTGATACCTAGGCCTATAGCCGCATTATAATGCCCTTAAATCATTTATACAACATTGACTCCGGATCTCGTTTTTTCCTCTGTTTTTTTTGGGGGGGAAGAAGAATCCTTAATAAAATCCTGCATCCAGATCATGATCCGCATCACTTTCAAAATCTAATCGATTTGTACTTGTACCAAGGACCACCCCTAAATACAAAACTCATGTCCGTCACCTTTATCTTGTTAACAGACAAACCAACCAACCAACCGACCAACAACCAACCAACAAACAAAACAACGACGATGAAAACATGACCTCCTTTAGTCCAGGCAAAATAAGGTTTGACCTCACATAAATTGCAACGGATTTTTTCACAACAATGCATTTCGATAAGGTCCCCAGAATGACGTTCTAAAAGTCAAGGAAAAATAAAATTGTGAAGTACAATCCCCAAAATGTACTTCTCAAAAATAACAAAATAATTTTAAAAATATAGCCAAATATGGGAACAAATATATTACACGGCAGTTATTAACGATTTATGCAAATTGGGTATAATTATTTCCACCACTTGGATTTTTAAAGACTTTTTGTATGTCATTCTAGGGACCTATATAGAAATGCATTGTGGTGAAAAAAAAACTATGTTGCAACTTGTGTGAGGTTCACTTAAAAAAATTGTGTATTTTGCCTTGACTACTTGGCGGAGGTAATAAAGGGCAAATACGTGTTCTTGGGCCTTAAAGTAGCTCCGGCGACTTGTGCCGCATTTTGCTGGATTGTTTTGCTCGTATGCATCTGGAATTAGCGGGCTATGGTTTTGATATTGCTTCGATAGACTCGAAAACTAATGTTTGTGTATTCGTTGTTACTAAATTAAAATAATCACAAAGAACACCCTCTGAGATACCTGGAAAGCCTGAGGTCTATTCGCGCACAATGGATTGTCAAGGGGAGGGGACTACGTGTATACAGCACTAGACTACTCCTCCAACTATACTTGGATACATGTACATGTACTGTACGTTCAAATTGAACTTATGTACACAACTTTCGTTAGGGAAAATATTTGCAAGTACATTTGTAATTGTGATTACTTGCACCACTAATGTGCATAACTTTATCTAGGCCCAATACACATGTGCATTGTACATGTAATGTAGGCAGGGACCAATGAAAACCAGTTTTACCGTTTGTGCATATCCCAAGTACAGAAAAGTAATAAATAAACAAATGCCTTCCAGATCCAAGTAAACTCCAATGAATGTGATAAAGGAAGCAAACGAGAACAAAGGCAGTCAACGAAAAAAGATTCATTAATATGGAAAGCCTGATACAGCTTTATTTATAGGCGTATCTTTGTATACATTACAAAATGTAGAAAAATCACATTAAATACAAATAATATTCAGTGGGAAATTTAGGTAGACAGATTATAAACAAATAAAAACGTTTAAGATTTGATAACATGGACACAAACTAGGTACATGTACATTGGTTATAAGAGTTTTATATTATAACTCGGTATGTGCATATACATTGTACATATGTTGCATAATAAAATGAGTAGCTGTGCCACTTATTGTTCTCACAGAAATAAAGATAAGATATGTATTGTATTGCTATATGCACTTTCATTATCTCTCAAGTTGGGAACCGTATGAATCAAGTTTCACTATTCAAAAAAATGAATGTGCAACTGAACTTTTTAACTCTCACATTATGTTTTGGTTTTCTTGCAAACGTGTTGCCCTTTGCATTGTATGAAGACAAGTTTGGATACGAGACATTACCTTTTATAAAAATTATTGTGTAATGAATAAAAACACAATGACTCAACTCAAAACTTCGTTATCAAAATGTACATAATCTGCATAATTTCATCTTAAAAATGGCCATAATATGTACGGCCTCTTGCTACAGTTTACATACAGAAAACTATTTGTGGATATTTTCTTTGCTAATGCAAACAAATGCTTTATCGTAATTTACAGTTCAACAGTTCGATACTGCTGGTGATCAATATTTACAAAGTATGTACAGCGATTCATGTACAAGGGAACTCCAGATTGCACCAACTTTGAATACATTGTCTGGGAACAAAAATGAGAAATCAATAACTCCTTCATGTTTGGCTTAAACTGGGCCATGGTTTATAGCTCTGTACTACTGTTCCATGGCCATTCCATCTCGACCATCAATATGTCGGCCAGGAACTTGTGTACATGTATTCTCTCTTTTTTTATTTTTAGATTTCCAGGCAATCTAATTATCAAATACGACTACATTTCGTACTAGTGAATTTTCAACCAAAGATGTTAACGAATCAAGCCAAAATACAGGACAGTTGATGCATGTACATTTGGAAACAACTCATGGGGTTCTGTACAGAAAATTGAAACTAACAATCCATTACATCTCAACGACAAATTGTTCCCCTGCTTTTCCGTAAATGTGGAAATTCTTTTCAGCCATATGTTTCCCTACTTTTGGGTGACAGTGGCTAGACTCGATCCCGACTGCTGAAAATACTGCATAACAAATACATTACTGAATAGGCCACACCAGCAACCAACTGCATGGATTTATTTTCTGATAAATAGACTCAAAAGGTGTACAGTCGAATCTCGTTTGTACAAACTCTGTTAATACAAAATTCTGGTTATAACAAACATAAAGCCTTAGTCCCGACTGTGCATTTATGTGCACAATGAATGGGACTGATGTTCCTCTTAGTACAAAATTCTGATATAACAAACAATTTGGCTAGGTCCGAACGAGTTTGTATTAACGAGACTCGACTGTATGTACATTTGTACATAGGAAGCTACAAGCTGGGAATGAAAACACCAGATTGTTGCCATTCCATCAGAAATTGTTTATGTGGAGCCAAGTACCCTGGAGGGGTACAGTAGGCGGGGCCACAATACTTAGGACTGTGTGCACTTTAGATCAACCGCCAAGTCAAGTATTTTGGAGTGGTTTGTTGATATTTGTGGATAGTTTTTAAGCCCCTAAATCTCTAGAGGAAGTATGCCTTGAAAAGTAACTTAACTTTTTTGTTATCTTTTGCAGTGTTTTTCTCCAATTGTAGTAGAACTAACCCACCTGTTGTTTTCAAAAAACAAAGATCAATGGAACCCCATTTCAGACTAACACCGTAACAATTTGTCAGAAGATGGTTTCCTTTTCTTACGCTGGGCGTTCACTGCATACCAGGTAATGGAATGGAAATACCAGGCAATGGACATATTTGAACAGATGTGTTTATAAGCCCTTAAAGGTCACAACTAAGCCTAAAAAATGTTACCACTGGTACAGTGGCACTGCATGACAGACTACATGTACATGTACTAATCTTCAAAGTGAATTATACTGTCCTGCAAGACACTTTTACCTCTAGTGAGAGTTTGTATTTTTACGACTATATGTAGTCCAAAATAAAGGAACTCCATCCCTGAATTCCATCCCATTAAACTATTTTTGTGACTTCACCCTTTTGTTTAAAGTGTAGATTATTTTCAAGAGTCTACAGTTTACTGGAGATTCATAACGAGTGTACAGTTTACTGTAGATTCGAAACAAACCACAGATACCACGCATTCCTTATTTTTGTAAATTTACAACATGAAGGTATTTTGTGTAATTCTATCAGACATGACTTACTAAGTTGACATGCTTTTGGCAGTGAGGCGCCTTCCATTCGTTGTACATTGACTAATATGTACGCCGAGTAAATTTACGAATCTACACAAACAATATCAAAAAACATGGTGAGTGGGGTGATGCATGGGGTTCTTGAATAAACCTTTTTGAAAAAAAAAATAAGTCAGAGAATAGACTCGGAACTGTAGATTCGTGCCACAATGGACTACGAATCTACAGTTCCTTGTCTATTCTCTATAACAGAACATAAAACAACTAGGACAACATTTCAAAAAGTTAAAAAACAATCAGTGTATACCATGTTTAACCATAGTGCTAGTAACCTTTTTCAAACATGGCGGACACAATAGGAGGGCGCTATTTGAAGTGGGTAAATTTGAGTAAATACAAAAGAGTACACTCGCTCTCAATGGCGCCCTCCTTTTGTGTCTACCACACATGTGCTTCTAATTGTCAATTGATTTGATAACTCCGTCAATTGGTTTCAGACCCAAAAGACATGACACAAATTGCAACTTCATCATTGCAAGTACATATACATGTGAAAGATTGGTGAAAATGGAAAAGTACACGAATATTTGGGGTCAACGGAGAGACATAATATCATGTAAATGTACAACAGTACTATCAATTTGCATCCACTATGACTGAGCACAAAATATCATGTACATGAACACGTGTGCTTTACCTAAAGCATGTACATGCACACATGAGTTAAGCTCTAGTTTTAACTATTTGTGTGATCAATTCTTGTCTACACAAACTTTTCAAACAAACTAAAAATAATTTCCCCAAAAAATAAGGGAACAGGAAGACATATATCACAGAAAAATTAATATCCTGCATTCAGAAGTTTACAAAATATACAAAAGATTAAAAAACAGCATTTTGGCAAATATAATCAATTGATCACCTCCTATATGTACATTGTCTCGATGCTTTCAAACAAGGAAGGAAATACTGAAACTAAACAAAATGGATAAACCATTTCATTGTTTGTTTCACTTTTGGAAGATTAAACTCGAGTCCTGATAAAGGATAATTGGCTGTATTAGGGAAAGCCTCAAAACAGCAGCAAATTGAATAAGGTCAATTAAAAAAGAATAATTTAAGAATAGAATACGCTTGCCTCCGTACTTTTAAATGTATGGTACAAATACAGAACCATATAAACGTTTTAACTTTTGGAAGATTTTTCATCAATACAATGATTAATAGTTTTCATAACTCTAGAGGCACCCAAACACACACACTGTGTATGTTTGGACCTAGAACATACAGCCCAGATATCAAAATGTGTATAAACCACTGTGTGATGGATCAAACAGCTAGTTCACCATTACAAAGTCATCAGAAGTTAACTAAATGTATGTTGATGATATAGGAATGTCATGGAAATTTAAGAGCAGCTGAATCAAACTCATGCATTGATTTTGATGCTTGTGCGCCTTATGTCACTATTTAAATACCTGTACATTTTTGCTGCCTTTGATTTTGTTAAAGCTATAGTCCATCATTTGTAATTTGTGCATTTTGTTCGTTTGAAGCAACAAAAGGGTTCAAAATCTAATGAAGGATACTGAACAACTAACCTGATGAAGTTTCAGCTAAGCTTCAGCTGTATATTCCGAGAAAAACAGCACTCTAAGATCTCAATTTCAAATCTAAAGTTACTGAATCATGTTTTGAATTGTTTTGAATTGCAGCTATACGCGACGTAGCGCACTGATCCGACGAATTATAACAACCGCGCGCGCGTGTGCGTCGTTCCAATGCTTGCGCGCGCTGCGCTGAATAACAAAACGAACTACTAATTTAAATTTTTTCTATGGTGCTTCTTAAGAATCACCGTTGGAAATGCCTTCTTTCGTTGATTACTTCAAAATGACAGCTTCCCAGAAGGAATAATTTCACAGGGAGTTTAGTTCCCTTACTATCTTTCAACCAAGTTTGTTTTTCAACAATAATTACGCCAGTTACTTTTCGGATGGCTGCAAATGATGGACTATAGCTTTAAAGGTCAACTTCAAAGTACTGGGTCCATTGAGAATTGACAGATGCACCCAGCCTGCTAGCAAAAAGATCAACAGACCAACTCACTGTCCTGCATGGAGTTCAGTGTGTCTCGCAAAGTATAGAAAGACGGCCTGGCATTCAGATCCTGACTGCAGCACATCTGAATCAGTTCATAGACACAGTGGGGTGTGTTGTCAGGGCACTCCAACGTGTGCCCTTTGTAGGTCTGCAGGAAGACTTCCTCATGAGTCATGCTCTCGTAAGGCTGCCGAGCAAAGCTGAATATCTCCCATAACAGCACCCCAAAGGACCAGACATCTGAGTAGGTTGTGAACTTGTAGTGCCACAGGGCCTCAGGTGAGGTCCAGCGTATGGGTATGGTCTCATCCTTGTGGCCCAGGAAGTGGTCGCTGGAGCCAAGGTAGCGAGCGAGGCCAAAGTCGGAAATCTTGACCTCATTGTTGTTGCCAACCAGGCAGTTTCTAGTTGCAATGTCCCTATGCACAAACCGCTTCTCGGTCAGATAGACCATACCACAGGCCACCTGGTATGCTAAATTAAGTTGGGTGCGGCTATTAATCCGCAAGGCACCCCCTGGCCCACCCTGTTGGGATTGGTCAGGGTTGTGGTAATGTAGGAATTCCTGAAGGTCCCCTTGGCCCATGTACTCAAGTAGTATGCACAGTGGTTTGCCAACAAAGCACACCCCCAACAGTTTGATCACGTTCGGGTTATCAAATCTGGCGATAATTTCTGCCTCACGATTGAAGTACTCCTGGACATCTCTATCAGCATTTGTTTTCAACATTTTGACTGCGACGGTGGTGGATGCTTCCTCCGGGCGCAATTTTGGTGCAATCGCCTTAAACACGCGTCCAAATGCCCCCTCGCCAATATCTACAATATATATGATGTTGTTGCGAGGATATTCCAAGTGCCTCAAGTGTGGGTTGAAGCTTTTGTTGAAGTCTTTCCCATACATGGGGTTCTCGGGCAATTTGCTGACATCCAAATCGCCTGGGAACTTATAGCGGGAGTAGCGGTTAAACTTGAAACGACAGAACAGGACGGTGCCGACTATGATGCAAACAAAACATACACCAACAAAAGCGCCACCACATATCAAATATATGTCTCTGTTGCTGTTTGGTTCCATTGGTACGGGATGCACATAGGGTGTGTCAGTTATGGCATGCTTCTCCTCCGCAGTGGCGGTTGTGGATGACTGTTGTGGTGCTGTAGTTGGACTCGCTTCTGTCGTTACATCTGGAAAATTGAGCAAAATAAGAGACATTAGTTGGAACAGGAAATAACAGACATTAGTTGGAATAGGAAATAAGCAATATTTAATTTTTAAAAGACTTACGTCTTCACAGTTTTTTTTGCAACCTTGCCAAGTTATATAATGAGATATGACAAATAACATGAGTGTATTTCTACCGTTGCAGCCCAACATTTAGTTAGGTTATAACTGCTTTCAAGATGCAGAATAAAACAACAAACCAACAATGCATGACTTCCTGGAACGTTTGGGACCAACAAACATGACAGCATCTTTCTGATGCACAACTGCACTGAACAAGATTTTCCTGACTTGATTTTACGAACTATAAAATTTTTTCAACTCACCACAGCTTGGAATTTTGCAGGATTGCCACTCTGTTTCACCGCCATTGGGAAAGCAGCCTGGTTCACTGTACCGCCCGCCTGGGTTACGGCAGTAGTTGCTGCTGTTCACCAGCTGGGGATATACTGATGCAAACATACGCCGGCTCTGTGGGTACTAAACATACAATCAGGGGAAAAAATGATTAAGGTGTTTGTACGCCAAAGGTTGACCCAAACCATCAGGGGCAGATTTTGTGGATTTGTGCCACCAACACAAGTTGTACTGACAATATGGCAGGGAATTGTTCAGCCTTGGCAGACGTTTGAACTCTCTGAGTGCTTTCTAAGTTACCGGTACAGTACGAAACAAACTTCAACTTCAAACTTGAAACAAGTCATGCAGTCTCAATTCAAGTCACAGGTTATTCAAATGATCAGTGACACACATATTAGTTGCGACCTTACTTGTGACTGACTTGCAATTTGACTAATGATGGACTGGTCTGCAACTCCAATTAATTAATTGAAAACCCTTGATGAACGTGATGCATGTATATGAATTCCTGAAAAGCTTAGTCATGTACAGTTAGATAGGCCTTTAGAGAAACAATTCTTAACAATGTAACTTACACTTGTTGCCCATTGCTGACAAGTCAATCCTGTTTTGGTCACACTGATGTTACCCTGGTAGTACATGCCATCGTTACTATTGTCAACACAATCCCCTGAAAGATAAAGTGAAAAAGTTCTCAATAACCCTCCTAGTCTTCTGAACTTCACAACCCTTCAAGTTTTGCCAAACCACTATTTCCAATTGAAATAGCACAACACTTCAAATTCCTTTGAGGTAATTTTCTGTGGAGTATGGATAACCTTTCAAATCCCTACATAATTGTTGTTAAGCTCAGGGTAAGCAGGCAGATGGTCATTTTTCAGTGCTCTCCAAAAAGCTGTCTTTCGTCCAGTGACTATTTGTGTGACACCCTTACTTTAACATTTCATATCCCTTCACTTGAAACTGACCTGCAGTGTTTTACAGGGTTTACATATTGCTCTGGATATTGGTTGCCCATTACGAGGGCTCCTCATTCATTAACTACGATCTGGTAACACTTTAGAATTGGGAACTGAAGAAGTATTTATAGAGGTGGAAAAATAATACACGTCATTATTATTTCTATGGGAAAGAGAAAGCTTGAATTGACAACAGCTAAGGTACTCACATGTTCTCTTATCGTCTCGCATCTCTGTGAATAAAGGAACAAAATTGAAATATTTTAGATTGTTTGAACATACGTTCATCCCTAAAAGGTTCATCAAATATGAAGAAAATTCATAATAACTGGGAGACAATGGTACACACTGGCAACTCTTTAGAAGGGAGCCAAGTTTTATTTTGAAAGAACCACCTACATTCTGTGGACATGAACCAAAATTGAAATCTCCAGCAGGCCCATCGCCAAGGGGGGGGGGGGGGGGCCTAGAGGGGCCAGGCCTTCCCCTGGCAAGCAACTGCCCTTCCCCCTCCCCCTTGGCAAAAGCCATAAGCATAAACATTATCTACAATTGTGTTTTTTTCTTGTGGTGCCCCCTAGCTGGTACTGCCCCCCCCCCCCCCAATTGGCCAGAGCTGGCGACTTGGCTGATCTCTTGTGTCGTTCTGATACAAACAACATAATGACATGTTTATCATTCTTTAAAAAAACAATGGTATTAAACTTAGTTTTATATTGAAACAATGAAAATTCGAGTCACACAGACATTACAACGACCACAAGTAATCCATTCCCACAAAGACGGCAACCAATGTATGTCAGTGCAGTCAGTGTATGCACTGCGGGACTTACCAAACAGGCCAGCATCACTACAGCTCCCTGGGGCTGCTTCTTTGCTGGGGAGATCCTGGCATTGTGATAAGCCCGCTAGTGGCCCCAGCTTCTGCTTAATCCTCTCATCGCTGCTCAAGCGAAGCTTCAAGTTCCTCCAGTCCCGATAGCAGAGATCACTGCGCACTGTCAGACAGTCCTCCCTGACAAAGAGTAATAACAATTCAGGTAGATATTAACTCTCTGAATTCATCTTTCAATAACCTTTCAATATCCTCCACATGGCAGGTTGTAGTCAAGTACATTTCTATGAGAATGAATAGGAATACATGTACTTTGCTATGAATAGAGTACAATTACGAGTAACTTGCTGTAAGTACGAGTAAAAGAACAAGTGCAAGCGTTTTTTCCCACAAGTATGAGTATGAGTACATTCCACGAGTATGATTATGAGAGCTTTCCAGGAGTACGCACACATTTCAATGGGTAACACATGTTCTAAAGGGCTTTTTGCTGTCAAACTAGGCATTAGACAAACATGCAAAAGCCTCCCGAACAGTTGAATATTAGTTCTTTCCCTGCATGTAACTCTTACAGAAATATAAAATTTCAATGGCTGAACATTTCCATGAGTACGAGTACGAGTGTATGAGTACAAGTAATTTTGTTTTTGCGAGGATGAGTATAAATACGAGTACATTCTCATGAGTTCGAGTGCGAGTACAAAAAAATGTGTACGGGTATGCGTACTACAACACTGATACAAATGGAGATGCAATACTTAAGACTACACATGTAATCAGCTTAGGTTCCAAACTGACCACACTGACAGGTGATTAACAAAAAACAAAGGTAACTGATAGCCGAAAGCTGTCATCAGATCATAATTTACCTGCAGAGTGGTTGAAGCCTGGAGTTTTTGCAGTCAGGCAGCATGCTGTGACAAACCAGTGACTTGAAAGCCTCCCTGCAGGTGCTATCCATGACGATGCTGTCCACGTGGTCAGTCAGTCTCTTTAACACTGGCTCCATGCGATTGTGCGGGTCGTAAAAATTGGCATCCACAAAGACACTGCGACCCGACAAGTAATTCTTGCAGATGTTGCCTCCATAGCTGGCACAGAAACTGCAAATGTTTACAGACAGTGACTTATTGGGGTTGATGTAACACCTTCATTGATTAGCAAAGCCCTTCACAATGCTGTTACCCCTGTCCAATGGTCTACATTGGATAGGCTATTTACTGGTGAACCGTTTAAGCGCATTTTCAGTCCACTTTGTGTCTGTTCCATAATTAGGCTTATCGTGCTTGTTGTAATATTAACCCTGACGTACCTGAATCCATCTAAGTCCACACCCCTGTTTTGGCGGATTTCGGCAGATTCAGGATACCTCCATATTGAAAAACTTGGGGATTTTGATGGATTCAGGACAGTAATCCTAGCGGAACTGCAGGATTTTGATGGATTCAGGGTACTTCCATATTGAGCAGTTGAGGGACTTTGATGGATTCAGGATCTCAACACTTTAACTTCTTGGCTATATGTTTGGTGTGTACGAGGTACATGTACTACACTGGTGGATTTTGATGGACTCACTGGTGGATTCTGATGGACTCAGGACACCAAAGTTTTCTTGCATGACCAAATTGGTGGATTTTGACAGATTCATGATACTTTCTAGTAAAAGAGCTCAAGGGGTTAGGGTTAAACGACTAAAAAAACTCCTGCAAGCAGCTTTATCATCATCATCATCATCATATTGGTAATCCTTCCTTCTGCCCAAGCACATCTCAGTGGGAAAATGCCTCGTATTCAAAACTGACAGATATACCATAAACTTGCATGCAATACATGGATAATATTATGCTGAATTAAAGCTATACAAGGGAAATAATACACTGAATTAAAGCTGGAATTGATAACTTGTTACTCACCTTGGAATTCCATGGACTCTGACATTATAATGCATTGTGGACACATAATCCTTCTCCCTGCCATCCTGCTGTAAGACTTTGTTTCTTGCTAAGCAGGTATAATTGAGAGACTTTGATGCGTTGAAGGTCAGATACTGCTTGACCCAGTAAGTGGGAGGGTGAGTCTCTTCATTTTTCACCTATACAGGACAACGGAAATAACACAACTTAGGACATATTACAAGCTGTCATTTTGAATCAGCCCAATATCATTGCCAACTATGGAACAGCCTTTGGCAATTCTAGATTGCTGCATGTGTATAAATACAAGCTTGAATGTCAAACCTCCGAGCAATTCCTGCGTTACGTCAAGTCTGGAACAGAGCTTTGAGGAGCTCAGTGAGTAATAAGGTTGGAAACATTTCTTTAAATCATTAGCTCTAACCTTCCAAAATCCTCTTTGCATAATGGCGGATTTCGAAGGATTGAGGCAGTATGGCAGAAATGAGTGGGGTTTTTTTGGAGGATGCATTGTGTCAAGATCTCAGGCCAAACCTTGTGTTGTTTATGCTTAGCCATGCATAAATTTAGGCCTAGATTATACTTGAAATCATCAGCACTGCCTCAATGTATTAACAGTGACTGTTGGAGAATTTTGAAGGATTGAGGCAGTGGTTACCAGATAATACTGGCACTGCCTCAATGTATTAACAGTGACTGTTGGAGAATTTTGAAGGATTGAGGCAGTGGTTACCCCTCAAAAGGAGCAAATTCAAGAAAGAACAGATGATGTTGGCAGATTAAGTCCGTATCCAATTATTACATGGAGGCATGCACTTGGGGAATTTTGCAAGACTGGGGATACATCTTAGCAAAAAGGCTTGGGTTGGGTTAATTGGATATCCATGTATTGGTTAATTGGCTGTCACAGACAAAAACACTTCCTTTCATAATGCTGGAAGTGCCCCTCTTAAATAAATGTGATGCGGTCAAGCTAAATGAGTCATTTGTCGGGAACTTTCATTTCAAGATTCAGGCCAAAATAGGGTCACTTCATCACATCAATTCATCACATCTCTTGGTGTTCCGACTTCCATAAGTTCTGAACTAAAGATGGTACCAGCATGCGGTTTTCACAGCAGTAATGCTGAGATTGTGCTCTTTTCGAAACTGTTCAAAAAAATTTTTTGACCAAGGTCGACAAATGACTCATTAGATTGATCGCATCACAAATACTCAATGGCTAGTTAGTATCCAATTCTGCACAAGCGACAGAAAAAAACAGTGATCCTCTTGGGCTAAAACTATGTAACCAATATAAAAAAAATGGATGCACAGACCAGTCAGGTGGGAATGATACTCACAAAATCTGTGTTCTTGGTCCAGCTAAATGTTGGCTTAGGATTTCCAGTTGCTGCACATGTAAGGTTGACTGCGGCGCCATAAGACACATCAATGGTCTGCTGCTCACCAGGGATCTGTGCTGGAACTGGGAACCAATGGAAAAGATTTACAGGGTGAGTTTGATTGATGATATGATATGATAATGTTCAATTTACTTCCTCTTAAAGGGCATGTACATCATTGGCTTTTGCTATAATTTTCGGAAACGAACTATTTGAGGGGTTAGTATAATAGATCAAATATTGTTACACTGACATTTTGTACTCGAAAATGCTGGAAAAACCAAGAAAAACACAAATGTTCAAGTAGTCTGGTTCCCTGACTCCACAAAAGATAAAAATTTATCAATTTATAGATGCCGGAAAATTGTAAGGTAAGGGAACCAGTCTAGTTGGCCTGCACCCGTTCATGAACATGTAACCAATAGCAAACAAAATTTGGACTGAAAAAATGGTAAATTTGGAGCAGCAGTTCAAAAATAGTTAGGTTTTTCCAACGGTGGTCGGCCAACCACCGTTGGAAATGTATACAAAAATATAATTTTCTTGAAAATGACTACACACCAGGTGCCATAATTTTACAGGATGCTTTAGACTGTCATTTACCAACATCCTAGTAAGGTATTTCACATAAACTTGGTAGTTTTATTTTTTCGATGTTTGCAATTGTTGTATATTCCCTTTAACCCTACCGGTAACTCCCTAGCGTCTTTTACTAGGAACTGGACCAATTCAATCAAAATCCATCAATCACTGTGCGTCTAATACAAAACTGTACATGATAAAATGGAATCAACCACTGACGCACTGGTTGACATTCGTGCCACATGGCTTTTATCACAATAGCAGTACAGCAAGCTAGGCAAAATCATTCGGATACCCCTAGCACTGTTTTAGGCCATTAGGGCCAAGTCCACCATACTCCATCAATATTTAATCACGCCAGGCCTTCTGGACCAAGTCCCCCAAAATCCACCGAAATGGGGGGATGGATTTTGATGGAGTTGGGGTGGTTAGGGTTTCATAGCTTTAACCCTTTTGTAGTAAACAGGGGTGTGAGTGACCACTGATAAAAATAGCTGAAAACAGCTGAAAAAGGTGTAAAAAAGCTGAACTTTGGAAATCTCCTATACTTTTGTACACAGCAAGTGAGGGGAAAAAAAGCTGAAATCCAAAACAAAACAAGTCAGGTGTGTTTACAAACACAAATGCCCCGCAACGGTGACAGTTCCCATGACATAACACCACTCTTTTAAAATCAACTTACATGTACCTTGGTCACATGGAACATTCATTGACAGCATTAGTGTCTTCTGTAGGTTTTATATGAATTAATCCCTAATCCCTATAATCTCAGAATAAATACATGATTTCTATTGTTTTAGCCACTGTGAACTTGACCCTTGACCTTTTGGCCCCAAATTCAATAGGCTTCTTAGGATTACCAAGAACAATCCACAAACCAAATTTGAAGTTCATATGTTAAGTATTTCTCAAGTTATCGCGCTGACAAGATTTCTATTGTTTTAGCCACTGTGAACTTGACCTTAGGCCTTTTGGCCCCAAATGCAAAAGGCTTCTTAGGATTGCCAAAAACAATCCACAAACTAAATTTGAAGTTCACATGTAAAGTATTTCTCAAGTTATCGCGCTAACAAGATTTCTATTGTTTTAGCCACTGTGAACTTGACCTTTGGCCTTTTGGCCCCAAATGCAAAAGGCTTCTTAGGATTACCAAGAACAATCCACAAACCAAATTTGAAGTTCATATGTTAAGTATTTCTCCAGTTATCGCGCTGACAAGATTTCTATTGTTTTAGCCACTGTGAACTTGACCTTTGGCCTTTTGGCCCCAAATGCAAAAGGCTTCTTAGGATTACCAAGAACAATCCACAAACCAAATTTGAAGTTCATATGTTAAGTATTTCTCCAGTTATCGCGCTGACAAGATTTCTATTGTTTTAGCCACTGTGAACTTGACCTTTGGCCTTTTGGCCCCAAATGCAAAAGGCTTCTTAGGATTACCAAGAACAATCCACAAACCAAATTTGAAGTTCATATGTTAAGTATTTCTCAAGTTATCGCGCTGACAAGATTTGTCCGGACACACACACACACCCACCCACCCACCCATACTTGTTTCACATGACTATTGTGGACTTTCCATTGCTTTCGTGTAGTTAAGAAAAACCAGTGAAAAAACTCATTTTTCTCAAACTGTGAAAACTCTTTCAACCTAATTTTTTTTCTATGATTCCCTTTAGTGTTTCTCTTCATTCTGCTACAGATAAACCTAACCCAAAAATGCCTCTAAACCTGTTTTCCAGAAATGGGGAAACACTGTGTGGACGTGGGGTAAGTCCACACAACGTCGGTGCTACCTACATTATGTGGACGTCTTTTGTTCGGAAGTCCACACTGCGTATGTAAGACAAACTCACCCACACACCCACCCACACACCCACCCACCCACGGAAGGACAAGGCGGAAACAGTATGCCCCTTCGGCTTCGCCGCGGGGCATAAAAAGCTGAAATCAGCTTTAAAGCTGAAGTTTCACACCCCTGAGTAAAACACTAACTCTTACTTTGGACATCAAGGAAAGCTGGCGATGAATACACCTCCCCGCCAGCATTCAATGCTCGGCACTGATAAACACCACCATCAGAAGTACTGATACTGGGGATCCTGAGGTTGAAATTACTCTTAATAATATACTGGGAACTGTTGCGCGGAATGTCGTGTCCATCCTTGACCCAGGTGACCTCTAACCCCTGACCCACAGGCTGGCAGCGGAATGTGACTCGACCACCAACGGCAACGGTCTTGTTCTCTGGGCCTCGCTGGATTGACGGGGGCTCTAGAGACATAGATGAGAAAAGAAAGAGAACTTATGAAATTAGCAGTACATGTATAACCTCAGATAGTCTGCCACCATGTAGCTGACACTATGGCAATAGGCTACAGAAAGAGAAAAGCAGGGCACGTTTTCAGTAGATAATTTAAGAGTAATCAGCTCATCATAGTTTGCTTCCATTATTTTTACTGTAGAATTGTTATTATAGTTCAATACACTGTATAAGCTTTTAAATTGATTTTGTTCTGAAACTGACAGATTTACCGATGGGTTGTCGAGTTATTTCAAGTGGTACTTGAACATTCCCTGGTTGCCTTGGGTTTTCTGTACAAGAAACATAAATGGGACAATAAAAAAAAAACGATAATAAAACTTTACAATATTAAACATGATTTTCAATTCAATGTCTTACTAATTCAATCAAGCTCATACTTGCTTCTGTCCATTTCCAAATTTGCAACAATTAAACAGGACAACATTTTCACACAATTTTAAAGTTTTTTTTTAATTCCTACCTGAAATTTGCTTGACTTCTGATGTGTGCTGCTGAGTTAGATCTGTTATTGCTGGGGTTGTTAGGTTATCAGGGGCAGCAGATGAAGAAGGCACTGCAAGGGAAAATTGAAAACTTGTTTAAAAAATCTAAAAACAAGTTGGATCACTGCTTTGTGCCAGGGGTGTAACAAGTCATCAGTGTTTTGTTCATCACAATACAAGTATGAGACTACAATCCGGCATCATAATAACATATTTAATATACTACCCAGACAGAACCTTGTCATTTGATTGGTGGAATTTAGTCACATGACAATAAATCAATTGCCCATTTCATTGACAAATATTCAATTGTAAAATTTACATCATAAATTTAACGATTTGCATGGTTCCATTTACCATGCATTTTGGTTCCATTCGTTTCGCTCCATTGCATGCACATTATGCATTGACCATACATGACCGACCGTACTGACACTGCATCAATCGCAACCTTTGACACGAACCCTGACAATGTTCGGAAATCATTTAAACTATTGGACCAGTTAAAGACTGTTTTTGAACACTTTTGGACTTGAACTTCAACTTGTTGTGTTTACTACTGTTTGGATTGGAACTTTTACTACCTGTTGGATATATTGTATATTGTGGATGGCCATGGAAATGAAGTAAAATTGAAGGTAAGGCCAAAAAAAAATATTTGGTTTCTGGTTAGACCAAAGTTCCGGAACTGATGCGGCCACTTCAAGCTTGGATTGTACAGACAAGGTAGGGTACAATTTTGCTTTTTTGGTGTCCTCATGTACATTGGTGTCCTCCATAATTTGCCTTGGTGCTTTCGATCATTTGCCTTGGTGCAATTTCCCATTCCTTGGTGCTCTTTGGTAAAAAAAAATTGAGGTGCGGAAATAGAGGGCGCTGTTGGAGCTACCGCGGAACATTTTGGAAAAAAAAGATAGACGCGCATGATTAAAATCGACGCGCGCGCTGACCAGAGGCCGACCTACTTTTTTTGGCCTAAGCCTAAGTATTTTTTTTCATAAAATATCAAATGACAAGGATCTATTTAGGTGTTATTTAATTTGTGCAATAGATGGAATATTTTCATTCGGTGAAAGGTTGAATGGAAAAGTCAATCTTGCACCTCATGAAAATACATTGTATTCCTCCCAGTCCTTCTGATTTGAAAATTGCATGTGCGTGTGATTATCTAGTGTGTGATTCTGTGGTCCAAGGAAATTCAGGCGTGCAATTATTCACACTTCTCGGGAAGCTTTTAGGTGTGCGATGGCGTGGGGGTGCGATTGCACGCCTCAAATCAGAAGGACTGTCCTCCCATTGCACTCATAAACATTCATCACGATATTGGTTATGAATTAAGTCAATTTATAGGCCCATCTACTCAAAAACGGAAGGTACCAGCATTCTTAATTTGTGGACGGCACATCTTGTTACTATGAACAAAAACATGAACATTTTTATATCAAAGGTGACAAGAAATAGGCAGTTGTCATATAGAGTTGCATACTTTAGAAAACTAAAACCCGTCCAACATGCACCATAGCATGTGAACACTTAATAAATTAATAAACAAATGGAAACGTTCGATCACTTTACTGCATGATAGGTATCATGATATACATACATGTACACGATCTAACTTCTGAAGTTAGAGTATCACAGGCTGCACCTTAACCCTTACTCCCTACTGTTTTTGGAAAGAGTTCCATACCTGGACATCACTTGTCACTCTGTGCACAAACCCTGTGAGACTGGTCTGAAAAAGTCTAAGTGTTTTCTCAGCAAATGCTTCATTAATTTTTTCCTGCTAAATTTGACTTTTTTAGGGCATGTTATCACTTTCTGATGGCTGATAGGTCACTGCAGGAAAAAAGAATTAGTGATGTCCATGTATGGCATTCTTCCCCTGTTTTTTACTAAGTACTAGACCAAGTCCGCCAAAATCCATTACCTAATCACACTTTTTCCAATGCATGTTTTGCTTTAGGCCTCCAGGCCCAAGTCCATCTTACTCCATCAATATTTAGTCAAACCAGGCCTGCAGGACCTATTCCCCCAAAATCCACCAAAATGTGGGGATGGATTTTGATGGAATTGGGGAGGTTATGGTTAATTAATGTGGGAAAAGGTAGGCCTATTGATCTCTTTTTAAAATTATACATTTTTTTAAAGTGTACAGTTTATTGGTTTCATGAAAATTTTTAACATATTTTCCAACTTTCAAATGCTTTTCGTCTCAAATTCATATGACTGCCCATAACATGGAAGGTGAGAATGTTCAACCTACACACACTCCTTCAATATTTACATTGGGCTAAAAACATTTGCTTCTATCTGCTTGCAATTTCAAAATAGGGAACTCCAACCTTCCAAAATCCTCTTTGCAAAATTGAGGGTTTTTCAGGATTGAGGCTTTGTATGGCAAACATGTGTAGCTGATTTTGGAAGATGCACTGTGCCAAGGTCATTGGGCCGGGCCTTGTGTTGTTTATGCTCAGCTGTGCATAATTCAGGCCCACATGTACATTTGTAGATTATACTTGAAATCCTTCGCATTGCTCATAGATGTCACTGGCTCTGCCTCAACATAGGCAGTGATAGCTGGAGGATTTTGCAGGATTGGGGGGCTGTGGCCACCCCTCCAAGGACCACATTCAAGAAATAACGGAGCATTTTGCAGGATTGAGGCTGTATGCATTTTTTACATGGAGGCAGTTGGAGGATTTTGCAGGATTGAGGTTGCATCTTAACAAAAGTGCATAGGGAGTTAGGGTTAAAGAAGGAAATATTTAACGCTGTTAACGCTGACAATATTACCCAAGAAAAATGGAGAATGTACGTCGTGCAAGCCACAAAATGCATAAAATTAGCCTTGAAGAGAAAATGGTCAACAGTCTATATCGTGTGGTATCAGCTTTTGTTGACTGCAATGTGTACCAGCATCAATATGAATGTACTGGCAGCGGAAAATTTAGAAAACATGTAGTGCTGTAACTTATGTAAAAAGGCCCAATAATGCGGCTCAGATACTGAACTTCCTCCGTATTGTGAGCCACACAGCGGTCATACACTATTGTGGGAAAAAAGTTGATTTTGAGGAAATTGGGACTTTTTTCACTTGATATTCACCATGGAAGATACTTTGGTTAATAACCAGGAAAAATCGAATGGTCAAGTGCACATGACTTTTGACCTAGAGAAAATAACTGCAATCTTTTTTAGACAAACTCACTGAACATTTTGTCTGAAAATTACAGGGTAACTAAACACAGGTCTATAGAAACAGAACTCAATTTTCCTGACTATGACTTTCTTCCATCATGTCCATGGTAAATATAAATTGAAAAAAATAGCCCCGAAATTGATTTCCTCAAGCTACGCTGTACATGTGGCAAGCACGTGTATGCACCAACGGCAGAAACTTCAGAAACATGCAAAGCTGTATTGCTACCAATACAAGTACGAGTGTTAAAACCTTGTAATAAATACATGAAAATTATGAATACACGCACAAAAATATCAAGTTGTGTAAATTAACTCGCAGAAATTGTTTTTCCATCGATGTTTGCGTGACATTTTGACAATGTTAAAATTTGAGTGGCGTAAGGATACTGTATTCTTCTCTTTTTTTAAATTACAGAAAATTTTACTTTACTTCTACTAAACTTTACATAAACAAGCAAATGTAACACTAACAATAACATGCATTGTTAGGCATTTTTGTATATTTAACATTTTTAATGGACAGTAATGTAAAAACATAATATTTAGTTTGCAAATTTATTTTGCTCACCAATTGTTGCAGTCGGTGCGGAAGAGGCAGGAGACAACAGGCAAAAAATCACCACTATTTGCAAGCCACCAACAGCACTTCTGTATCTCCAGGCCCAACGATGGTCAGCTCTTGCGCCGTTCATGGCGACATTTCGCCGTTTCGACTCGGGCGTTGCCATACTGCTCCGCCAAGCCCAAGGTGTCCCGCCAGACCTCCGAGCGACAGAAAACCATCCAGACTTCATTCCAAGTCGCGGGTTTGAATCATCCCCCGGTCAAAGAAAAATCACTTTCGTTGGTAGACACGTATACTCATCTTCGGACAACTTAAAGTTTCCATTTCTGGAGTTATATTTCGAGGTTTTTGCTGAAATTGCAGGCTTTTTCTTGCCTCCTCTTCAGACATTCGGTTTGGGCCTTTTCAATATGGCGACTATATTGTATGTAATTGTATTGTGGCTCGCTCTATTATGCACGGCGTAAACAGGTGGGGCTAGTCGATTAAACAAAAAGGGGTGTTAGCATTCCTTGAACCGAAAAAGGGAAAATATACGCTCATTGTTGATTAACTATGAAGTAATAAACACATGTAAATCTTTTTTTTTAATGTCAAAGTTAACAAATTGAAAGGGAAATGCTACATTGCTCTAATTTTACTATTTTATTAAGGTGTAGTCATATTTACGCCCCTTTCAAACTTTTGTGGCTTGACCCTCAGAAGCGGCAAAAGGCAAACAACTATTCATAAACAAATATGCGCAAATTGGACTGGAATTTTTGTGCAATACGCAGTAAACAAGTCCTTTTGGAATACATTGTTGAACAATTCGGTGTCAATATCGGTACCCAGAAACAACAACCGGAACAGTTATGCGGAACCGTAACTTGTCTGGCGAGAAATTCAATCCACAAAACATTCATTTAAAAGGCAAAGAGAGGCATAGTTGTACTAGAGATGTAATTTCATTTCAGAGATCGTACTGTTCCTACCTCCATGGTATAATGTAAGGACTAGCATTGTGTGCGAGGTTCGAGTCAATGCCCTGATATGCAAAATAGACGTTCACGGTTTACCTTGATCAAACAGAATGACTCACGAAAATAGCAGCGCCATGGTTCATGAATTTTAATGGCTTTAGCAAAAGTGGGTTTGTGGAATGCATGGTACCTCGTTCACAACATATCTGCACCGTGCAGTTCTGCGTATTAAGCCACTTATTTCAATGTGTGGGGTCCTTTTAGTGCCGAGAAAGTCATTTCTATGATGAAAGAAGTAGATACATCATACTGGTGAAAGACAAATATTGAAGAATATTGCACGCAATTTATAAGTGGAAGCTAAAGAAAAAAATCCCAGTCTGAAAAAAAGTAAATTCAACCCATCGTGCATGCATGGTTTGAAAATCCATAGGCAGAGTTAAATGACTTGAGTCAATGACTCGCAATCAACACGCAATCAGACTCGAGTCACATTTTTTGGCGACTCGACTCGGCTCGAGTCCCTATCCTATGGTGGCTTTAAAGGGACATCGCACATAAATATTCACGCCAATATTGACGCCAATATTCACGACATGGCCTCCATGTCGCAAATATTGACGCCAATATTCACGACATATTGGCGTCAATATTGGCGTCAATATTTGCGACATGGTGGCCATGTCGTGAATATTGGCGTCAATATTTATGTGCGATGTCCCTTTAAAGCCACTATACTATCCTATATAGGGGTAAATGACTCGACTCGAGTCAAGTCACTGCGAGCAAAGGACTCGATTCGACTCGAGTCCCTTATCAGAAAACTCGACTCGACTCGAGTCGAACTTAAGGCTAATAACACTCGAGTCTCAAACATGGGCGTCGCGAGGGGGGTCAAGAGGGCGCTCCCCCCCCCCCCCCCGGAAAAGCAAAAAGCAAAAAAAAAAAAAAAAGAGGCGCGAAGTCATAGTGGTGTAAATTTAATGAGTTGGAGGGGGGAGCAAAATGTCTCTGCCCCCTTCTAAAACTGAGAAATCGAGAAAATGTTGAGAAATACCGGAATTTTTTGGGGAAAATATGTTTTGCCCCCCCTCTAGAAAAAATCCTGGCGACGCCCATGGTCCCAAAACTGTAAAAAAAAAAATAATAATAATCATAATATGTTGTGGTGGCTTCGCACTGCCGTCAAGTTGTGGCCGCTCATGTAGAACACAACGGCACAATATACCGGAACCATACTTTACACGCATTTCAATTTGGTTTTATCATCGGTTCGGGCGACTAAGCCTTTCATGGAACTCCGGCTAAATTTATGTCCTGCTTTCAAAAACTTATGCGGGCATAAGTGACATTTATTCATATTTAAAGCGGTAGCCTTTGATTATTTCAAGATATCTCAATTATTTATCTCAAGTTATTTCAAAATATCTCTAATTATTACAAGATATCTTTAAAACAAACTTTAAGACACTTCCAAAGCACTTGATAGTCAAGATATCTCTAAATGATATCGAGATATCTCTTAATGATTAGTCGATATATATCTGTAAATGATTTCATTCTACACGTATCTCTAAATGACTTCAAGATATCTCTTAAATCAGTTCAAGATATCTCCAAATTTATTTCAAGATATCTCGAAATCCATTTCAAGGTATCTCAAAATCCATTTCTATCTCGATTTCATTTTAAGATATCTGGAAATCAAATTCAAGATACCTCGAAATCCATTTCATCCTTAAATCCTTTTCAATTTATTTCGAAATCTTTTAAAGATATCTCGAAATCGTTTCCGCTTCCGTGTCACACTAGCGTTTTTACCCTTGTCCTGACATAATTATAAATGTACATTATGATCCCGGCGGAAGCAGAAACAATTTCAAGATATTTCGAGATATCTTAAATTCGATTTGAAGATATCTTGAAATGATAGACATATCTTTAGATGATTTCAAAATATCTCTATTTTCAAGATATCTCTAAATGCTTTTAGATATATCTTGAATTGCATTTAGAGATATCTCTTAATACTGTCTTTTTTGATGTGAATATTAATGTCTTTATGCGCGTCATACCGGTACTAAACACCACTGTGTACGGCCAAAGGACGTATAGCAACATGCACTTAACTCACATCAAATGGTGTATACAGGGCGAGTCAAAAAAAGCGAAACCCAAATGTCTAGTCCATTGTTTTAGTGAAGTTCTGCTTGTAGCACTTTCAAAGTCTAGAATATGAAAGCCCAATTCAAAAGCTTTCTTTTAGTACAAGAATCATTCCAATCACTTATGTACTTTTCAAATTACGGAATTTTAAACACAACCACCCTTTTAAAGTTCTGTTCACGGATCACACGAAGGTAATTGTTCTTAATTTTAACAAAATGAAAACAAATCAGAACCATTCTCTTAGTTGAGAAAGTATTCGCACATGGTGTTTCCGCAAACCTTTCATTATTTAGTATCTCCACCATGCAAAGCCTCAAATCTTACTTAAAAACAAATCTCATAGGGATGTGTGTGAATTGTTTTCGTTTTGCTGAAAGAACGCACACCTTTTTTGGTGATCCGTGGACAGAACTTTAAAACGGTGGTTGTGTTTACTAAAAGAAAGCTTATGAATTGGGCTTTCATATCCTAGATTTTGAAAGTGCTACAAGCAGAACTTCACTAAAACAATGGTCCCGACGTTTGGGTTTCCCTTTTTTTTTACTCACCCTGTATGTACGCAAAATAATGTCTCCCGGTTTCAGGTGAAAAATAAGACAGATGCTGCATAAGCCTCTTGTTGATCGCAGAAATATATTTTTGTATAAGCCTGATGTTTTCTCAGTCTGTAAACGATTTCAGGGCAAACGGTCGGAGTAAAGCAGGGGCGGATCCAGGAATTTTTGCACGGGGGGGGGGGGTTCATCAGCAAAAAAACTGAAAAGTAGACAAGTCATGGGGTTTTTTTGACACTTGGCCTCCGAAAATCAATAGGGGGCTCGTACCATACTTTCAATGGGGCGCTGTTCAATCCGACGATTATTAACACTATATTACAGAATAGTGTAGAAATACCCCCAACCAACCTGGCTCTGTACTTATTTTGTGCACAGTACAGGCGGACATTATTACCAGCATTATTTTTAATGAATTTCGATTCAAAAAATAAAAATTGGACAGAGCTGGGGGTTGAACCCACCCCCCCCCCCCCCGGATCCGCGCCTGTATTCTACACAAAATACCTAATTTCTGAAGATGGCTTCACTCTGGTCCACAGTGTCACCCAATTGTCTTTTACAATTGGTCCAAAGAAGTAGAAACGTATTCGCTGTTAATGAGAGGATCGACGGAACAGTCTCCGTATATAGGCGATCTACAGCTCCAGCAGGGTTTGTTTTGATGAACTTATTTCACACACAGTGAGGCTTCTTAATTACTAGCAAGATTTTACTTGACCTCAATTTACATGTTGACCCTCAAGTGGGCGTGGTAAGCCTTGGTGAAGCAATAATTATTTTGCCACATGTTTCATCATCAACTGGCGTTATATTTTGCGTAATAGCGATACGTTTTGGAGGACTTTCATGGAAATATGTTGTAATAATTATTTACCTTTTTAAAGGCTGGGGAAAAAATTGGCGTAAAAGAGCAAAACAACAAATAAACCTCACGGTGCCAACCGTGACTCAGAAATCGGAGCATATAATACCATTTAAGGACCTGCATAGTATAATAGCCAAGTCTCTCCATATTGCATTTTGTGCACACTCGTTAGGCCTTTTACACACACACACACACACAAACATGACTGACAGACAGACAGACAGCCATCCAGCCAAACAGCCAGCCAGCCTACATCAGACAGACAGACAGCGTAGGATCTTTTAATAGGATAATTGATGATGGATTCTTGCATTGGATGTGGTTGCTCTTGCTCCACAGTCTGAGCAGTTATGCAGTTATGAGCACGTGACTGCAAGAAATGGAATGGAACTCAGTGGAAGATGCGCTCTCCACAAGAAGGACCGCACAAAATGTGAGATGGGCCCCTTGGACCTGTCAGTATGGCAGATAAACCTACAACGTCAGGATTTCAGTGGCAGAGTACACACGAGCATTAAGTTTTATTATATCAAGGTGTGAAAGCAGGTACCATCATTGTAGCGGCCGTTCCCTGAAGCAAAGGCAGTGGCCTGTGCCCCCTCCCAATGGCCACTCAGAATTTCGGGAAAGTGGGATTGTCATTAAAATAAAACCCGTTGAGTATCCCTTAGGCCTATACAGAAATTACGCCACTGCTTTTGACAACGAAACACGATTTCGTCAATAGAATAAAGTCTTTATTTCCAATGATCGTGACTGATGATTGGTAAACTTTACCTATATTTCTTGATTTCTTCTAAATGACAGGAAGCCATGGAATAATTTCACGTTGTGTCTAGTTTCAGTGCAATCTTTGATCCAGATAAGCCTTTTGATAATAATTCGCTATAAAGGTTACTTTTGGGGCGTGTGTATCATAAAATGATCCTCATGATCCTATTCATGATTCTACATGGCGCGGCCCCTATAATGACTCACTTTGATTTTTCACCTGCAGTATACGTACCTTGCTATAATCATCAAAGGTTTTTCCTCATGTTTTACCACAAGTAGCCAAAAATTTCATCAGACTCTCAACATTCCCGTTTGTAAATCTTAAGTTTACATACCCGTCCCAAAGTGAAGAGAAAGATTTACGCAAGTTTTATTTTTTGTAAATGCGCCCTTTTAAAATGCGTCATAAAATGAAATAATTTTCCGGAAAACGTGTAGTTTGTTTAATTTGCGAGTGGAGAATGGAGATATTAATAGGTAATAAAAATTCTTGAATGGTTAAATATCCGAGATTTGTTCAAGTGCCGCCGCGCCACGAGGGCAGGGACATCCGGGATTTTTGTTTACATTGGCTTATAGGCCCAATAATGGAGGAGGATCGAGTTCGTGGAAGGGCACTCGCACATCCGTGCTGAAATGTAGACAGTTTTTTTTCTCCTAAATCTCAGTTGGCCTCGGTAAAATCAAAGGGGGAGGGGCTGGGGTGCTGGTGCCATCATCCAATGGGGCGCTGCTCAAACCGGGCGATCATGCACACAGCGTACTATCGGACTAAAAGGTGGCGTGTTACACCAAACATTATATATGAAAGTAATAGTGCCAGTATTTAGCTGAATAAATTTGAAGCTTGCTAACAGGGGTGGCGGATACGGGGGGGCGTTTGATTGTCCCAAGTTTGATTTTCCCAAGTGCCCCTTTTGCGGCCATAAATGTGCCCCCTCGAGCATTTAAGTGTCCCTCGAGATAAATCAAAAATGCCCTTAAAAGTATCTTACTATTTCGTAGAAGTAACCATTTCCCAATAATGGTAGAGATATTTTTGATATAAAACGAGGAATATGAAAACCAAGTCCCAAAACCCATACAAGACGCCCTGAAAATGGGCACATAATGTATGTTTAGCATATAATCATTGGTTTTGAAGAGCGCCCCCTACGTTGGAAGATGGTACCAGCCCTCCCCCCTCCCCCCCCCCCCACCCACCCACCCACCCACCCACCCACCCACCCACCCACCACCCACCCACCACCACCCACCCACCCATTCTATTACTTGTCAATTGGCAATTGCCCAGGGTGAAAAACCAGAGGAGGAGTAGTAGACACCCTGCCCAATATCTATCCGACCTTGATTATGCAGATGACATTAGTCTGCTTGCTGACACCCTCCTTGATGCCGAATCTCTCCTCCATAAAGTAGAAGCTTGCTGCAAGTCCGTTGGTCTCTCTGTTAATGTAAAGAAGACTAGGTACATGGTCATAAACCCATCTACCTCTGACGACGTCACTGCACTAAATGGCAGTAAGCTCGATAAAGTTGATGACTTCAAGTACACCAACACAGCTCATGACATCGAGTGTAGGAAAGCTCAAGCTTGGTCTGCTCTGTTCTCACTGACAAAAGTATGGAGATCCTCGATCCCCAAGAATACCAAAGTTAAGATCTTCAAGACCTCAGTAGAATCCATCCTTCTCTACGGTTGCGAGTCCTGGAACCTGATCAAACAGATCTCTGCATCCATTGATGGCACCTTTGATGGCACACGGATGTTGCGGGCTGTTTAGCACGCTTCTTGGCGACAACACTGATCTCCCTAACTCTGTTCTGTATGGTGCCCTTCCCCCTATCTCCACCACCATCAGACAGCGTCGCCTTCGGCTAGCCGGTCACGTTTATCGACATAATGAGCCAGCTAGTAGTCAAGTTCTTCTCTGGAATCCTGAAGCCCCACGACGAAAAGGTCGTCCAAACATGACCCTGAAAACATCCATCGAGCTAGAAACTGGTCTGAGTGGTCCATCTCTTTCCAACACTATGCTCGACAGGGGCAGTTGGGCCCAACTCATCAAGTCATCATGAAAATGAATGAATGAAGGAGAAGAAAACTCTATGAGGTAAAAACTCTGGAAAACCTTGTGGCCGATTCCTTATACATTAACTTACTTGTTAATAACATACTCCGAGTGTCTCCTCCTCTTTTAAATTAAATATACGATGTATTATGGTCGTTATGAAAATTACCGACCTAGCGACGTGGTGGACACAGGCTAGAATGGCCATACTAGATACTACGGCCACACAGTACACGCCCTTTTACTCAATTACGTCAATGACATTCTATTCAATTAACCCTATTCTTTATTATGATCACTCAAGCAGCAAGCTTGTGAGATAACATACAGACATATTTTTCGTGCTATACTTCGTAAACGCAGGGGAAAAAATCCACTGCACTGTAATTCGATTTCGCTCGTACCCCCCCCCCCCCCCTCCCCCGCCCCAGGTGCAGGGCAGGGGTACCGGGTACGAGCGAACCATGCCCACCGTCCGGTGTGGCAGGTAATTCTGTCCCCCGGTAAAAGTGTCCGGGGGGACAGAATTACCTAGGCCGTTAATTCTGTCCCCCTCCAGGTAATTCTGTCCTCCCCCCCCCCCCCCCCAGGTAATTCTGTCCCCCTCTTTTAAAACCCGGAAGGTTATTGTTTTGATGAATTCACTCTACAAGGTATACATTTTGGACTTTTAGTCTGCCCTTCATGAATATAAAAATATTTAATTTAGTCTATTAGATGATACGTGAACACAATGTTTCGATTCGGAATACGGTGATTAAGAGTCTATCGCGATTCTACCGCGATAGTTCAACACAGCGGCGATGCATGGCGATGGCCCTCGTCTCATTGATAGTATGATACAACGTCTACTTGGATTGGTCTGTGTTCCCATCATAGCGCGTAACGAAATTTCCTATTGGACGAATTTCCAGTGTAGAGGGAGACGCATATGTACACATGTGATAATCACTGCCTCAAATCTTGCAGCATGTACTGGCGCGTGCGACACGCTGCTGCTCTCTTACATACTGTATGGGGACACATTTACCAGGGGGACACTTTCACCGTTGGGGAGGGGGACATTTTTACCTGGAGGGGGACAAATTTACCTAGGTAAAAGTGTCCCCCCAGACACATTTACCGGGCCACGATCCGGTAAATGTGTCCGGGGGACACATTTACCAGGGGGGACAGAATTACCTGTCACACCGGCAAAAAGCTCGACGATCGAGCCGATGCAATTCGATGAGCGCGCCACCACGCGACATCTTTAAACGTTCACCTAGCCCTCTAGAGGGCAGTGTTTAAATTTTATGGAGCGAACTTGACCGAAGTTGAATGAAGGGTGGACCAACGAGGAATGATTTGCCTGATTTACATGTATGAAAACAATAGTTGAAAGTGAGTACTATACCTACTACGGTTCTAGACTACTACTGAGCAGCGTTTTAGTCCAGTGACTGGTCATAGACGAGCTGGGTGCCGTCTAAAACTTTTTTTTCGGACATAGGCCTATGCGAACTTGTGAGCCTTGACCCTTGTCATCTGTATCGTACCATGGAGGAATAAAAACACATCGTACAAAATTCGTGCTGCAGCTGCCTAGCTAGCTGGAGTTACCCAGCCCTAAATTTTATCATTGGGTTGTCATTTAGGGCTGGAGGACATTTTTCACGTGAACCAGCAGAGTTGGCAGGTCCCCCCAAAAAATTCGAACATGTGCAATTATGTCCCTGTTACACACTAATTTCAACTGGAACTCACCAAAACCTAGACCCGTGAACGTGGCGTTGTAGTTTACAACTACAACATTAACAAGCCACGTTCACGGGTCTAACCCAAACCTTGCCTGGAATAACCATTACACAGGTCCTTGAAGTAAAAAAACGATCCACGATGAAGATGCAGCCTACAAAGTACAATTGCAGTAAAAAAAGCGAGGCATAAACCGACAACCGTGCGGTCATGGCGAGGCCCGCAATTGGATTTGTGCACAGCGCGTTTACCAGTTCGTTCTTGCTGGCTGCGCTGGCTGATGGCGCATGACGTCACGCGGAAGCGGATTACTCGACGACTATTTCATGCACGATAACCGGCAAACTTAAGCTTTGGTTGCCGTCCAGTATCGCAGCTATGATGCGAGTGGTAAACCTCAACAGTCGTCGGGTATTCTGCTTCCGCATTAGTAACGTCATGCGCCATCAGCCGCGCCAGCGCAGCCGGCAAGAACAAACTGGTAAACGCGCTGAGTAGGACATCCAAAAGCCGTCGGGTTGTGGCCTGCACTGTGTACATGCAGAATGTACTACTCACGTTATTATTTTACGATATGTTTTGTCGAGATGCAGATTTCAGTACCGAGTTGTTTGTTGCAATGAAGTAGCCCCATAAATGTGGCCAATATACAGGACTACCTCCGTAAATAAAGGCCACACTTGGAACATGTACCTGAATATGTAGAATTTTGTCAAGTTTTTATTTTTACATTTAGACTTTGTATTTTATTTATGCTTTAGAAGCATACTCGCCCTCTTTAAAGCAAAAGAAAATTATTCCCCCCCCCCACCCCTTTTCAGACGTCTATATTTCATGTAATTTCCAGGTTCATTGTTGCATTGAACGTACTCATGTACATGGCATCTTGGCCTAGGCTGTGCTATGGCCGTATCATAATGCAGGGACAAAATCGCATCCAAGGATAAGAACTGCCAATCACAGGGCACCTCCATTATTTATGCTGTAGGACATGTTTCTGCCGCCGGGTCAGTATTACATTCTGCATACACAGTACAGTCTGTAGACCAAGGGCTGTTGGATGTCCTACTCAGCATTAATAATCGAGGCGCCCTGTGATTGGCTGTTCTGAATGATCCTCGGATGCGATTTTGTCCCCGCATATGATAACGGCCCTAGCGCAGGCGCGGCACGTGTGTACATCAATTAAACGGGGATTCTTTTGTACACACTCGGAGTTGCACCGAAAATATCTCTTTTTTCTTGTTCCACTTGATCCTTTTCTCATTTTGCATGGATCCTCTGCTGCATAAATGATATATCTACTGTCATAGGTGAGTTTTTGCTTGTAATTTGAACGGAACTTGAAAAACTAGGGGGCCTTGAAGAGCCCCTTTTTCCTTCCCCAAGGTATATGGTAAACTGAATCGTAACAAACAAGCCCATTTTTCCCTCTGTGCACAGATATGTATTTATAAGATGCCCTGGACGTCTCAGCATGGCTAACTTTACTTTCCAAGACTTCCAAAGGCTGAGTGCAGACCCTGATGCCTACTCAGCATTGCGGGCGGAGTCCAAGTACATCCAGTCATCCCCCAAAATAATCTCCTTGCCTTGCCGACTTCAATTTGTCCGCAATGTTAAGGGGTACTTCTATTTAGGGTTCATCGTCTTCACCTGGGCCTACAATACCTACATCGTACCTGAAATAATACTGCTACCACAGTATTATGAGGGCAATATAGGTCTGGTTCCTGTTTTATGTAAGTGAATGTAAACCGTTTTATCAGATTGAGACTTTATTGGTGGAAAACAAAATTTAGACCAACAGCTTTGCTCACTCTAAAAGCCAATACAATACTCATACTCAACACAGTACTCATAAGGCAAACAGGATGTGCTGAGTATACTACATGTGCAGTTTAAAGTCTCAATTCCAAATTAACAATGAGTTTTCTACACACGAGTTTTAAGTGATTTAAATATGAAGACTAAGACTAGCATACAAATAATGCATGTTTTTGAGTGCATTGGTAAGAATAATTTCATGAGGTGACACATGCATGTTCCATGCAGAGTGGTATGAATTAGATCTGACACCGATTGAAATTATTCTTTTCATTGCATGAACGTGAAATGTTCATTATTTGGTTTTTTTTCAACACCTGAATAAATCCTCATCATCTGATCGGTCAGAACTGGCAAAAGTGTGACTGTGCAATGGAACTTCCATTTACCATGGAATGGAACTTCTATGTTTGCCATGCAGCCACATCATGTGTTGAAAAGAATAATTTAATAACATGTGATCAAGGACCCACCAATCAGACAACAGGGATTTATTCAGGCATTGTATAAATTGGTATATGACCAAGCTTTCTTTAACCCTAACCTTCCCAAATCCTCCAAAATCCTCTTTGCAAAATGGAGGATCTTGCAGGATTGAGGCTACATGGCAAAAATGTGTTGCAGTGATTTCGGAGGATGCATTGTGTCAAGGTCTTGGGCCGGACCTTGTGATGTATATGCTCAGCCGTGCATAAATTTAGGCCTATATTATACTTGAAATCCTCTGCACTGCTCCAGGATGTCACTGGCTCTACCTCAACATATTGACAGTGATTGCAGGAGGATTTTGCAGAACTGAGGATTCAAGAAATAATGAAGGATTTTGCAGTTTTGAGGCTATATGCTATTATTACATGGAGGTAGTTGGAGGATTTTGCAGGATTGAGGTTACATCCTAGCAAAAGTGCCTCAGTAAGGGTTAAGAAATGGACAATTTAGAAGTCCAGTGCAGATGATTTGTTAATGGAATTTATACAGATTTAGACTTACCGGTAGCACCAGAAGTTTCTTCTGATGCTTTGTGTGCAGAATTGAGGTAGTGTTGCCCTAGCCGACACCGTGTTATGGGGAAGTTTTCTATTATTTGGGAAATTAGGACTGAGTTGTGGGGACTTTCTGCTGTTCCCACAGCGTCTTTGGTCCCCATAATAACTCATAATTGCTCAACAGGTTTGTGGTCAAAAAAATTAAGGAACAAAATTGTGTGAACGTTTGTCATGGATGAAAGTATGCTTTCATTTGTTGCTGTCTTGCAGGTTACTATGCAGTTTCGTTGTTCACCGTTGTAGCCTTGTTCAGGTCAGTCACATGTGACCCAGGACGTTTGCCCTTTGACCTGAAGCCAACATCCCATGGTAGGTCTTCAATCTGTGTAGGGTTAAGGGTCACATTCTCACCACCCAAGGCTCTGTTAGTATGTGTTACCCCATACTCATCAGGTTTTACCTCATCTTGAGATATATCAAACAGCTGAACTGCAAGATACTCTGTTTTATCAAAACCATCCATCCATGTAGCAAGACCATCTAGACAGCACATGAGTAGGGCCCAATTTTATGGCTCTGCTAACAACGGACTTCTGCTCTTACAATCATCCTTCTGTGCTTTACATCTCTAAGCAAGATACTCTATGCTAATTCCCCTTCCTCTGCCCCTCCCCCCTTATCTGCACATTAGGATAAGCCAGAATTCATGTTAACCCACGAAAATTTTCTACTATAGTTGGCAGGGATGTTTTGCTGAAGCAGAACTATGGAATTGGGCTCAGTACTGTACTCAAGGATGCAATCAACAAAAGCACTTCCCCAAAGCAGTTCTCAAAAATGCCAATATCAAAAACGATAACCTTAGACTTCATACTTAATGGGCATATGGGCAATTCTTTGGTAACGGAATTACGGAATTTTGTCACTTTGTCAAGGATTATTCTTTCCCAAGAAAATATGTTCAATGCTAGGCAACTAATCTAAACATGGAAAGGGAGCCAAGACCCAGTAGAATTGATTGACCGCTAAAAAAACAAAAATCCCACAAGATTACCCTTTTAGGGGCGGAGCTTAATATCGGTAACGGAATTACGGACGGAGGACAAGCATATTTGAGTTCTCGCATAAATTAATAAAACTCTCTGAAGTTTTGAAATTTTAAAATTGGACACTACCTGTTATTTGTAGAGTTCAGGGGTGTTGTTAACTACAATGCAGAACAAAGTTGAAAAAGTAATCACTCTTTTCATAATTTGCATTTTAATCACGGTAACGGAATTACGCCTGGGCGGTAACGGAATTACGCCATAGGTTTACATGTAATAGGTAAATGCAATACATTAACATTGAATTCAACATTAACTCATCACAATACAAATTTTAGAAGTATATAAAATGCCACTAGGGAAAAGCTCAGTGAAAATAAGCAGATCAAAATGTAAATGTAGGCCTAAACATGTCTGGGCTTCATTTTTTAGGTCAAAGGTCAAGGTCAAAACAAAGCAGTCTGGTGATGGCTGCATTGCCTGTTAGCAACGTTTTTTTATTATTTTTTAACGAAAATCAAATTTTACTATGAACAATTGTATCGTATTTCACTAGTTTATCGTGGAAAATACAATAAAACTATACTGGTTGGCATCTCTGAGCAAGGGAAGATGTTAAGTTATGCCAAGTAGAAGTACAAGTACAGTCTGGTACTCAACTTTCATTTACTTGTTGTGGAATATATTTTCTCTGGGTACCAGACAACGGCTTTGGCAACATATTTAAAGGGAATGTACGTCATTGGCTTTTGCTGTAATTTTCAGAAATGAACTATTTGAAGGGTTAGTATAATAGATCAAATATTGTTACAGTGACATGTTTGAAGTTTTGCGTTCGAAAATGCTGGAAAACCAAGAAAAACAAAACTGTTCAAGTAGTCTGGTTCCTTGACTCCACTAAAGGTAAAATGGATCAATTTATAGATGCTGGAAAAGTGGAAGGTCAGGGAACCAGACTAGCTGGCCTGCACCTGTTCATGAACATGTAACAAATAGGTGTAGCAAACAAAATTTGGACTGGAAACATGGGAAAGAGTGTAAAGTTGAAGCAGTAGTTGAAAAATAGTTAGGATTTTCCAACGGTGGTCGGCCGACCACCGTTGGAAATGTATACAAAAATATCATTTTTTTGAAAATTTCTTCACACCAGGTGCCATAATTTTACAGGATGCTTTAGACTGTCATTTACCAACATCCTACAGTGTAGTAAGGTATTTCGTAAAAACTTGGTAGTTTTATTTTCTGATGTTTGCGAATGTATATTCCCTTTAAGCATCCAAACAACTATTAGCATTTTTTAAATAGTAAAAAAAGAAAAAGTAAAAGTAAAAAATATCAATGGAACACCTGATTATTTTTAATTGTATTTAGCAAATTAAAGAGGGAAATGATTTAACAAGTACATGTAATTTAGTATTTAAAGTTATTGTCCAAGGTTTACATGCAAATCTCCTATTTAATATGTCATGTACATATTAAATATGGGGGAAGTGTGCATACTTTGTGCATGCGTAATTCCGTTACCGTAATTCCGTTACCGTTTCGTAATTCCGTTACCACTTGGAAAAATGCCAAGAAATTACTATTTTAAAGTTTTTATTTTTCATTTATGTTTATAGTAGGGTCTTTTCTCAACATACATGATTTGTAGAAAAAAAACAAGAAAATTTGTGAAATAAGTAACTTTTGCCATTTTTTCGGTAACGGAATTACGTGCTAATTTTGACATTTTTAAATGAAGGCCTACACTATATATATATATATATTTATATTTTTAGATTTTTTTTTAATGACCCTAAGTAATGTTAGTAACTTGTAACATCATAAAATAAATCAAATCTTTTCCCTATAATTCAGAAAGTAATACATACACAAAATTTTATTTTTTTACCAAATCTGAACGTTTTTAATCATAAATTGCAAAAATCACTGTTTTTACCAGAAATATGTATTTTTTTTTAATTTCGTTTTTTGAACTGAATTCCCCATTTAATTGAGGTCTGGAAAAAGTACGAAAAAGGTTTAATATGTCAATATTTAATTTTGACATTTTTTGCTCTCCCATGGAGAATTGCCCATATGGCAATGTAGCTAAAAAGCCTGAAGAGAGGCCAGTGGAGAGAATGTCCCTCAAGTCGCAATTTTGGTGACTTGGACTCGATTCGAGTCACATTGTCAAAAGACTCCGATTCGGACTTGGACTCTACCATCATTACTTGACTCTAATGACTTGTGACTTTGGAGTTACATGTACTTACTGTTTTTACCAAAGAAATACTTTTAAAAACATAATTGTAATGATTATTTTTCTAAAGTAACATTAAAGAAATACCAAAGAACGTTAAGCACACCAACCGTACAGCACCTATGTCCAAGTGGTGTTGTAAAGAATGGTCGTTGTTAAATGTTCCCCTCCCTATTTCCTGTGACACTGCATACCCTACACATCGACTATATGTATGTGTGTCCATGTCCTTGCACTCCGACTCGGACTCGACCCAAGAGACTCAAACTCAACTCAAGTGACTCAACTACAACACTGATGGATTGCAAGGAACAATCAAAGTGACCTTTAGTTGCAACACTTTTGCAGCAAATTTCCTGAGGTATACAAAACAGAGACAGAGAAATAGAGTTGTTTGATCACTGAATCAAATGTTGGTACATGTAGATTGTTTGATTCTCTGGCTTACAGATCAGCTGAACTGGACCCATTGCCAACGATGCCTGATCCAGCGCCCACTCAAGTCACACCACTGTAGCAAGTGTCAACGATGCATCCGCAAGATGGATCACCATTGTCACTGGTAATGATAGACTTGCAGGGATATACTTGCCATGTTTGCTGCACATGGTCTCAGGCCCAGTGTCGGATCCAGAATTACTGGAAGGGGGAGCCAAAATATGGAGGCCAAACCTGAACATACAAGTGGGGCATATATTTGCTCATGTGGGTGAAAATGTCTGTCTTTGAAATGATTAAATAACCAGTTGACAGCAGAAGAAACGGAAAAAAGACCAGACATACCACGCCAGCTGCCCCCCACCCTCCCTCTGAATCTTTTACTGAGCGGGAGGCAGTAACCTTAATTATCTTCAAGCAAGCTTGAAGAGGTCAATCCGTTGCAACAACAGTGTGATGTCACATTGTATCATGATGCATTGCAGTCTGCATATTACATCACTATTCTAAAAAGTGTGGTATTCGTGCTGCACCCAATTGTAATGCATGTAGGATAAACGCAGAACATTTCTTACAGTGGGCATATTCCATCTTTACTGTGCTTTAAAGTTGCTTGAAGTTAAATTCGTTGACCCACTTGCACTCATGGAACATTGAAAATGTAGTGCACCTGTGTCCCATAAATATGCCATGCGACCTTTGGCTTCGTGGCATGTGGGACAGCACTACATTATTTCATACTACTTGGACTCGTGGGATATAGTCCACTGTAATACTTTCATTGTACATTGTAAGTCATGTAGTGGATAATGTGTAGCTTGTGCTGTGTGGCCAGGTCCAATGAGTGTGATATTGAACGTAGCCACAGCAGTTGTGTTCTTGAGCAAGATAGTTTGTAGCAATCATTTCCAGCTGCAGGAACGAATTAATTGTAATGGCTACCCTTTAAGACAGTTTAGCTTGCCCTCTCTGATCAAATCAATGTGTTGATCATTGTATGGTTGATTGTTCCCGGGAATGGTTTCTATGAAAGTCTGCTACTACAGTGCTTAACGGTATGGGATCATTTGCATATTGTGTCCTTTTTTTTTGTTCATTTGAAGCAACAAAATTGCTTAAACTGTTAAGTACATGTATGGTGCATAACAACTAACTCGTTGAAATTATAGATTAGTGGCTACTGTGCACTTTGAGAAAACAGACAAGGTATGCATACATTTTGGTTTCCGTTTTCAAAATGGGATTCCGTACGTAGTTAAAGTACGTTAAAAAGTGTGCCAGCTTCAATGTTAAATTTCTTCCAAATGATACCATTTCAAGCAGAAAAGTTTCACAGGGTATTTGATACCAGTCCTATCTTCACTTTGAGCAAGAGCTCTTTCATTAAATCGGTGGAAACTTTTTTTGTGTACAGTAAAACGCCTCTATAATGAACACTGCTATAACGAATGCTGCTGTAATGAATATTATAAGATGGAACGTCGGTGAAGGGCAAAACCTAATTTTAGGTAATGAATATTATCTTCTGTTATAAGACCAAAAAAAAGTCTCCGGTTTCTGGTATGGAGCTTGCCCTAAAAGTGGTGCGGCGATGCAGGATTTTTTTTTCCTCCTACTTTTTTATCTTCAAATGTCAGTTGATGTTGCAGATAACACTTTGATCCCCTTAAAACTCTCACAAATATCCTTCAGGGTGGAGCTTGAGGTGACCTCAGGAAGGCCATAAGGCACCTTCTACTTGGTTCATTTGTGATGTTTGATTTGTTGTTCTGGTTCTTCTCATTCCAGGATAAATAATTGTGTAGCTGAGGACAATCAGTGGTTATTCATCTTGCTTGTCCTGTATGCTGCCATACTGAGCATCTACACATTGGTGCTAGACACGCTTCATTTTTACTACCTCCCTGCATGCCAGACTTGTGATAGTGTGAGTTGATTGCTGATGGACCCAGCTATTGTAGTGTTGTGCATCGGTTGGGTTGACCAGGCCAAATGACCTGAAACATTTTAATGTAGATCTAAACCTAATCCGAACCGAAACTTATCTGAACTCCCTAAAACCAACCAAACCCGACCCAGAACTGACCCAGAACTGAACTGACCCGAAAAAACCTACTTGTAATATCTGGCTTGGGCATGTGTGTCTGTTTTTATGTGCCTGAACTTACCTGCGTAGTGTGAAAATCATTGTCTCTCAGTAACAGAATCATACCGTACGGCACTCGCAGGGTGGCCTACTGGTTGGCCTACAAGTTCTAGACCGTGTGGCAGACCACAAACCATTTTGGTCGTACCAGGCACAGTAACTCTGCAATAAATATTGCACCGTGTGAATTTCCAAACTGTTTCAGTTAATGTTTGGCTTAGTTGTGGTGTATTTCAGGTTTTTCCAAAGTGGCTTAAAGGGAATGTACGTCATTGGCTTTTGCTGTAATTTTCAGAAATGAACTATTTGAGGGGTTAGTATAATAGATCAAATATTGTTACACTGACATGTTTGAAGTTTTGTGTTCGAAAATGCTGGAAAAACCAAGAAAACAAAAATGTTCAAGTAGTCTGGTTCCTTGACTCCACTTAAGATAAAATGGATCAATTTATAGATGCCGGAAAATTGTAAGGTAAGGGAACCAGTCTAGCTGGCCTGCACCCGTTCATGAACATGTAACCAATAGCAAACAAAATTTGGACTGAAAAAAGTGTAGAGTTGGAGCAGTAGTTGAAAAATAGTTAGGTTTTTCCAACGGTGGTCGGCCGACCACCGTTGGAAATGTATAAAAAAATACAATTTTCTTGAAAATGACTTCACACCAGGTGCCATAATTTTACAGGATGCTTTTGACTGTCATTTACCAACACCCTAGTAAGGTATTTCGTAAAAACTTGGTAGTTTTATTTTTCGATGTTTGCAAATGTTGTATATTCCCTTTAACCAACCGGACCCGAAAATCGAAAACACCGTACCGAAACCGACCCGACCCAACTGACATGGTGGACAAACCGACCCGACCCGGTTTCGAGTCGAGTCGGTTTCGATTTCAGGTCGGGTCGGTTTCGATTTCGGGTCGGGTTTGCACAACTCTAATCCATTGAGCCCAGCCCCATGGTGTTTGACAAATCACAGCTGTATTGTATGTCGACATGTGCGCATGACCTGAATGGCTTGAACATGCAGTGTGGCATTGGAGAGGCCCATGTATTGTTGCCCATGAGTGCATGTAGTGGGCGGGCCCTAATGGATGGGTCTATTGCCTCTGTTCCATGCTGTCCTCTACAGTTGTTTCACAGTATGATACATCTCACAAATGAGAAGATACATTAATCATTCAAAATGATACAGTGAAAATGAAACTTATCATGATTCTTGTGGAACTTGTCATTTTCAAATTTACCAAGGTTGACACAAGAAACTCACAGCTTCATTTTCGAAGTAATTCAATTGCTATGTTACCTGTGACAAAACTTATAGAGTTGCCACGCGATTCCAAAGAAAAGTCGGACAAGCTTATTTCCAAAGTGGGGGGGGGGGGGCAGAGGTGATTCAATGCCTGTTTTGTGATCGAATAGAAATCATACACAAACAGACAACGTACAATTTAGTGACATTTTAATACTGGAAAACAATATCTGACTTTGCTGGTATAAGCCACACTGTATGTTGAAGAGTTCTTGAACGGAACCCACATTATCAAATTATCTGTGCCCACTACATGGTTTGTAGATTTCTCCCTAATGCTCTGACATTGGCATCTGATGATGTCCCAAGGTACACAATGTGCACATTTTACACTAATTAAATCTCTTTCATTGCTTTCCTCATTCCAATCCTTTTTGCAGACATCCTTTATAGTGAAACACCAAAGATATTTCATGTACGTTTCCTTTGTACTTGGTATCATCCTTACATCGCTGGCTGGGACTCAGGTCTTGCAACAGACTATAAATATCATCACAGTAAGTGTGTACACGTTAGAGCCTACTCCATCATTGTTGAAAGGTACACTTTCATCGGGAGTCTGCCAACATTTTTTGGCCTCGTATTGCTTACAAGCCATATTTTGATGGTCTTGGTCACACACAAAATCCACATAATGTCTGACATTTATGGAAATACTGTTGGCAATGCCCTGTTTGTTTATGTCTGATGTGGATTTATTCCGTGTTGGTATGTATTTCTAGCAATGAAAGAAATCATTGAATTTTTAGCCAACATAAGGCCAAAAAAAAAAATAAGTCGGTCTCTGGTCAGCACGCGCGTCGCATTTAATCATGCGCGTCAATCTTTTTTTTCCAAAATGTTCCGCGGTAGCTCCAACAGCGCCCTCTATTGCCGCACCTCCTCAATTTTTTTTACCAAAGAGCACCAAGGAATGGGAAATTGCACCAAGGCAAATGATCGAGAGCACCAAGGCAAATTATGGAGGACACCAATGTACATGAGGACACCAAATAGCAAAATAGTACCCCACCTTGTCTGTACAATCCAAGCTTGAAGAAAAGAAAAAAAAGCCGCGTCTCCGCGTCAATTCCGGAACTTTGGTCTGACCAGAGACCGAATATTTTTTTTTTTTGGCCTAAGACTGGCGCTGTGAGAATGCATATGACATTTCACTGTGGGATGTCAGGTCCCACTCTAGTTTCAGAATTTCACACATGGCAAGCCTACCATACAAGCATCCCATTGCACCATCTAATAATAATACATGTAGTATATATGTAGTGCTATTAACTAAAGCCCGGTGCACACCTTTCCGATTTTGCCAGTTTACCAGATCACCCCATCACCGATCCTTTTTTTTTCACTGTTGCGGTTAGACCGCAACGTTACCCACACACATGCCCGATTCCATCCTATACTCAGTCACATGATGATCAGTGACATGATCACCAGTCACATGATGACCAGTCACATGATGACAAACTGGCAGCTGTCAGTTATGAATCATTCGTCCTTGAGAATCTGATTGGTTAACATAAATATCGTGTCCGATGAAATAGAAGTGCTGCCCGTACACCTTTCTGGTGACACCGTATGCGGAAAAAAATCAAACATGTTTGATTTCATCCAGTTGCCCGGTGTATGGTCAGATCGGTCTGAATTTTCAGCGCACACCTCTGTATGATTGCCGGATGTTCCGGTGAACCGGTAAAATCAGAAAGGTGTGCGGCAGGCTTTAGATCAAAGCGCTGTACATCATTATTACCCCTGATCATCAGGCCAATCTCAGCAACACAGGTCGATGCTGCCATTTCGGTGCAAAGCAGCTAAAATCAACCACAATGGCCACCTCTGCCCTCACAGGTACCCATTTACTCCTGGGTGGAGAGAAGCAATGAGTGACAAAGTGCCTTGCCCAAGGACACACGCACCACAGCCCCAGGCTGGACTCGAACCCACAACCTGCAGAATTACCTGCAGACTGTGAGTTTGATGCTCACGGTGCTCCATACACTACTGTTTGTGCACGGAGTCAATAGGCCACCCTGATTCATCTACTGCTTATGCTCAACCTCCATATAAGCAGCTCCGCTCAGTAAACATGTTCTAGAATTTTATACAACAAAATCATTAGTCTAGCCTAAGGTGGGCCAGAAATAGCCTTCAGCCTGTGGCAGGGATATCACCAGATCTGTCTGTCCTAAAGTAACACACATTTTTGTTATATCTGTTCTAGAACCTGTCAACAGTTGAATCTATAATTCATGCACGCAAGCCCATCCATGAAAGGTGAGTCATAAGAAACCAAATCCAGTATAATTCAACCAGTGATCTCTTCTTTTTTTTACTCTACTGGTTACACAGAATGATGCATAATCTAATACAGTATTTGATAGTACAGGGTGAGTATGAAAATGTCCCACTGGATAAGACCTTGTCTCCCACAAAAATAGGAAAGGTTACCAGTTTTGCTCTTCAGCCAACATTTGGTCTGGGTATCGACCACAGTCAGTAAATGTTTCCCTGATATTCAGCCATGCATGCAAAGGATACAGGCCTTTCTTTGTGACTACCCAAAAACACTACCAACACAATGTTTCCTAATATTTTTAAGAGGATATTAAACGTTATTTAATGGCCAGCACACTGCAAGACAGATTATTTCAAAGTAGCTATGGCAAGGCCACAGTTTACTGCTGTCCAAAGGGCCTTGATGGTCAGAACGTTTAATGAAACAGGTAGGGTACAAGACACGATAGGTCAAACACCTTCCGGAGGTATGGGAGCATAATGCTCGGACAGTGCAGAAACATTGTAAACTGGACAAAATGGCAAAGGACCTAAACAAGGGGCGACAAGATCTCCAGATCTTACCCCTTTATTATTGTGACTTGCACTCTCTTGTGGTATATGAATCCCATTTTGTCACTTGGGAAAATGATTCATATTCATGGAAATAAAACGATTGCAAACTAAACTAAATTTTGTCCTTTTGGGGCAATGGTGATAGCCACTTTTTTTCTCGTGATGGTCTGGTCCGGTCCTAACCACGGCAAGGAAGTGATGGCAGTTCCTCTTAACCAGTTCGTGCTGGGATTATTTTGGCGAAAATTTTGATTTTCGAAAAAAGGCAAATTATAACAGCCAACTTCTGATATACAGCCAAACGCCACAAATACTCATTCACAAGAGTCATTTCAACAGTATTTGTACGATATTTCTTACTGCAACCTCATATTTGTCAACACTATGGGCAGTGCCCACAGAGCATAAATTGTACCCCAACAGGCCGTGTGGCCTTGTCAAGTTCAACACACAGTCCCCCTTGGACTGTGTGTGTGTGGGTGTGTTCCTACATGGCATTACGCCTGAGGACAGACAACAAAAGGAGCACAAAGGGGCCATTGATCCTCGAAGGAAGGTGCCTATTGTCCTCGAACGCAGGTTTGTGTGCTTAGTCTATGGGAGAGTGTTATATTACAGGGACAAAGGAAAACACAAAGCCAATCCTCGGAAGCATAGCAAAAAACGACTGTGTGTGTGTGTGTGTGTGTACAAAACAAATGGGGGATTAGCGTGGTTAGAGGTCATCTGGAGACATGTGGAGGCACGCTTTTTGTGTTAACCTGTCAGCCGTGCCTGTGTTTAAAAACAGCCAGATTGTGTTAACATGTCATCCAACGCGAACTGGTTAACAGCAAACTAGGCACAATTTCAACTTGGGCTGTCCCGAATATACTGAATATTCGATTATCAACCGAATATTCAAATAGCCTTTTGCCAATTTGAATACCTGAAAACCAAACAAAACTATGCACATACACACACGGTGGCACTTTTTCTGTCGACCGTAACCTTTTTGTTGGCGGCGGTTCATTATTCCCGTCCTTTTAGCAGATTAAAGCCCTTGACCATGTTGACAGTTATAAAACATTTACTACAAAACACTCCAGCAGACCACGGAGCCATGAGCAGACCGCATCGATCGCCACACACAAATATTAACTGGCATGCATTATATGTGCAACTTTTGACCGGCGCGGAATGCAGTTTCAGTTGGCTGTTCCGAATATTCGGTCAAACGCAGTTTCGAGCAATCGAATACTAAATTATTGGAAGGAAAATGGACAGCCCTAAAATTGACAGGCTGCTTGATCCCATTCACTTAGAATCAAGTAGGATATTTCATAATATTTTGGCAGTTTCAGTTTTGAATTTTCATGTATGGTGTCCATTACCTTTTTAGCGCCAAATATTTGTCTTCATCAGAAACAGTAGGAAGTAAACAGTGCAAAGAGAATGCCTATAATTCCAAAGAAGTGTTTGATTCAAATAATGGCACAAAAGAAATTGCTTTGCTTTGCTTGTCTAGCTGTGAACTAAAATAAGCGTGATTGTCTGCTTTTGCTGTTCAACATGACATTGGCCTCCAGTTCTCGAGTTTAGACTTTTGGATAGTGTCTTCTGCTCATCTTGTCCTATCTTGTTTGAAGGGTCATGATTGTTATTGATATCCCACTTCCTAGGCCAGCAGTGATTCCTCGGTCAGCGTATGACAGCTTCCGTGAAGTCTGTGGACCTGGGCCGATACTGTGGTGGTTCAATCCGTTCCGTCGTCATTCAGCAAAACCTGAGATCTATTACTACCAACACACGGTGTGAAGAGTCAGTAGTAATATCTACAGCAAAGTTTTAGTTGCCTACAAGGAATTGATACAAATTTCTCCACACTTCCTTCCTAACCCCATATGCCCCTCACCCCCCCCCCCCCACCTTTTTGCTAGGTGCTGCGGCGCATATTGCTGCCACTGCCAGAAACACTGGGGCAAACCCCTTTCTTAGCGATAAGTGTTACTGGGTTCTTTAAAGAGGTTGTGGAATGCTGAAAATCGGTTTTTTTTTATTTTATTTTTTTTATTGTAGAGTAGACCCATATATATCATAATGACAAACTCCCATTCTTTTGTAATGTGCGTTTATATGTTTATAAAACTGAAATTCATCGAGTAATTTGTTGGTCGGCAAGTGCATAATTGAAATCAACAGTCGTCGGGTTCTTCATAAAATCAGAAAAATCGTGACGTAATAAACAGGACTCGTTTATACTACGCTGCATAGGGAGTCCTGTTTATTACATCACGATTTACTATGTTTTGTTTGCTGCCCCCTACGACGACTTTTACACAAATTGCACATTCGGGTCGAAACAGGACCTGAAAAACAGCTCTCAAAAGTACTTTTTGTATTCATTTCATGACAGAAACAGTAGTCGTTTTTATTTCATCACACCTTAGGCTACATATACCTGAAAAATGACGGAAATGTCTTCGAGCATTCCACAACCTCTTTAACATGCATTACACAACACACAGGACCTACGGCTTTACGTCCCATCCGAAGACAAAGCAATAATGGTAAAGTGCCATGCTCAAGAGCACAAGCACCATGAACCCACGGTCAGGATTTGAACCCATGTACTACAGCACACGAGTCCAACACTGTAACCATTGGACCACAGCGCCCCACAATTTTTATACACGGTCTATGGACAGACGGATGGTACATGCCCATAGACTGGAAAACAACTCTTGTTTACATGGGGGTTATAGATTTACATTCCCCTCCAGTCATTTCTTTACTGAACCTTGTCATTAATTGTATAACAGTGGGTACATATAGAGGGCCGGGAGCCTGTTTGCAGCCGAGACTGGAATTGAGTCTACTGGTTTACTAACCCAGCCCCCCCCCCCCTACTCACACCCTCACTTGCACCCTCTGCGTTTATTATCACTTTGAAGCAGATGTTGAAGTCGGATGCTATTAAAGCGGTATAGTGGACACATTTGACAACCCTTTGCCTTGATAATAATACAGGGAACTGTGGAAACAATCCTCCATCTGTTATCCTAGATTTGCAGCTGTACTGAAATTTGCAAATGCTATATCAACAAGATCATAACTGCCCGGCGCGGAAATCCGGGTATTTCTGCATTTAGGGGAAATCCCCATGAAGAAGTCAAGGATGTATCCAGATGTTTAGGCCACCCCAGAAAGACCGTTAATGATCGGGAAGTTTCCCCTCGAGGCATTTGGTGGAATTTCCTGAGCAGATTCTTCTGGTTCATTCAGGATTTCATAAATTGAATGTTTCTTAAGGGCGGTGTTGGGTAAATGCTATGGTTTCATTGAGTAGATAAAAGATGGGCAGATGTTATTTGACATGTTGCAATACATGGCTGGCTGAAAAGTTTTTGATATGTGTTTGGTATTTGAAAAAAAATATCTTAAAATAAATTTATTGAGTTATTCACAATGTCATGACTCTTGAAATGTAGCTGCCAGTATTACTATACATGTATGTATCAAAGGCATAGTATTTTTAAAGAGATCCTTTTGTTGTATGTTCTGATTGTTTTTTAAGGTTGATTGTTTTATGTAAGCAGGTGGATTGGGCCCCCCCCCCCCCCCCAGTCTGAGTATCACCCGTTCTCCACACAGCCCATCTCCAGTAGAACGTCTGATATATCTAAGCATGCGTGACGTCATTTCATTCCGAAATCAGGACTAAGATTGTGATTGGTCAATTTCAAATCAGCGTGGGCGTGATGTTTACGCATGCGGGGAGCTTACATTACGCGCGTATAGAAGGCGCCTGCTGATTGGTCAGTTTCCAGAGGTCATACGCAGTCTAGTTGCATAATTGATCGCCTAATCAGTTTACGTATTATAGACCATGGTCAGCTTCGCCAGGGCCAGGGTCTATTACATAGCCTCCCCCCCCCCCCCCCCAGCTTTGACTCAAACCTTTTTTTACATAGAAATATATTTAAAATATTCTGCTGTGACACCAAAAAACATTATGACAATTATATTGGTAATTATATCTGCCATTTTCAGAGATAAGTGGACACAAGGAACTTTATTACGAAATATCAGAAATCGAAGCACTACTTTATTTTTATTTATTTTTTCAAAAGTTTATTCCTGTTCAAAATGCTTTAATGTATTTCCGTGTTCTCATTCTTAATGGCCTTGGAAAAGGATGAGTTTTAGGAAGTTAAGTACATGTATTGCATTTCAGTGTAGGGATTGTCTTGGTCGGGTGTGTATTGTAAATGTAATCTTTTAATAAATTGAATAGTCTGTGGAATATCTCATTGCAAAGCAACGGTCTATGATATGCGAGGAGATTCAGCGATGAATTATGCAAAACAAGACTTCATCTTAATCTCCACATTCTGACCGTTCAGCAGGCATCTTCCGTAATCCGTTGTTGCTTTACAAAAATATGGTGGCCAAATTGACTGCCTAATCAACAGCTTCATGTGTGTTACGAGGCCCCCCCCCCCTCCCCTTTTCCCCGGAAAAGCACACAAACAAACAAAAGCAAACAAAAAGGAGAGGGAAAAAAAGACGACGAGATGCGAAGTCATATTCACATTTAACAACATGGGCGTCCGCTGGGGTGTCAATGGGGTGGAATGGGCAAATGTCCCCCCGCCCATCCTCGGAAATATGATAAAATTGAGAAAATGCTAGAGAAAGTACAAGGATTTTGAGAGCTTTGCCCCCTCTAGAAAAAAATCCTGGTGACGCCCATGAACAGCTCAGTCCAACTTTCTGATCGGAATGACGTACTATTTCTAAAGTTGACTCCGATTGGCTGGCGTGTGAGGTTGCATGAAATGCATGCTAGGATATCCATGTATATCACACGTTCCTCGTGTGGCTCTGCACACCTGAATGTCTGATACTCGGACTAGAAATGAAATGAAAAATTCCTTGAGATTTTAGCCTCTTCATGCGATGGTTTTTGTATCGCCCCCTCATTAAAAAGAGGGAGAGAAATGTTTAAGGGAAAAAAGGAGGAATTTAGTAGGTCTAGTATGACATCATCATGAAAACTAAAGTTGAATTCAAATTAGCGATCTTCTGCCTCGTGTGAGGGGTCCGGCAGGTATTTTTGTGCTAAAACAAATTTGGATCTTGTGCTGGTGTACTAGAGAAACTCTAATTACATTACCATGTAATATACATCGTTGAAGGGCAAAACTAACATTTAATTAAGTAAGATTTGAGGCTTTGCATGGTGGAGACACTAAAAAATGAAAGGTTTGCGGAACACCATGCATGTGCAAATAATTTCTCAACTTAGAGAATGAAAAGAACCAGAGGTACTCGACGTTCCGGTCAGTTGCTGTGACCGTCTTCAGGAGAGTGCCTAAACTCTAAGAAAGTGAACACTTAAGTAGCAAAAGCGAAATCGGTAAAGTATGAAGTTGCATCCTGTGTGGATGCCAAGTAGCTAGGATCGTAAGGCAAGCTTGGTATTGAGAAATTATTCGCACATGACATTTAATTACAAATTGACTTATTTCAAAATTAAAGTTGCGTTCCCGGTGCTCTTAAACAAATTCGATTTTTGTTTCTGTTAATACATTTCCAAAATACGTTGTATTCCAACCAAAACAAATTCCCTCCCCCCCCCCTTTTTTTGACGTCTGCAAGTCAACCTTCTGATGAAAAAAAGGGTTTTGTTTTTGGTATACGAACAGATCCGCTTTGTGAGCAGACTGGCTCCCGGTCGGTACATTATCGATACTCATTGTGGGGCCATAATCGATACTGATTGTGAGGCTGGAACCAGCCTATACCACGCGAGAACGGAATTATTGTCTGACAGCCATTATTTGAGATCGGTTGTAATTAAAGTAATATTTCAATAACTAAACATGGTCCGAATCGTCTGGGTCAGCGCTCCATTTAAAAGTGATTAACGTTTTGTATTGCTTGGAAAAGAGCAATTTAGGAAAAAAAGAATGTTTTTCGGCCGGATGAAACTCAAAAATAGCACATGGGTCGCAACTTTAAACCATATTTACATTTGACTTGATCACTTGTAATTATTGATTTACCTATCAACGGAAACAAAACGTAATGCGCTTGGATGACCCCTAATTGATTTCACTGATTACAAATAGATGGTAGAAATTTAATCTTTAAGATGAATAACATTATAATTGTAGTTTTAATGCCATCAAACGAAATAGAATGACTAGCACGGATTATATGTCCATGAAAACGTATATGGCTGAATTAAATAAAACCGAAAAAACATGTGAAAAGACCAATATGCTTCCCGCTCAAGGGCCTACTTATTACACAACAACCAAACTCGATCTAAAGATGCAAATCAATCGTTTCCGTAGGACGACAGGAGCGGAACGGAACTTCCGGACGAATAGCTTTGACTCATTTCTCAAGCGATATAAGCAAAGCCCGGGAATTAGCTCTGAACATTCATTAATCGTCACAAAGAGCCGATGATTATGAAAAAAGTTTGTAAAACTTAAACCATCCATTAGAGTTTGTCGGTGTGACACGTGACTAAGCGTTCCCCAACCGGATGTTGTGGTTGCCTGGTGTCCCATAAGGCATTGCGGGCCGTTTCATCATGTGATGATAATCTCTCGTTCAAGGGCACGAAGTGATGGATGCTGAAATGGGTCAAAAGTGCAGTGGTCCCCACCCGTTTCTTTTCAAATCCCAATCCACCATGACATTGTCAAACCATAAAATAACATCAGTTTATTATTATGGGTCCATTGCCCGAACTCCGGCCTTTCCATTCTTCTGACTCCCTCTTCTGTCGACCTGATCCGCCCAAAAAACTCGGATATTTTGACCCAGATTTAGTTTTGTTTTCGATAACCGTTTCCTCAATCGCAGACCAGAAAGTATGAATTGACTATAATTAAGCT